GATCCCTTAGACCATATTACACATATATACCCTATATTAACAAGTATGGCTCTCTAAAATGCTCGTTCTAATTCGATATTACCTGTCTTTATTTTATTTTTCCTTACCTATTCTATTTTCGGAGAGTTTATTGGAGTGATTGGTCATTACTAATGTACCGAGTGATATCTCATGATTTAATTATCCGTGGGGGGCAAAAATCAAAGTTTTCTTTGCGTAACAAAAGTCCACAATGAACACAACTCCAATCTGGTCACTTTATAGATAATTACCGAGATATTGAGTAAGAGCCTAGCTACATGCTCAAGAAATCATACTTAAATGCCCAGAAGACTTTTATTGTTACGTGAATATATGCACATCTACTCTAGCTTCGAAAGTATTCATGAGTAGGAACCTACATGTAGTTATGGTAAGGGTCCGTTAGTGCGGGCGTTCTTGAATGTCGAGGCTCTTTGTAGGTATCGCTAGTGTTGGTGGGGGTAACAGTTGCGCATGCACTCTTTGGTGATCTCAACTAATAATCTATTTATATTTATCAAGGACTAAGCGTAAGTGCATGAACACTATGTATCGTATGCCCAAATTGGGTGAGTGAATATTCGAGAACATGAAGAAAAATTAATTTCTCCTGTTGAGGAATTAGATGCATATAGCTAGTACACTAGACTAGGATAACATGCTCTCTAAAAGCTAATAGCTTAAGGTGAGCTCTTCACATATTTATATTATTTGGGGTTGTCTCGTGATCCACATGGTTTATAATGAGAATGAGAACAAGAATGCGCACATAGGGTATACTATGGTTGACGGTCTAGGAAACTTTCTTTATAATTATTTGAGTATTTTCAACTTTTGAACACAATACTTTGTATGATGGTGTTAACTTTTATTATTCAGGTATATATACCATACGTAGAGATTGTCACAAGAGCCAGAACCAAGAATCAGATTACCAAATTGAGACGTCGACTTCAAACTTATATTGTAGATAATAATAAGACTTTGGTAACGACATATTCTATTGCCTTACAAGCCAAGTTTTCATAGATTACTGCCCGTATTTCAAATGCTAACCGGCGAGTGATATTTCATGAGTCGGCTCTTTAAAAATTGTATATACTTATCTGGCTAATAAAGTACGCCTCGAGATCTGCATGCAAAGCGATAATTTAGTATGTATATGTAGTGATTTTTCCCAAGGCTCGAGCTAAGGACGAAATTAGCATTATGTACAAGGATACATGTACAGTATCAGAAGTGGGGGTAAAACTGATACCGCATCAATACGGCATTGTGAGCATATGCCGCTTTATCTCCGTATTTTGACGAAGTAAACGGTAGTGTTACCGTAGTGGTACGGTATTACCAAAGACTACGATACTCATTTTATCCACGTTTCTGTCACTGTACAGCGTAGGTACTTAATACAGTACTGTATGTACATGTATTCATATTTATCCCCATGGCCCAGCTGATGTTTATGATATATATATATCGATAAGATTACCGGCCTAGTGTACCAGAATCTTCGGATATCTTATATTATTCTCGTCAGCCGGATACCGTTTTATACCCGTTTTATACTGAAGTAATTAATTAATTAATTTCCGTTTTATACCCATAGTGGGATATGATATCCTGCTATAGAGGTATGTCTAATCCCGTTAGGGAGGATGTGCTATGATCTTAACTATTGGGTACGACCTATCGATTTGTTGGATACCTTATCCTTTTTTGATAAGATATCATTATTTTTTACCGGAGCTTATAAGATATCCTTAGTTAAGGAGAGAAATTATATCGGGGAGATATATTCTGATTGATAGAGGATATTCTACCCTCTGAAGAGCCGGGGGATATGATCATAAAGGACTTTAGACTAGAAAAGATCGAATTTGACTAAGTCCAAAATTGTTAGGGATGCCAAATACTACCAGCAGAAGGACACTCGAACATATGTTATAATCGGCATCCTTACAAAAGGATATAGATCTATAGCTATATTCACCAGAAAAGATATTCTATCCTAGAATACTGTATCCCGTGCTGAAGATGAATTCGAACATGTATCTTTACCTAGAGATAAACTGAGACATGTATCTCTTGGCGGGGATAAATTACATATCGAAATCTCCTATTTAAACTACGATTGACATGTGATATCCCCATATAGGGAATGATTATCCCAAATCGCCTAAACGTATACCGTATCCCGATTGTGTGTGGAGTTGCCTACTTTACCGCCTAGAGGGGTATTTTTTTAATAATTTTCTCTTATTTCTTTTTAAGGTCCTTATTAGACTATGGTTTTGATAATCTTAAAATATTTTAAGGTTTAACGGGCTTGATTAGTCTTATTTAAGGTATTTTTGAAAAATAAGGCTGAATAATGTTTATTCGTGAGATCAGCATGATAGCCTGATAGGTATGCTTTTACACTTATTCGCCATAGTGAATTTCGGAAATGAAGTTTTTATTAATACTGAATTTAATATGTACATTGATTTAAGACAATCTATTTAACCCACCTACCTGCCTACCTTCCTACCTGCCTATCGACCTATCGACCTATTTCGCTCAATTAGGTGGATTTGGTGCTCGATTTGGTGCTGCATTCGGTGCTGTATTTGGTGCTGTATTTGGTGCTCGATTTGATGCTCGATTTGCTGCTCTATTTGATGCTCGATTTGGTGCTTGGTTCGGTGCTGCTGCTGCTGCTAGATTCGCTGATTAGCCTATGTTTTTGATGATTAGGGGATTTGGGGGGGGGGGGGGGGGTGGTGCTAGGAGAGTAGAGGGGGCGGAGATGGTAGAGAGGTAGAGGGGAGGGTATTAAAGAACAGATGGAAGAACACGATTTAATATTTGCTAAGTGCCTAACCCTAACCCAGCCTTAGCACCCGTAAATGCCTATAATCCTGACCAATTTTACTAATTCTTATTTATTCGATAAATCTAATACCAGAAGAGGTCTTAGAAGAGCTTGATTTAGAGATAATGCTGAGCAAAATGTCATGCTTTCGCCCAAAACAGGCTTATTTTTTGCTTTTTTGAGACATATGCCTTATTTAAGGCTTTTCTGTGTCTTAGAGTTCAAAATAAGGCTTATAACTTATGGGGTAAAGGCGGTAATGTAGGGATTAGGATGTTGAAATGAGCTGCCATGTTTCATAGTATTAATTAATGTACGTACGTAAACAATGCATATGGTCTGTATACTCTCTAGATTGCACGGACACGTAGATGATCGAGGTTAATTAACTCTACTCGAGTAGTCGTAACTCGTTGATATAGTCGTAGGGCCCGGCCATGTCAACTGAACAAGGGACTAAAGTACATGTAGCTTGTGTTTCCTGCACGATGAATGCTTGTACTCAAGTAACAATAATGTGGGGGTATTTGCTTATTTTACCTGATACCATAGCCGGAAGGGTGCATCAATCATGATCAAACAATCAACCAAGCTTGTATCACTATTATCTGCATCTCTTTCGTAATATAAGTACAGCGTGTGGTAAAGTTATTGTAGAAGTATGGGAGGGGTCCTATTGGCCGATTCAGCCACTTAAACCCTGTTTTTAGATCCCTGTTTCTACAATAATTCTCCCTCTCGCTGTACGTCTAAGTGCAATTAACTCCACCGACCAAAGAACAACCCGGCGTCGCAAACCCTCTAATGGCCAATTATGTTCACTAGCTAGCTGCGTATGCACATGTAACCAATTTAAACCTGGATCCCGGGTTTATGAGCTGGCGCGTCTTGGCTTTGATGCTGGATAGCTATGGGGGTAATAACATACCCAGGACTCATTGGCTCTCTTAAGATCAAGTGAATACATGTACTTATATCTTGGACTCCCTCCTACTCCAGGGTAATAAGCATCAAGCATTCTATAGATCTAAGGATGGCCTCCGACAGGCCGACTCGTATGCAGGGAGGCATTGTACATATTGGAGACAGTTGCGATCTCGGAGATTCGAATGTAGCTTAGCCGTGATATTGATATTACTTCGATTATCGCCTGGTGGGCCGAAACATGCTTAGAATCTGGTGCTCTGCATATTGTACAAACCCGGCGCCTGCCTTGCCATATAGGGTAATGATACAATTGAGATTTCAACAAGAAATTCTCATAAACAGTAATTTTCGGCGCCAAGTTGGCGAGCCTGTAGAGTGCCAGATTCTGAGCAGGTCTCGGCCTACCTGCGGGCGATACCAGTCTTTTGGTCGGACCAAATTTTCTTGTTTTACCATGCATGCAGGGCTGAAAGAGGAATAAGCCATAGAGTCAACCCAAAGTTTTTATTTAACATATTTGGTTAGAACCTAAGGGCGACTACCAAATATTGAGATCGAGTACCGTCTTTATTGGTTTTAAGCTAAAATTGGGCAAACCATATGGTTTCTTACCAGTGACACGACTGAGTGTACCTCGATTAGAATACGCCTATTTACCGAGTTTTAATCAATACTATTTGTTCACGATACCCGCCGCTTGATAGAACCTTAAAAGTAGTACTAGCTTAAAGATAACTCAAGCTCGAATGTGCTTGTAGGGGCTCGATGCGCACTATTCGCAAATCAGATTGAGAAGACATTGACTCATTTCAAAATCTGTGACATCATGATCCTTGGCCGGTATTAAACTTAGAGAATCTGCATGCTGATACCGGGATCTCAAAGATGCAATCTCTATCCTAGTCGGAATAAAAAGAATCAAGAGTAGTCTTACGTAGCCACCATCTCAGACAAACCAGTCTATCTCCCATTCCCATAGAAGAGCCTGGTCACGTGGGCCCCGGGCTAGCGAGTGATCGCCCATGATTGAATGCTTATGTGCATGACGTACGGCCTACATCATGTAGACTTCCATAGGGCACCAGGCTTGTAATGGGCATCTCCCTCCTCGGTGATGATGGATGTTAAGTAAAGAGGCTCAATGTGCGTGGTTCATAGTTACTTTTGATTCCCTTTCTTAGTTTGACGCATTCATACGTTATTGCCCGGGTTTACTCCTACTTATACTCGAATTCTCGATATTAAATTCACGCCAGGTATCCGCCCAATTCTGACTTCCCCACTGTAAACCTCTCGAGTTCGCACTCTCAGAACTATACTCATTCCAAGATGTTACCTGACCTAACTCTATCAGATGTCTCATAGTCGGACGCCCATGCGGGCAATTCCAAGGTTTATCCAATTCGCCCTAGGTAAAAACACGCGGTCAGCCTCAACCCTCCAAACCACCAAGAAGAAAGTTATATACCATATGCCGGACAATTTTCCGCATCCCCTTTATTGTGAGCGCTCGGCCTACTTTGGTGCTCTTCTTGCAAGCTCGCATTGCAAACATACTCCGAACCTTGGAACATCGAACTGAAGAATTACCTTGGTCCTCATGAACTAAGTGTATAAGCTCTTCCAAGTCTTTGATACCGAACACAGTCTCTTTGCTTAAGGGTAAGCTAATTAGTCTGCACCTTGCTCCAGTAGGTGCTTCTGGATCCACCTCGATAATAAAGCCATTCTTTTTGAAAACGTCCAGATGTTCTGTCACAATAACTTCGTCCATCGCCATTAATTCTAGTGTTTTTGGAACCACAAGCCTTTGGTTTTGAACCACAGTATCTAGTTGCAATGTTTCGAAATTATATTTTTCATCAGACGCATGCTGGTCAATGATGAAAAGGTCGTCTTTTCTGGTTGTCAAAATAAATCCTTTGTTGAACTGCCCTTTTATTTGCATTTCGAAGAAGTCCTTCTTGGAAATCGTCAAATTTAAACGTTCCTCGGCAGATAAATCGTCCTCGGTTAAAGTAGAATTAGATGGAGAGGTGGTTTTAGCAGTAATTCCTGTAGAGAGTTTTCCAAGTGATCCCAGCTGTTTTTTCAATTGGGCCACTGACGTGGAACATGTTCCAAAGACCCTCCTTGTAGTATACGCTGGCGAGCCTTCTAGGATCTCGAATGCTCTCTCTAGGTTTTTCGAAGTAGGTTTGGCCACTGAATCCTCTGCTTGCTCAAAAAGCTTCTGCGCACGTATTGAGGATTGTTTGAGGAATTCATATTCATCCATAAAATCGTCGTCCTCGGGATCCTCGTCGGGTTCCACCTCTTCATTTTCTACGCTCGAGTCCCCCTCGCCGTCCATGATTTCATCACCACCAATTGCGCTGAATTCTACGTTAGGGATAAATGATTGATTTGAACCAACCTGGTCTGGAACAACTATGGTTTCCCCCAGCTCACTGGCGTCTGTAGATATCTCATCCGGATCCTTATCAATGTATTGATTTTCGTCTAAAACCATCTCGTCCGGCCCTTGAATCTCCATTTCCCTGCCAATACCCTTATGACCCTTAACTAATTCTGGTCCAAAATCATCGGCCTCCTCCTCCGGCTCCCCTTGCCGCTCCTCCTCCCTGAATTGTGTCTGAGCCTTTGGCGCTGCGAATCGACTCAAAACCCCCGAAGAGAATTTTGGCTGTCCTAACCTTCCTAACTTTACAATTTTTGACCCTCCAGTTTCAGGTGCAATGACTTTTCTTCGTTTACTCGGTGAGCTCGGTGGACTGTTTCCGGTTGTGATAGGATCTCGGTCGCCAATCGTGATAGTAGCTTTGTTCGCCCGCGATCTCCTGGCGTAACACGATAGTTTTGAGAGGGGACTTGTCATTGTAGTAGGCATATAAGAATGCGAACGAATATTTGGGACGGTTATTAAACTAGGGAGGCGTGCCTCAAACTCTTCGGCTTCTTCAATGAGGACGTCATCTGAGATTTCATCCGCCGTTGTCGTGAAACTAAACGAGTTTTTTGATCGTTCTAGAATTTTCTCGCGCTCTTGAACCGTCAGTGGCGTGAAGCTAGATTCTCGAAGCTTTTGGGGCAGATCCATGGCATATTTCGGTAATGCTTGGCATTTTTGGTGAGAAATAGAGGCCTCGTTAATTTGAGAATGAGGAATCATCTGCTTATTTGGGGGTTCCGTGGCTTCAAGGGTGATATCGGCATGGTTTTCCGGCGTCATGGTCGGGTCATCAGCCTTTGAACCCTCTGGTGACGGTGAATTAGTTGAGTCGGGGGGCGGGTCAGGTAGGTTGAGGGTATTTTGTTTGTAATTTGGCAATTTTGCCTTGATTCCAAGTTGAGTATGGGGTACGGTTTGTTCATGATTCGTGAACATTTCCATAAGCGAGGCCTAATCAAGAAGATATTTGCTTTAGTACCATCTGGTGGATTCTTAACAGCTGTGGTACCTTTAATGATTCCAATAGTTTTGCTTGATCATGGAGCAAGATGGACCGCTTATCAGGGGAGACATTCACATCATACGCATCTATTTCACATGAGAATCTGTATTTGCCAAGATGAAACGGCTAGAGGGTATATACTTGTATCCATATGTATATCAGCAAATATAAATGGGGATTGCGTAACATTGAAGTTCTTGTAAACTTCGTTAAATGCCTTTGATATCTTTAAAAGTCAGCATTTCATTATCAACCACTTGTGGTTCTATGACATACTTGAGGAAGAACACAAGGTCTGCCATTGACGAAGAACATCTGTCGGTCAGGAGCTTGGCGGCCTTCTCCAACGGTAGGACGCGAGATATGGCCAATTATCTTAACTCCTTTACTTCTGAAAATTCCAAGAATATATGAGAAACCATAATTCAAGTGAAACAACCTATGATGGTATGACTTACTCTGATCCGCCGCCTATCCGAGTCATGCCGATACCTTTGCGGGTACATGTCATCTCAAATTGTAGATCTAACGCCACCAATGCAGTGAGAGTTTTTGCGCCAAATACATTCGCAATATTCTCTCGAGTTGTTGGATTGCCTTTTGTAGCAAATACTGGAGTCTTTCTCCCCCTTGGTGGTTGATTAAAAACTGAAAATTTCACCCCTACATAAATACCCGCATATGCTTGTAGTATACCTAGTACTTTGGTATACTCTCTCTTAATATTCCTTTCTAACTCACTTCTCCTTACGGGTAAAGTCTTGAATATATTTTCTACCAGTACCGTGGTACCGCGTTGCGCAGCTGCAACTGAACGGGACTTCAGTTTTCCAGAAGTCTCGAATTCAAGACGGGTGCCTTTTGGGGCTTCTTCAGCAGTTGCTGTGGTAATCTGAAGATCCGCAAGAGCACAGAGCGAGGAAAGAGCTTCACCACGGAATCCAAAAGTTTTTACGTTATCGAGGTCATCGTACGACGTAAGCTTGGATGTCCAATGTTTTAGAGCTATAGACTCATAGTTGTCGGAGGTGATGCCAACACCATTGTCGGCAACTTCGACGGAATCGAGACCATAATTCTTGAACCGTATCTCTAATGACTTGTCAGATATATTGATTGTTGCAATTGAGTTACACGAGTTTTATAAACTGAGAGATTCAATCTACCGATAGAGGTTGCGCTAGCATCAAAGCTATTCTCTACCAATTCTTTAACCACCGAAGTCAATCCGTCACCAATAACCTGGCCAGACTGTATATGATGAACCTGAGAGGTTTAAACATGGTTAGTAGATGCATTTTTGCCCACCAATACTTGGATATGTGGCCACATACAGACTTCTGCTCAATAGGCTTTATTGTAGCCATCACGCGTTTAAAGTAGTACGCGTACGTTGTCTAGGTATGACAGGGCCTAGCTAAGTGACTCTATCTCTCTTTCGTTACCCGGCCATACATCCCAGCTTATCAGTAACTACATGTACCTGCGAGACCACGCTGTCCAAAGCGATAAGATGACTAATTATAATCTGTATTTATGAAATACGGTTAGACACTTTCTATATTCAGATGAAATATCTCTTTATTAAAAAATAATTCCCTTATCTTTGATAAGAAGACTTGAACAATTCTTTGCACGTGACCTACCGTCCTTTTTGATTATTCTTGCAGTACAGCGAAAGCTTGCTATAACGGTACGCTCGGGACCGGAATTTGGTACCGTTATAGAGAGATTACCCTTATATAAGAGGTGATTGTGCTGAAATCCGGGCAAAAAGGACCGAGAAGTGCTACCGTTATAGAGAGATTACCCTTATGGAAGGTACCGTTATAGCAAGCTTTCGCTGTATGTACCTACACATATGTCATAGTACATGTACCGGTAACGTATTTGTGTCAGACCAAAAACCACACTTTGGAGGCGAAAAGACTCAGCAACAATCACTACCAAATTTGTACGTTTCCCAGTCTGACACAGTACCATATCACAACTGCCCCACATCAACTGACAAGGCTGTCCCTACTCCCTAGGAATCATACATGCTCACATGTAGCAAGACTCATCAAACGAGGACACATTTCAGTATTGATCTCGGCATACCTTAACCGTACGCTACTCAAAATTATTAAAGGTAGAGAGGCGCGACAGGTATGTCCTTAAGTGTTTGATTTGGTAGCTCTCTAAATTCTTGTTTCTAATGGACTGGTTCAGATTCAAACAAAAAATAGACGGATATCTCAACGAGGTTCCGAAATTCCCAAAGATGCCACCTGTGTTAAACCAAGTCGACATACCCACTCTTCCTCTCCTATACCACATCAAACGTATCTCGGTCAATGAGAAACCCCTAGCGACCCCTTCTGCAACTCTCAATGCTAAAATTGGCTTGATTCGAACTGATATCACCAAGCTCCACCTCCCAAATGGTGCAATTGTCAACGCTGCCAATGAAAATCTTATTCCCGGAGGAGGCGTTTGCGGAGCAATCCATTCTGCAGCTGGCCCAGAGCTCATAGAAGAATGCCACCGTCTCAATGGCTGCAAGACTGGTTATGCAAAGGTAACTAGAGCTTATAGGTTACCTTGCAAGAAAATCATTCATGCTGTCGGGCCTATATACCGGCTAGCAAAAGAAATGAATGAGCATGAAACAAAGCTGTCTAGTTGCTATACAGAGACCCTGAAATTGGCTGTTGGCAATGGCTTAACTGCTGTCGCTTTCTGCGCTTTGTCAACAGGAATCTATGGCTATCCTTCATACGAGGCTGCGGGCACGGCTATTTCGGCTGTAAGGAGTTTTCTTGAATCTGAGGATGGCCAAAAGCTAGAGCTCGTCATCTTTTGTAATTTTGAGAAAAAAGATGAAGATGCTTACTCGGAACTTATCTCGTAAGTAATGTAATTTTGAGGGAGTTTCCAGTCTAGTATCGTTCTAACGTACCTGAAGAATCTACTTCCCACCTGCAGGACCGGAAAAGAAAGTTGAGAAGACAGGAACCGTTGATGTCACCAAAGATTTCGAAGCAAAGCTTATCGAGTCGATTGGCAATACTCTTCCTGGACTCACGGAAACCAGACCCACCGAGGCCCCTTGTTCGAAGAAAGATCCCAAAGAAGCGGTAACCACTTCTACGGTGAAAAATAGCCTGAAGCAATCCACCTCTGTGCCAGTAAACTTTACAGAGAGCGATGGGCCAGGTGACTTTATTCTGATAGATAAGGACGAACATAAAACTGAGGATAAAATCTAAGCGGTAAGTATGGTTGCAGCCCGTACATAAAGCACGCCTGTTGACCTTAACTAGCGAATGAAGTTCAACCATCGGTAGTTCTATAGTAGAAGTATGGTTGGAGGGAATACTCGTTACACTCCATGTCGTCCATAGGGAATCGTTACGATATGGTTTGTGTAAAGGGGAACGCAGGAACTCTGCTTGATTAGTTAATGAATCCTATTTGTGAGCTTGTTTTCCTCATTGGCCAGAATCTTTTCTGAATCTGTCTCCCGCAGTTGTGTGGCAAAATACAATGAGGTTAAAGTTTGTAGCCATACTGCTACCCATACTGAAATCTGCATATATATCTCAAAGGTTCCTTACAAATTCACAGTGTGTAGCTTCCATTCCGAATCCCCATTACAACTTGAGCATATCTCTTTATTCATAAATTTCCTCTATCGCTCCTTATCCTATTTAAACATGTCAATCCTTCCGGAAACCAGTCGAACACCAACCCAGTCAGCTGAATCAAACTACAAGATATTGTGTCCAACCCTTTGGCTAGAAGCAGAACTACGCAGAAATAGTGAAAGAAGCGGTGTAGGAGGACCAAACTCACGCTTCACAAAATCCCGCGAAGATATCTTTTGGGAAGAATTCGAAAGACGTCTCGCAGGAGCCAATCACACTGGTCGGGATTTTATCGACTTCAAGAACCTCACGGCCGATGAGTTAAGGCCTCTAATATCAGAATGTTTCCGCAGAAGCTCCTCGGATTTTACAAGGAGGTTCGACGACCCACGATGGAACCTTGGGAAAAGTAGAAGTGAGATTGTAGAGGAAATTTTGGAGCAATTACTTGCTTTGCGCGAACAGGAAGTGGCAGCCGAGTCCCAGTCCCAGTCCCAGTCCCAGTTGCAGTTGCAGTTCCAAAATTGGTTGGATGAAGGTGAGGCGGCACAGGAAATACAGATCGAAGAGGAACATATGCCTTATATCGATCGGGGGACCACTGAAGCGACACTTTTATCTGATACTCGTTATCGTAGAGCGTAACGAGGAACGAAGTACATAAGCCACGAGACAAAAAGCATTTGTGCGTAAGTCTTGCTCCTATCCTAGCCAAATTGGGGTGCTAGTTAGATGCTAATCATAGTCAATAATATCTATCAGTGATACAGGGCTATGCATGGGCTATGCATGGGCTATAGTGGAAGATGGTCCGGGGGTTGAACCAATGGAAGATAACGGTATGCGGTATTGAGGCTGCTTGGAAACATTGGGCTTAAGGGTTTCGGGGAATTTTGGACAGATGCGGAAAACGAATAGTCAACCAACAAGGTTGAGAATTAGAAGGAACCTTTGAGATGGGATGGTGCAATTGAATGAGTTGTCATATTGTTGCTACGTCGTTGCGTACAAGAAATCATAATGTGGCATGTTTTAATCTCGAGCTCACAAAACGTTCTTTCAAAGCGACTTGATACTTGCCACCGGGTCCCTGTCTATACTTATATTCATTATTGCTGCAAGAGAAAACATCTGCCATACATATTCTTGAGAGAACCTGGTCCATATTATATCTATTCCGTCATATGCGCTCATATGACTGATTCTAACTAAACGGTCGACATTCTGGGGCTGTATTTCTTCAGTTGCGATCCTTGTGGGAATGCGAAACTGGTGAGATGTAACAGCGGGTGGGATCCGGGAACAATCGATCGAGCCTCCTTCATGCTACAATGGAGTGTTCCCCCACACGAAAGAAAAAGAAACAAAAAAGGCCCTCGCCCAAAGAGGAAAATCAAACACATTGCGCGACCGTACTCGGGGCAGATAAATAGTATCGGACAAGGCAGGCTTCTTGCCCACCAATGGATACGCGTACCAGAGTTAACGTCTGCTAAAAAAGTCCAGAGACAGGACGTGCATTGTCGGTACTTTTTTTGCCTGCCTGCACACACATGTATACATATCTACCCGCCGGTAAACTCCCTACATACATACCCACAGCCATTTCCCCAGAAAAAAAAGGGGGGGGAGTGTCACAGTTTGCACCGCATGGATATATCTGTGTATATACGACATTGATGCTCTCAGTTCTTTTTGTGTCGGTTTAAATTCTCATTGTTGATTGGCTGTAGCTACTAATTGGGAGAGGATCAAAAGGAATTACATGTAATTTGGCCCTTGGCGCGTAGGGTAAGAAAGCCCCCTAACTAGACGTAGCCAGTAGATGTAAAGATCAAGGTTTCGCTGGAACCCAATAATTTCACGGAAGCATCAAGACCGGCCACTCCGAGACACAGAACTCGAGACAATGACGATTTTTTTCTCATTAAGACATCGGAGATCGGCTCAGTATATAGCTCTATTATATACGGTATTATCTATGTTGCTTGTCTCTACACTAGATCTCTGTATGTACATGTGTTCGATTCTAGATCGTGCAGTAGAGATGTCTGTTGGCACCGTGACATACAATTATGAATATATGTTTCTTTGGGAATATTACTACATGCAGTGACTACATGTTGTAATTAATTGCCGTGATATATGCCGCTTTAAAATTTACTTACTCATCTGTAAGTACGATGTGCTCATAGCTATATTATAGACGACATCATCGTGCAGACCAGCAGCTATACGTTGCAATTGACACCAGTAGCACAGATACATGTAGCTGAATAAATCTACAAATGAAACCTGTACCACCAGTGAGCTGTTACCTTCTACTCCCTCGTGGAATCGAAGCCCTTTAATAAATCCGTAATGATTCAGGGAGCCACCGAGTACACATGTATCAAGCATAAGGCTGCGAACGATACACAATGTTGAAAAGTTGTGTGTTATCAAAAGTGAAATGTAAAAGTTCAACCACGATCTCTAGCTTCCATGCTCACTCTAGTGGGCCCTATTTGCAATGGCCACTGGCAATGATCGATATGCAGCCCCATTGAGATATATATATTGCACCAATGAATAAGTGTTTACGGTTTTTTATGACATGACGGCCGAAATACAAAAGAAGAAGTATATATGAGGATTAAATATTTCTTATCCTAACGTTAGTGGCCATATGAATACCTACCCGGGCGCGGCAAATTTTTAAAGCTGACAGCTAAGACCAAATTCCTCCCAACAATATATGGTGCCATTCTATATTTCAATGTTATATAAAGTATGTATATGCGCATACTTGCATAGCTTTCGATATATGTTGCATGTTCCTGAGACATTACATGTAGTCACGTGTAGCTAGAGTTGTTTGAATTATTATTATTGCTTAATAATCAACGTTCATGAATTATCACTCAGGCGCATATGAGAGAACTCTTTCCAATAAGAAGCTTCAGGACTATTGTGCATGAAGATTGCATATAGATGCAAGTACGATTGTTAGTTAGGGTAGTAACCAGAAAATGAAAATTACATTTATTTGTGGAGTGGTAGCGCCATTCGCTCATTCAAGCCATCCCTAGCCCTTTCCTGATAGACGAGTATAATCTTATATATAATGCAAGACTTAGGAATAAATCAATATATCTTGAGCTTCCAAACGGCGCGAGAAGTCGCGAACGAGAAGGTCGTTAACAGCCGGCAGATAAGCTACCCTCTATCGGCATCCCTTGCGGTGCGTGGTAGGTCTTGCTTGAAAATGATGAGGGGTGATGTGCGTCAAGTGTTTGCAACTTTCCGTCTCGCGGCTTTTTGGTACTCCAGGGACCATGCAGGCCAAGTCCCTCCGATTCATGCACAATTCATTGGCTTGTGGCTTCCTCGTTGGACTCTTGTACTATCACAAACACATTTAATGCAATTATCAAAGAGGGGCGTCCTGTTTCTTTATACCGAAACTCCAATAGTTCATATATCCCGCTATGGATCTAGGTTTATGTTCTAGCGATGATTTTTGGGTTTGGGCGATGGTTTTGTCTATCCTCCAGGTATGATAATCCAATTTACCATGCTTTCAGCTTCGCCCCCCGGGTGTAAAGTAAGGCAGTAATAGGTCAATCTATCTGTAGAGAAATTCGAACGAACACCGTGCCTGCATGCCGCGGAATACCGAGAAGGGTACTCTATAAACAGTGATATTTGAGCAGGGGTTCCGCGGCTGCCTATTGCATGAAATACCAATCAAATAGGACCACTCCCACGTTCCGACGTACCTACATAAATTTAGCCTTTGTTGTATATAGTTAGATACATGTGATGTAAAGGTGTTCGTAATGGCCCTTGCACTGATAAAGTACGCCACTATATTGTGAATCACAAGAAGGTTTATAATTATAGAGAGGCTATAAGTGTATGATTCTTACGAACGATATATGGGATTCGCTGCTAAGAGAAACTAAGATGTGTTGATGACGATGATGTTTATGAAACCGATAGGGCGATGTGCGCGGGCCTATGGTAATGGTTGTGCCTGCGAATGCATTGTTGTAAAAAGGAACGTCAAAGTAAAGCCATAGTTGTGATGTTGGGTATGTAGACGTCAGTGACACCTACCTGTACAGTCGTTCACGGAGTAAACGGCTTGGCAGCTTGCTGTCACCATCAGGTTTTCATAATATATGAATGAATATGGATTCCTAAAGTATCGCAATACTCATTTAATAAATTATTGACGCTAGAATTCTACCACCTTGGTACCGGTTTAAACTGGGGCAACTACTCACGCGTTTATTGGGCCCAGATTTATTTTGGATTTGTTTTCAACGATGTTGACAATGACCAAATCCGGATCAACGCCTGGATCAATGGCGAATGGAAAATATTGGCTAGTCATGGAGACACAAACCAATCAACTTGATCCATAAATGACAGTAATCTCTTTTGGCTGGATTTATTAACCGCCGTACTTGGTGTAAGTAAAGTCATGTGCTTAGTCTGGAAGACCTGTCACGATCTATTCGTCGAGTTTAGAACAACCATGCTCTGTTGGCCTAGAGTTCCTAAGATGTTATCGAGAAGAAAGACCACCTATGGGTGTGGAGCAAAAGCAACAGAATCAATATATAGCAAGGTAAATAGTATGAGGGCTATAGCGGTGCGGAGCCAATACCAGAAGCTGGTTCTAATAATCAACCGCCTTTCGAGTGATATCCCATGATTGACCACATGCTGTACTTTAAACCCAGCGAACCTAGCCACTGTTTGGAGGTGTCAGCGATTCTAAAGACCTACTAGATTCAAACCCATAGCTAGATGTAGTTATCCGCAACGACGTTATCCACACGAGTGTTTGGAGTTGAGGGTGGGGAGCATTTCCGCCATCTGTGCCATATGGGTGGTCTGGATGTTCATAGGCCAAGTTTAGAGTGTAACTTCGTGAGAATGGTCTAGGTGTTAAGGCCTTGACCATTCTGCGCTGCGTGGTCTCTCTTCCTGTCGATTTTGGACCGGACCTTCACACCTTTTAGTTCTGCATAGAGGACTGGGTATGTACATACGCGTGCAGTGCTCCGTTCATGTTTGTACGGCTAAAACAACTTGAGATTTGAAGATTCCTCAGTCGTTGTACTTCTCCCCGGCCCGGAGTGTTGTCCGTAAGCTTATTGGGAACCGAAACGATCGAGTGAACTAAAAGTCAACGAGTAAAGCACAAGCTACGCGTGTCTTCCCGTGAGCACTGTAGTTGGATACCTTCAAACGTACTCCTCGCTGTCAGAAAGAGGGGCGGAAGAGTTCCAACATCCAAACCAATTTCATCCAAAACCCTTCCACGAGACTGAGTAGTTGCATGTAACTGGCGCATCATATATCGTTTGAGCGAGAAGTAAGGGATAGTGTTTGAGACTGATCGATCGCTGGTCAATGGCCTGTCTACATATGTACATATGTAGCCACTAGACTCGTTCCCAGCTGCTATGGGCACGAGATTATGTAGCAACATGCAAAACAAAACCGTGGCCAATGTCAAGGACCAAGAGAAGGGAAATGTGTGACAGAAAAAGAAACGGGGGGAGTATGTATCTGTGATTTGGATAGGATACGGAGGTGCTCTTCTCAATTGGAAGGAGAAAAAATGTCAAGAGGGAGTAGGGAGGGGGGGGGAAGGGCAGAGGCAATATCCATCATGTGGAAGCGCGCGGACCGAGGGAGGAAGGCTCGAGATATCCCAGCACCCGCCTAGACACAGCCCCCTCTTACCCCATATTCCAGGGACCTAGCCCAAGTTCCAGGACGTGTCGACAAAGGACGGTGATAGCGGCATCTTACAACCTCTCTCCAAAGTCTTATGATAGTTGTATACACACTCTCCGCAAGATTAGTGTGAGTAAGGTCTAGAGAATCTCGTACGTACGTATATCAGGGTCTAATCAGCAGCAAACAACTTTTTGCCACCTCACGACCGCTTCCTCAGCTAGTCAGCATGGGCCAGACCGGTAAAAACATGTCACTCCACCATCCATTGGAGCATTTATGTACCCGGGGGTGCCGGAAAGTGATGCAACGATCAAATAGTCCATATTTCTCAACAACCAAACCAGCTAACAGAATGTGGAGCGAATCTATGATAATTTAAAGCTGGAGATCATAGCTCTGGTAAGAGTTAATATGAATAGCTATTGCTTCTCCTTTTATTACTGTCTCTTGTCACAAGTTGTCCTTTTGCAGTCAATGACCTGAAAAGAATACAGGCTCTAGATCTATTCTAGAGACTCATGTATCATGCGTATGACTAAAATATCCAACCTGTTCAAGCATTGTGTTGAAATTCTGAGTGCCTTTCGGCGTTACTAAGTCAAACGTTGCATCACTTTCCGGCACCCCCGGGTACACGCCGGCCTCGAGAACTTAATCCCTATGTTCATGTTAGAGTAAGAGCGCGTTCTGTTGTACCGCATATTGTTCTTGGGGTATGTTGGCAACCAACAAAAGTGATCTTGGCAGACCTCAAATATGGCGCCGATATCATAAAATGCAATAATGAAACCATCATACCCAGCGTAAAATATTAACCCATCACCCTAATCTCTTGGTTCCTTGATCATGCTACAATGCTTTCAAATCTACCGCTAGACGGTAAATTATAGTGTATTGGGCTGTAGTCTTATAATCTTACAACCCTGTGATATTCAAACAACATATTAATTGCAGAATGCACCCCAATTAAACCCTTACAATGCGGCCAGTTAGTTACAGAATCAATACCGGCCATGGCCACCCTTTTTTACAACGACCAAAGACTGCCATGCTATGGATTTGTTGTCCAACTAAATGACACACCCAGCCGGCAGGCTACATGTAGGTACATGTAGGCTATGTTTTGGGGTAGTGGATATACTGCACCGGCTAACATGTGCCCACACCAATGTTGATGCATGCTTCATGAGTTATCACTCGACCAGAAAGTTGGAATGACAGTGACTAGACACGTCATGTGTTTGTGCCATTTGGTCCGTAGCAACATGTAGACAGCTGGCTGTCTGGGCCCTTGTGCTTACTGGGGTCCAACAACCAAACTCCTCCTGTCACTTCTGGCCTCATTCCTAATCCTCAATTGCTACTCTCTCTCTCCTCTATAGCTATGAATCATTTTGCATCCACCAAACACTCTACAGTCTCTTTGCACGCATTTCCTGTAGTGCCACGCCCTTTGATTCTAAAACTACAGCTATTATATACACGAGGTGAATGAAGATGAGCTAACAATCTATAGGGTAAAAAGAGGAAAGAGAAACAGAAGAAGCTACAACGGATTAGTCCAACACGCTCAACATCTCTTCCTCACTCGCAAACTTCTCTCTCTCCTTCCCCATCTTCCTACCCCTCTCCTTCTCCGCTTCATCGATCTTGCGCCACTGTTCCCAATTAATCGGTCTGAGCTCCAGTCTCCCAACCTCACCTTTGAGTGCATCCCAGCCAGCCCTCTTCTCGAGCCCGCCGAATTGCAGGAATTCCTTTTCACCCGCGACCCAATCACTCACCATAACATCACCAGTGTCGAAAGCATCATACATGGTGGTAGCAATGACGCCCGTCGGTCCGCGCTTTACCCATCCGCTTGTGTAAACGCCCGGAACCGGGACCCCAGGCTCCCCCGTCGCTGGGTCCAGCGGGTGCACCACACGGCCGTCTTCATTCGGCACAAGTCCACGTGCACCATTGAATGGGATGTCCAGTTCTTCGAAACCCGGTATCGGCTCACTCAGATACCCGATACTGCGGAATGCGAGCCCTGTCTGTATTGTCTCTGTCTCGCCCGTCTGTGTCACCCGGCTCGTGGGACTAAACGGCTCCTCGAGCTGCATCTTATCAAACAGAACCGCGCCCAGCCTTGTTGGGTCCGCTACCGATGGTAGGAACGCCTTTGGAGAGCGCAGAAAGCCCAGTTCCCACGATTTAGAAGCAGTCTCGAGTGCGGTACGCGGCCCTTTCTGCAGCACCTGTAGCATGCGCTTCGGTGCCCTTTGGAGCCCTGCCGTGTCCGTTGGAAGCAACTCCGGGTTCACAGGCGGGAATCCAACACCGGGTAGCGAGAGCAGCTCCCGCAGCTCCTTCACTGTGAACGACGCCTGGAGTGGCCCACGTCGTCCCACGACGCGTACACGCCGCACTCGGCTTCTACCCAGCGCCTCGAGCGCATACTCCGTGATGTCCGTCTTGCGTAGCTCCTCAAGGTTCATGACGAGAATACGGGCCACGTCCAGCGCAACATTCCCTTGCCCTATGATGACGGCTTCGTCGCCGAAGGAGTCCAGCCGGGGGTTCAGCGACCGGTACTCTGGCAGGCCGTTGTACCAGCCAACGAACGCGCGCGCCGAGAAGACGCCCGAGAGCGAGTTCTCACCGGGGATACCAAGCTCACGGTCCTTGCTGGCGCCATATGAAAGGAGGAGGGCGTCATAGTGTGGGGCCAGCGTCGTGAGCGGGAGTGAGCGGTGCGGTGGGTGCGGCCACGAAGTCCCGATAGGGAGGTTACCGATATAGGTGAAGCGTGGATCTTGAGCGACTTCGTTAAATTTGTCTTGACAGTTCTATGGGGTGTCAATGACGTGTGGTAGGGGCAGATGATCTCACTCATACCTTGACTTCTGGATGGTCCGGGGCTACGCCGAATCGCACAAGCCCGTATGGCACCGGGAGAGACTCGTACATGTCGACTTTGGCATTGTAGAGCTTACTGAGGACCCGGTAAGCTGTGTAGAATCCTGCTGGGCCTGCACCGATCACAGCGAGGCGGAAGGGACGGTCCACTCTGTTCTGGGCCGGGGAAGCGGAGGTTTGTAGGTTTCGGCATTGGCGGCCGCGGGGTAACGACAGGGCCCCGCCTGCACCTCTTCTTTGTAGTAGTTTTAGTGGCAGGGTCATGTGTATGTAGTATGTACTGAGTGCAATCCGTAGATGGATGAGCGGGCAGAGCAAGGGAATAGAAACTTCAGGCCAACATCAATTTTGAAAAATGCTGGTTGCAAAATTGCAAGTTGCGGGTAGCAAAACTGATGGTTGCATGTCGCTGGGTGGCAAATAGCATTAATTTTTCAAAATTGATGGTTTTGAGCCACGCAGGTGCCACTAGATCATTTGTATGCACGGGTAATGATTCACAGACCGTGATTGAGGGTCCTGCCCGCGGGGCCCCCACTTGACAACAGCAGCAAGCAACGTCCAGGGTTCTGCCCGGTGCTGTCTACTGGTGGTCAGCTCTACTACTCTACTACTCTACTACCTACCACAGTCTACTCTACTATTTATCTACTATTTACTACTACTAGGGTAGCTCGAGTTCGCCAGTACTAGCTGCCACTCTGCTGCAGAAATACTCCACGCCCCCCACACACACATACACACACAGAGTCCCCCGCAATGCATCCCCGCAGCCCGTACGCAGAGTACACCGACTTTGCCCAGCTCGCAGAGGGCTATCCGTCCCTTGCTAAACAGTAGGCCCTGCCTCGCACGTCTGTTGTTACTCTACTCTGCTCTGCCCTACTATTTGATTGGTACTATTAGTACAATAGTAGCTAACTAATCACCCCCCCCCCCCACAACGGCCTAAACCACGTGCAGCCTTGTAAACAACTCAATCAACTTCAAGGATCCCGATGCAGTCCGGTAAGAGATATAAAACCCCCCTACCTACCCAGCCAATGATTCCCAGCACTTTTATTTTTTTTTTTATTTTTTTTTTTAAAAAAAAAAAGAGAGAGAGAGAAATACTGAGAATAAGTGGTTGTGCTCGCACAGGGAACTCACGAAATGCCTGCTCAAGCGCGACTTTGGCCTCACCGTGGACCTACCCGAGGACCGCCTGTGCCCGACGGTGCCGAATAGGTATGTCCAGACCCTCCCTCTATCCCAGTGGTACTAGTAATCGATATTGGCCGGCTTTCAGCGCTGATATATATGCTTCCCCGGGGGATACATGTAGGCTCAACTACGTCCTCTGGATGCAGGACCTCATAGACTCGACCAGCGGCGGCCCCACCGACGACTACGACCCCGGGCGGAAGGTCGTCGGGCTCGATATGTACCTCCCCCCCCCCCCGGCCGCGGGGTATGCTGACGGTAAGGTGCGGCACAGAGGTACAGGAGCAAGCTGCATATACCCGCTCCTCGCCTGCGCCTCGCGCCCGGGATGGCACATGTACGGCAGCGACATCGACGCCGCCTCCCTCCGCGCCGCACGCTCCAACACCGCTCTCAACGCTGACCTCATCGGCGGACGCATCACGGTGCTGGAGAGTACGCCCGACGGGCCGCTGTTTCCGCCTGATATCGAGACGTAACCACCCCTCCCCCCCCCCCCCCCGCGGTTGGCTTCCTCAAAGTTAGTAGGTATACTGACGGAGTCAAGACTCGACTTCACCATGTGCAACCCGCCCTTCTACGGCTCCGCGGCGGACCACGCCGCCTCCGCCGCGGCCAAGGCGCTCCCGCCGTCGTCGGCGTGCACGGGCTCCGCGGCCGAGATGGTGTATGCCGGCGGGGGCGAGGTCGGCTTTGTGGCGCGCATCATCGAGGAGTCGTGGAACCGTGGGGGTGACACGACGTGGTATAGTAGTATGGTGGGGAAGCTGGCGTCGCTGGCGCCGCTGGTGGAGAGCGTGCGGGCGCGCACGGGGAACTATGCGGTGACGGAGTTTAGGCAGGGGGCGACGAGAAGGTGGGGGCTGGCGTGGTGTTGGGGGGGGTTGAGGCCGAGGGGGGTGGGTGGGGTGAGGGGGGTTGGGGCGCCGTTTCCGACGGTGGTGGCGGTGGGGGGGCGGGGTAGTGTAGGGAGGGTTGTAGGGGTTGTGGAGGGGTTGGGGGTGGGGTGGGTGGGGGATGGGGGGAAGGAGGGGGGTCCTGTGGAGGGGGAGGGGGATCGGGTGGTGGGGCGCGGGGAGGCGAGGGGCGATGTGTGGAGTCGGAAGGCGAGGAGGAGGAAGGGGAGGGGGGAGATGGAGGTGGAGGGCGGCGAGGTGAAGATGGGGTTCCGGGTGGAGGTTGTGGGCGGGGAGGTGGTGGTGCGGTGGACGAGGGGCACGGATCAGGTGCTGTTTGAGAGCTTTTGTGGCATGCTGAGGAGGTGTGTGAAGGAGGCGCCACAGGCAGCGTAGGTCTAGTTAGTCTTTTTTTTTAAAAAAATAAAATACTTGCGAGTTTTATCGCTTTCTTCCGTTCTGCTGTCTTTGTCTTGTGGTGTATATCTTTTTTTTTTGTTGGTGTTGCGGTGTTGGTCGGTCCTTGATAGGCCAACTACCCGGGCTGTGGGCGACGAGTGATATCTGGAGATGCACGCGCAGAATTTGATTTTTTTTTTTTTTTTTTTTTTGTTTAATTCATTAATTGCGCAGAATTTGATTGATTGATTACTATACTTTATTAATACATAATAGGTGAGATGCGCGCGCAGAAACCGGGGGACTCTCGTCCTCTTGTGCATATAGCCAACAATTTCGTAGAGGGAGTATATGTATTTATGTTTTATAGATCATTGACACTGTATTTCTGCCGCCTTTATCTACGCCTCAACAGTACATAAGTCCAATGTGCGTCCTTTTAGCTTCATGGGATATCACTCGACTCCATTCACGATCATGGGGCCTTTTTTTTTTTTTTTTTTTTTTTCTTTATTCATGGGGGCTTTCGGTGTTAGGCAAAAGACTTGCACTTCACTTGATACCCCGTCACATTCCATCCTCCATGGCCCCACACCAACTCATATTGTGTCTACATCTACGGGGGTATTAAGCTCCCAAGAACCTGTTGCACTAAAGAAAGGTCTAAAATCCCCTACGTACCCACATATCTACAAACCTCCAAAAAAAGAAAGAACATTGACCTACCTAGACATGCCCTTACCCATACAGCAATCTCTCCACCCTCTCCGCAATCGCCAACGAGCTCGTCAACCCTACACACACCCAGTCAGCACACCCCCCCCTCCTTCTCCCCCACCCTCCTAGGATAAAGAAACTCACCCGGACTCTCAATCCCCAACAAATTCACCCACCCCTCCCTCCCCTCCTCCACCCTCACCACAAAGTCCACACCCCCCACCCCGCCTCCCTCCGGCCCCACGATCTTCGGCCGCACCCCACAATAATCCGGCACCAGCTCCTCCTCCCTGACCCCGGGCAAATAGCGGCGAATCTCCTTCACCGCCTCCTTCACCCTCCCAACCCCCGGCACCAGGTCCTCCGCGCCCCCAACCCACTCCACATCCGGCCCAAACCTCACCCGCCCCGCAATATCCAGCGTCAGATGCGTCCCCAGCCCGCCATGCCCCTTGACGGGCGCCGGATACAGCAGCGTGCGCACGCCCAGCGGCCGCCCACTGTAGCCGAAATACGTGCCCTTGCAGTAGTACGCCGTCAATTGGCGCTCCGGCGGGAGCACCATGTTCGCGATGCCCACGGCGCCCAGGCCGGCGGCGTTGACGACCACGTCGGCGGTGACGGAGCCGCCGGGGACGTCGATGCGGTAGCCGCTGGCGAGCGGGGTGACGGCGGTGACGGGGGAGCGCAGGGCGACATCGCCGCCGGCATCTTCGAGGGCGCCGTGCAGGTGCTGCATTAGTGCGTGGGAGTCGATGATGCCTGTGCGCGGGGACTCGAGGGCGCCGTGGCGCGCGGTGACGGACGGTTCGCGGGCGCGCACTTCGCGCGCGGAGAGGAAGCGGAGGGGGATGGAGTGGTCGAGGGCGTGGGTGTAGAGGGCGTTGAGCGTTTCGAGCTCGGGCTCGGTTTGTGCGAGGATGAGCTTACCTATGGGGGTGTTAGGGACTTGAGTTGGAGCTGGAGGAGAGACTCTCCCGAAGATTCGGAGGCCCCCTCTATATATCAAGACACCTACCCGTCCTCCGAAACGGGATCCTCGCCTTCTCACACAACTCATAGAGCATTTCCGCGCCCCTCACACACAGCTCCGTCTTGAGCGAGCCCGCCGGATAGTACAGTCCCGCATGGATAACCTATGCCTTTCCCTCAGCTCCCGGCCTCCTCCAGTGCACTCCTCCCATAGACAGAGGGATAGAGGGACAGATCGGGGGATGAGAAAACGCACCTCCGAGTTCCGCGACGACGTCTCAGTCCCAACCATCTCATGCCGCTCCAGCAGCACCGTGCTAGTCCCCGGATGGCGCACCGCGAGCTGGCGCGCGACGGCGAGGCCGACGACGCCGCCGCCGATTACCTATGCCGGGTGTTAGCCCGGGATATGGGGAGAAGGGGGGGAGGGAGAAGGGAGGGTACGCAGTGTGTGTAGTCGTTTTGGCTGGAGCCGGAGAGTGTCGAGGCCAGGCGGCGGGGGGTGGTGCGGAGGATGCGGTGCATGGTGAGTGTGGTGGGGGTGGGGGTGGGAGAGTAAGGGATGGGGTGGGGGTGGGAGGGGTGTTTTATAGTGGCCAAGACGGGTCGGGTCTAATTGACGGATGGTGTGCGGGAGTGGAGATATGCAGGTGAGTGGGATGTGGAGAATGATGAGAAGAGTGGAGTGGGGCGCTTATCGATAGGTGAGGTGTTATGACGTGCGGCAATTAATGGCTGCGACAGGGACAGGGACAGGGACAGGGTTGTGTGCAGATACGGAGAGAGAAGGAGAAGGGAGAGAGCATCTGTGAGAGAATGGATTGGAGAGAGTGGATTAGGGAGTGGGGATAAGAGTAGGAGAGAGGCATTGATCAAGTTCACCAGATAACACCCCCGAGAAGGACGAATTGCTAACGGAGGAGCAGGCATTGGGTCTATAGCAAATATAACGATTATGATTGTACTGCGCTCTAGCTACACCACCACAAGATATACAACACAGCAGCACCAGTCAAGTCAAGTCAAGTCAAGTCAAGAGAAAAACACAAGCAGCACAGCAAACAAGAAAAAAGAGAAAAGAGAAAGAAAAACAGAGATAACCTCTAAGCCCGAAACGCCATTTCCACACTTTCTATCAGCTCCACGCATTACCATTAAAATGATATCTCCGACTCCCCCCACCCCACCACACACCACCCACCCCCATCTACAGCGCATGCACAAAATCCTCCGGCAGCCCCTGCTCCACCACCGCCCCCTCCCCCTCCCCGACCGCCACTCCCACTCCCACTGCCACCCCTAACCCAACCCCCTCCCCCCCGCCCGCCGCCTTCGCCCCCAACTCCGCAACCTGCCTCTCCAGCTCCCTAATCCTCCTCTTCAGCATCTCATTCTCCCTCGCCAGCATCTGCGCCTCCGCAACATAAAACGCCATATCCGAGTGCGCACTCCCCAACCACGGCACATTCCCGCTGCCCGCCGCCCCCTCATCACCAATAAAGCTCGCCGCCACAATCCCCGACCCACTCGGCCTCCTCGCCGAATTCTCCCTCGAGAGCCTCCCGGACCCACGGCGGCTCGCCGGCGCGGTCGTGGACGCAGAGTCGATGGTGGCCGCCGTGGACATGCCGTCGTCGGACTGTAGGTGCTGCAGCCGGATGAGGTTCAGGAGGCGGTTGACTTGGGCCTCCTGTTCGGTCTCGAGCTCCTGGTGCAGCTCGGTGAAGGCCGCGGCCTCCTGCGGGGAGTGGTGGCGCGGGAGGCGCTGCGGGAGGGTTGGGTCGGGCGGGGTGCGGCGCGAGGTGACGGAGGAGAGGGAGAGGGAGGAGGAGGGGCGGCGGACGTGGATGTTGGTGCGGGGGGAGGGGGAGGGGGTTGCGGGGCGGGAGGTGTGCGAGGGGGCCAGCGTGGCTGCTGGGGGGGTGTCGAGCTTGTTGACGTCTGGCATTGTGGGGTTTGGTTTGGTTTAGTTTATGCTGACGGTTTGTAGTTATGGTAGGTTTGTAGTTATGGTAGGTTTGTAGCTATGGTAGGTTTGTAGCTATGGTAGGTTTGTAGCTATGGTAGGTTTGTAGCTATGGTAGGTTTGTAGTTATGGTAGTTGTTGTTGTCGTAGGAGATGTTGGAGAGAAGGGAGAGAGGTTTAAGAGAGCAATTGCACGGGGGGACACCTTGGAACCTTCTAGACGGGATTAGCCGGTGGTGAGGTCAGGACTCAGTTGAGGTTGGCGCACTACTGATTGATCTGATCTGATCTGATCTGATCTGATCCGCCGATAAGATAAGATACTCGATCTCCTCAGGCACGGGGGACGGAAGTTACCAGCAGAGTCAGCAGTGTCTAAACCCACGCAGCAAGCAGCAAACAACACCTCGTAGACAAGCAATGTAGCAGTTACAACAAGCAAGCAACCCCTTTCTCTACATGTACTTATACAAGCTGCTCCGGGGGACGGTCTCTTATACCGCTGCATCAGACACAAAAAGCCCCGCCAAGCAACCCTTACTCCGATCCCCCATTCATGCTCGCCATGATGTCATTCCCACGACGCTCCCCCAAACAGGAGATTTTCAAACTCATTGAGCAGAGAAGGCTCCAGAAAGTAGTCGCTCCCGAAAAACCCCCTTATTAGGCGCGACACGTGGCCCGATCTGTTCCTGGATCGGCGGGAGGTGGTGGGTGGATTAGTATTCAGATATGTTTGTCCCGTATTGGATGGGGTGAATGGACCTCTTAGGGTTGGGGTTGGGGGTTGGGGGGAGGGGGGAGGGGGGAGGGGGGAGGGGGGAGGGGGAGGTTTTAAATAGTGTAGGCATGTAGGCATGTAGGCAGAGATGTAGGTATGGGATGTACGGGTATGGCATGTACGGGTATGTATGTACTTTAAGAATAGAGTAGAGCAATCAAGATCACGAGCATGCGCAGCGGCGCAGGTTTTTCCAGAGCACTCTCGCAGCAGTAAGGCAGGCAGTGCGGTTGCATACGCACGCATAAGCAGAAGCACGATTAGCGAAGCAGATAGACTGCATAACCTGGGGAAAGCTGGGAGCTGCAGCCTTCTTTTATACTTATACTTGTATCTACAAACACACACACGCAAACGCAAACGCAAACATGTTTGCGGAATCGAATCACGAAATATCATCCGTCCGCGCGCGCGCGGCCGAGTGATAGTGTATGATGTCTCTTCCTACCCTACCCACCCACCCACCCACCGCTCTAACCCCCTACCCTAACCTAGCAAGCTAGCGTGGCGGATCCGGGGGGAGCCTCGGCACCTAGCTACAAACACAATGCGCAGAAACAACACAAAACACCGTTCACCTCACCTCACCTCACCTCCCTCCCTCCCTTTCCGATCCTCCCGTAACCTCCCGGGGCAGGTCAGCACAGGCGGTTGGAAATCTCCGCAGAGGACCGGGCGGGTTGAGTGCGGTGAGGGTGAGAGGGTGAGAGGGTGGGCAGAGTGCAATGTTTCTGTTTCTGTTTCTTTCTCTCGAAGCTTTTAAAACGGGCAAATCAAAATTGCCATTCCCCGATCCGGGAGTGCAGCCGGGGGAATGTGGGGGGATTTTTTTTTTTTTTTTTGAGGGGGGGGGGGAGCACACAGACTGCGGTTGGGGGTTGTGGTTTGTGGTTTATGGTTATGGTTATGGTTATTAGGGTTATGGTTGGGCCGGGAGCGAGCGAGGGAGTGAGGGAGGGTAGTAAGTATGCTGTGCAATTAAGGATTGGATCGTTCGGAAGCTCGAGGGCCGGTGGCAGTGGGCCTCAGTGGTCAGTGGTATGCCAGTACGTACGGTGAGGTGAGCTTCGTTTGATCTGTCTGTCTGGCTGGCTGGGATGTTTAAACTCCCACCTATGACATTGATACTCACATGGTAGCTAGCCAGGTAGCTTCTCGATTCCCGAGTTGCAATTGGGCGCACATCTTGCAAGGCCTCGTTATTTACCAATCCCCATCCACACCCTAATATTAACGCACTGCACCCGCAATTAAAGAAATTTACTTGAACCTCTCATAACCTCCATCATCTTCCCTTCCATTTTCGCTTCTCCCCTCTTCTCTCCGTGATTAGAAGCGTCACCACCAACACAAGTAATGAAAAGAAAAGAAAAGGAAAGAGGAAAAAAAAAAAGGGTTCAAAGCGCCGTATTCGGGTTATATTTAGGTCTCACCCAGCCCTAAGTGGAGGAGGGTAGCCCGGACCTCCTCCCTCCAATCCCGAGGATCCGGACTCACGTTTCTGGAAAACCGGTATGATGATGGTGGTTGTTTTGGGGGGGGGGGGGGGGGGTTTGATTACCTAAATGGATGCGGTCTGTGGGTATTGCATTGGGATTGGCGGTGGGAATTGGACTGGTGGTGGAATTGCACGTGTGAGTATTGCAATTGGGATTGGGAGTGGGCTTTGGGTTGGAGATGGAGGTTGGTGGAGGGTGGAGTGGAGTGGAGAGTGGAGGAAGGGCGGTAGGTATTTGCAAATTGGAAAGAAAAGGCTTCCGCGGTTGGTTTACGTTGGTTATGAGGAGCTCGAGGAAGAGAAGGGAAAAGGCACGCGGATGGAGATTTGTTTTGTTTTATTGACCGACCGACTATGTATCTGACAGCTACCGGCGCGCGGTCTTTTCTTCTTTCAATGCAGACTAGTAGTGGAGCTGTAGGGGTGTGAGCCAGGGCCGGTGAGTAATGATATCATGACCAGCGCCATTCAAGCCATTCACGAAAGAAAAGAAAGAACGAAAACCAAAAAAAAAAAAAAAAAAAAACCAGTACAATCCTCATCGATTCAGGAAGTCGGCCCCTCGGGGCAGTCGGAAAAACCACGTACCCCCCCCTCTCTGAATCCTGATAACCGGCAGCGTAAGTATCTCTTTTTTCCCCATCATGTACTCTCCCTACGCGCACGACACGAGATATAAAAATAACCCCCCGGGACCTCCCCTCCCCTCCGCTTCCAGGTTTGCATATACCACTCGCAGCAATATATCGAGCATCGACGCGCGCGAGCTCTTTAAATCGCGCGACACTCAGCATGAGGGGTACATTATATAAGATCCTCCCCTCCACCCTCCCCCGGTGAGGTTCCACGACGGCGAGGTAAGGGGGGGTGTGTGTGGTGCTAAAAAAGTTTTTTGGGGGAAAAGGGTGAAGGGGGGAGCAGAGAAAAAAAGGTAGGAGGTTGAAACGGTAAAAAATCAAAAATCGCTTTTCCCATCCCTACGCATGCATCCCTACGGTTTAACTACATGTACCAACCCCTGCCTCCTCATGGCATGCCCATGCCCATCCATGTTCCCCTGCCAACCCACAAGGAGAAGAGCTGTGATATGGACCCGGCGATGGGGGTCGACGCCGTGGTTAATCCGCGTTGCAGGTGAGGCTATTAACTGGCCAGGTTTTAGCCATGGGCGCCCTGGGCAGGCACATCCTTTTTTTTTTTCCTTTCCCTACATGGTGAGTCTTGACTGCTCTGCTAGAATAGACTCCAGGGGCTTTTCTACCTAACTTGACCTAATCAACGTAACCTAAGCTCGCTTCAGCTGCGCGCACTTCGGGTATGATAAAATAGAAATAAAAAAAAATAAAAAAAATTCACTAGCCTGCTAAAAAGACGTAAAAAAAAAAGTGCCGGGCTCGGGCTGGTTCCCGCATGGTTTCCCGTTCCGCACAACCCACATCCAAAAAGAGGCTAGGGGAGGAAGTGGGAAACAGGCAGGAGTTGGCCCTTATCCCGGGAAGTTATGGGGGGGGGGGGGGGAGGGATGCACGGTGTGCGTACGTGCACGAGATGAGCATTGACTTGCTTGGGGCGGCGGGCGCGGACAGCTGCACTACACCCGTGGGAGATAGACTCGCTGAAGCGAGCGAGGGAGGGAGGGGTGGCAGAACAGACGAGTTATCAAACGCCCGTATGTGCGGACATCAAGTAACGAATGTAGACGTCAGACATGAGGTACTTCACCTCCTGCCTACAATGTATCTCTAAAGTACATACGGGGGGGAAATGTGTGGAATTGAAGACATGGGCTCTGGAGTCTAGTCTGTAGCTAAGAGTACTAGCCTGGCATTGACAGTGAGGCTAGTAACGGGCATGCAGCCTGAGGATGTGAGAAGAGGTGCAGCTGGGGAAAGAGGGCTGAATTGAGTAAATTAACAAAACGAGACTCGTGAGAGTGGGAGTCCAGAATGGAGGCCACTAGCTGTGTAGGTAGAGAATTCGAATCCAGAATCTACAATTCACAGATCCAGAGCAATCGGGGCGCACTCAAATGATATATACTTTGTTGTTGATGCATCATAACAGTTACTGGGTTGGGCATGTATCTCCACTTCCTCCCCCCAGAGACCCTCCTCACCGTACGTACCTCTGTTGGTGAGCTCTTTTTGTTTGTTTTGCAATCTGGAACCCTCCGATCTTTGACTGGGGACCCCTCCTCTCTGGTGATGATGATGGTGGTGGTGGTGCTGCTCCTGGTGCTGCTACTACTTCTGCTGGTGGTGGTGGTGGTCAGCCAGCCCCTTTCCTTCCGAGGAATCTAACCTCCCCCGAGCCGGCCCTCTTCCTCATCGTCCCTTTCCGCTTTTTCCCTCCTTCCCCATTCTCTTCCCTGTCGTTCTATCGCTTCGAATCGAGCCTGCCCTCTTTCGTTTTCGTTCCTGCCTCGTTTCTTTCCTTCTTGTTCCTGCCAGTATTTCCTCATATCATTCCTTGTTATTGATCACTCATATTGAGTTGAATCTTTTTATAATTTTATTTTTTTTACATTCCTGCTGAAGACTGTCTCTTCTCTCTCTTTCTTATATCGTTTTCTTGAAAACCAATTCATCTCCCCTCCTTCCTCTTCCCCTACCTTTACCCCCCCCCCTCCCCACATCCTGACGGATTATCTCTCTTGAATTCTTGTTTTTTTTTCTTTTACAATCCTCGAGGCCATTCCTGGTTGGATGCCTCTAATCCGCTCAGATGCTCGAACGTGGCCATGGATACAACAGAAATACGGGTATACCCATAGATGGTAACGCATACTACTACAACAACAGCAGCAGCAGCAATATCAATATCAATAGCAGCAGCAGCAGTAACAACCACCGTACTTCCTTCATGGCAACTCCTCCGCTTGCACCGCTAGGCATGGAGCCTACGGAGAACCCCCACCACTCCCACCACCATCACAGCAATAGCACAAGCAATAGCAATAGCAGCAGCAGCCATCACCACAGCAGCAGCAGCAGCAGCAGCAGCAGGCCACAGAAGGGCTTTTTCTCACTCTTCTCACGATTCGGCGTAAAGAACCGTTCACTTTCCCGGATAAATACAAAGTCCAGCGACTTTCCGAGGTTCGAGGCATCCGGCAACCATTCGGTCCCCAGCACGCCCATAACGCCCATGGCACCGACGACACCCCATCCGCACGTGAAGCACTCGCTGTCGCTCCCGGTTTTCTCCTCGCGACATATTGCGTCCCAGATTGCAGCCACAATTGACCAGTCACCGTTGTCTCCAACACAGAGGACATGGGAGCACATTCCCTACTGGATGGCAGCCACACGGGCAATCCGGTCCGGCTCATTGGCTGCAACCACACTTTCGATGGAGACAATCTTGAGGCGTAACCAGGAGCAGAAGGAGGAGGGTACCAGGAGTAGGCGTGGTCGCATACTACAGAGGTCTCATGCTTCGACAAAATCGGTGGATCTGGACTGGACGACAAAGATGTTTATCCTGGTGGAGGGGTCGCTGCTTCAGTATGCAGGAGATGGATCCGAGGACAGGGAGCCTGAGAAGGTTCTGCAGTTGACGGAGTCGTCTGTAGCTTTTGCGAGTGACCTAATCCCAGGTAGACCGTGGGTGTTGCAGGTTTACCAGAGTGCCGGGCCCGACGGGAACTTACCGATGCCCGAAAGGAGAGGCTCGTTCTTGTCGAAAATGCCGACATTTTCTCACAAGGCCTCGAAGAATTCCACAGCTTCGCTTTTGTTGGTATTTGATGGTGCAGAGGAGATGGATGCCTGGATGAGTTCGATAAGAGCTGAGGCTATCAGGCTGGGTGGTGGGGTTCCGGACCAGGAGAGAGGAGATACGGAGGATATCGAGGAGGAGGCAGAAGAGACTGATGTCGAGGATAATGAGAATACATATATCCATGCCAGGAGATACATGGAGAATGAAGGGGATTCGTCCAGGAACGAATCATCAGACGAAACTGCTTCAAAGCGGTTGTCTAACTCGACTTATTATCGTCGATCATCCACAGAAGCTGGTAGATCATTTACGACAGTTGTTTCTGGTGACCAGCTGGTTTTGGATCAGCTCCGAGGGTCAAGGCTTTCAATGCAGTCTATTGCTGATACGAAAGTATCAACAATCTCCCCAGATACAAGTCCTGATCGTTCGACTAGCACAAGGAATAAACGGAAATCTACAGCCTCTGTGTCTGCAAGGTCCCGTTCGTCCATGGAATTGAAACCATCATCTCTCCGTCCGTTGTCTGCAATTGATCGTGACGGAAACTTGTATTGGATTCCACGGACCCCTTCGCCATCCGCCCCCAATTTCTCACTGCCCACGGCTCTATCAACCACCCATATCCAGCAGCAGCCTGCAAGAAGGCCCCCCATGGTAGTTTGCCAGCCCATTGCTATACCCCACAATCCCACCCCACCATTGTCAAATCGTCCGAGCTTGTCTGCATTGTCGATTGTCGATTCACTACCGGATTCACCACCGTATCCACTTCCACGGCAGCGCCACCGTCAAGCATCTCATTCCACCCCCGCATCACCAAGAGTAGCGTCAGGGCCTTCACGACCCCGTCCCGTATCGATGGTTGATCCACGTTTAGCAACACCAGAGGTGACTATCACCAAAGCACCCACACTTCCAATGCTCATCAAGAAGCATCACTCGCAAGCCGGCATTGCAATCACAACCCGGACAAAGTCTCTGAGGAGGAAATCGATGACGGCCATTGGTCCCGCAGATGGACCGCCGCTCCACCCACCCCCCTCCATTCCACTACCACAATTGCCCCCAGAGCCATATGATGACCTCTATTCCTCATCGCTGCCGAGCACATCCTTCCTGGGCGGGCGCAAACTGCCCGCGTCTCCGTTTGTGCAGGCACCAAAGCCGCCCTCAGCTACGCCTTATGCGTTCAGGTCGCTGGGGAGCAGGCATTCATTCCACGGCGTTCGCAAGGGCGAGCGTTATGTATAATGCAGATTGTACCACGTCATGTTTGTTTGCTTGGCCAATTTTTTTTTTCGTTTTTTTCGTTTTATAATTTTCTTTATATTTACGGCTTTTTTTTTTCTCGTTTTTTCTTTGATGGTGTTTATATATGGGGAATGATTTTTCTTTTGTCTTGAATATCTTTTTTTTTTTTTTTTTTTTGGAAAGGGGGGAAACCAATGGGGGGAAATTTGCATTTTATTTTCTATTTTTATAGTCGCCGCATTCTTACGTTTGGTGTTTCTCTCTTCTAACGGCGCTATTCTGATTTATTCATTTCTTGTCACAACCTTGATATTGAGGTTTTGTATTTTTTGTTTCGGGTTTTTTTCTATTTTCTTCTGGGAAGGGGACGCGGGCGGTTGGGGTCGGTCGAGAAGGGATCCGGAGGCCTAGGGAAAGGAAAGGAAAGGGAAAATATGGATGGATGGATTTACTATACCTTGGCATCATATTATGGCATCACTACTTCTTACATCGGGGTCATTTTGGAATAATTTTTTTTCATATATCTTTTTCATCATCTTTGATACCCCCAAAAGAAAAAGACTGTTTTGTTTTTTTATTTCTAGGAGGCTAGGGAAGAGGGAATCACGTGGCCTATGAGGGGGCATGTCAAAAAACACATTTTATATTTTTGGCAGTCTGGGCCTTATGCTTTTCGTGGTTTTTTTCTCGTTTCTTCTTTCTTTCTTTCCTTGGTTGGCGCGGTGAAGAGGGGGGGGGGGGGGGGTGAAAGGTGCTCCTTCAGAAAGTTCTAGGTTCTACGTTCTAGGTCATAGACCGGAGAGAAGACGGGGGAGGGAGGGAAGCTGCAGATTGATATTCCTTTCTACATATTATTGCTTCCTAGCTAGCTGCAGCTACATATCTAGACCCTCCCTTAAATTCTCCCTGCCTTCTCTTCCGGATCCTTTGCGTATGGAGGAGCCCCCTACCTTACTATCATCTTTATCTATAAAAAAAAAAAAAACACTGTAGTTTATGGTTGTACTTACTGTACGATAAAGTGGAGAGAGTGTTTTAATTCAAAAATTTCAATATTTTTTTTTATATATATATATACCAGATCTGGATCCAGAGACATTGTTAAAGTAATTGCGGCTGTTATTGTTATTGTGCTAGAGGGAGGTTATGAGATGGGGATAGTCGGGCATGGACATGGCCTGAGGCCGAGTGAGCGCTTGTGAGGACTGACTGGCCGGCAAGCAGCCGACTGACTGACTGGCTGACTGACCTACCTCGCACAGCAGCACTGCATGGACCGCGGTCTGGGTTTCTTGTGGTCCAGCATTCCTGCTTCCTACTCCAGAATCAATGCCTACTAGAAATACCTGCCTATGTAGACACAAGGCATGAAATGAACCGAGTCTCGACCATTAAACGCTGTGTCACGGTGCTGCAGATCGCTAAACAGCCCCGATCGGGCCGCGCTGGCTGGCCATGCCTGTTGTGGCCGGGCTGCATCGCACCAATCAACCGTTGCAGATCTGCTGTTGCTGTGCTACCGTGCTGGGTGCTTCTCGACGTCTACGGCGCAGTGCAGCAAGCAACTATTGCCTGACCTGCCTGACCTTTGCCGGGGAGAGTGATAGTTTCTTGCGGAGAGGCAGAACACCACGATCAATCACGACTACACGGAGCGCGAGCAGAGAAAGAAGCAAAGGAAGGAAAGGAAGGGAAGGAAGGAAAGAAAGGAACACAGCTCAATCACCACCACCACCACCACCACCACCACCACAGCACGAATGAGTGCCGCCGCGCCCGCCGCCGTTGACGAGGAAGCAGCAGCAGCAGCCGACCACCAACAGCAGCCCGACGACGGCGACGATCCACAGGGCACTCTAGACCCGAATTCGTATACCGCCCATCGACTTGCAAGTGTTCCCCCTCACCCCCTCACCCTCACCCTCACCCCCTCACCCTCACCCTCCCTCGCCCTCCCGTCCCGCCCGGTCCATACATGTAGCTACATGTATCTACTACATCATACCCACCTACATGTAGCTGTCTAGCCACTCTAGCTACATGTACATCTTAGAGATCCATACTGACCGCCCTACCCTACTAGCACCACGCCACCCCTGAGCACCTGCACGTCACCACCCGCCGCGTGTAAGTTCCCTCCTCCCTCTCCCCTCTCTCTCTCTCGGGGCTGACGGTGATTGCGCAGCTTCGTCGGGCCCATCCCAGTCGGCTGGCTCAAGAACCACCGCTCAGAATGGTACAAGCACCACCTGCACGTCAACTACTCGTCCAAGGAGTCGTCATTCGCCAAGGGCGACAACGTCGGCTTCCGCCGCAAGGTCACGGGGCTCGGCGAGTCCGTGGGCGTCGTGGAGTCGTGGCGGCCGGCGGGCACGGCCGAGGAGGTGCTGATCGAGGATGACGAGGAGGAGGACCTCGAGGATGACGAGGAGGAGGGGGAAGATGGCGAGGAGGACGCAGAGACGCCAATCCCGCTGACGGGGACGGGGACGGGGGGGGCGGTGGGGCGCAATTCGGGGCCCGTGCCGATACCTAGGGCCGCGGCCACGACGAAGCTGGATCTGAAGCAGAAGGGCCGGGAGGAGGCGGGTGGCGGCGAGGCGGCGGCGGCGGCGGCGGGGTCGCCGCCAGAAAGACATCCGGGGAGGCCGTTTACGAGGGGCTCGCGGAGGGGCACGGAGCCGCGGTCGTTCAATCGAGGTGAGTCGTACGCAACCGCATACGAGTCGTTTGATTCCGCGGAGGAGGAGCGCCGACGCCAGCATGCAGAGGCAGCGAATATCACCAGTAGTAGTAGTAAGGCAGCGGCGGGCACCGAGAAGAAGCAGAATGGCGAGAGCTCGCGCGAGGGCCCGTTGAAGCTGGACCCGACGCTGTCGCGATCCAACACCGAGTTCACCGGCGAGCTCTCGCGTGCGGAGCCCATCCCGATCATGATGGGCAATGGCGGCAGTGATTCCGAGGCAGGCTCGGTGCCGCCGTCGGCGGAAGCATCCAACTCGTTAGCATCTCTCCTGAAGCATGATGAACTGGCGCGGCGGAAGAAGCTGAAGCGTAGTGAAACTAGTCGAGGGCGGCCCCAACTAGTGTCGCGGCCATCGCTGCGCCCGTCGATCCTCTCCATCACCCGCAAGTCGTCGCCGAAGAAGAACAAGCAGCGCACCGAGTCCGAGCCCGCGCCAGTCGCCCGCCTCACGCACGCCTCGACGAATAAGGACCGGGTCAACGGCGGCCTGGTCCGCTTCAACACCGCCGTCGATCTGCGCGAGCGCGATAAGCTGATGCAGCTGAAGCTGGCGGATATGAGCCGCAGCAGGTCGTTCCGCCATGCGGGGCGCCACTACTCGCATGTGCGGAAGCGCGAGGGCGAAATCATCAAGATGGAGAACATGCTCGTGCGGGTGGAGATAACGATGAAGAAGCTGCCCAACGAGTACGACGAGAACGAGAGCATGCAGGTCGAGACGCGCACGGCCGAGAAGTGGCGCGAGTATGTGGTTGTGTGCCGCGAGACGGGCGAGGAGGAGACGCCGTTCAGCCTGCGCCTGTACAAGAGCCGTGTGATCCCGGCGATTGATAGGCCGCATGTCTCGTCCCATGGCACGAGGGAGATCCCGTTGGACCCGAAGACGACGAAGGTTAACTTCTACTCGTCGCTGGATAAGACGCTGGTGCTGTGGCTGCCGTTTAAGCACGGAACTATCATATATATAATGCGGCCAAGGTGCTACTCGTCGTCGGTGGAGTGGTATACGTTCCTCCGGAATGCGCTGGGGTGGGCTCGCCCGGATTTGCTGCACATTGATGTTCCGGACCTCTCGCTCTCTTTGCGGATCGAGAATCCGTTTGGGAAGGTTGAGGAGAAGCTGCGGGATGAGACTCTGGACGATGAAGCGCCCATAAGGGAGGAGAAGGTCGTTGCCAGGAATCTGTTAAACCAGAGTATGGAGATGCTGGAGGGCATCAAGGAATGGGAAAACATCATCAAGCACTGGAAGACAAACGAGCGCATGGGACTCGCCTGGCGGCGCTACGACCGCATAGAATGGATCCATGGGGTATATCTCCCCCCACATTCCTAGCCTTGCCAAAAAAAAAAAAAAAAAAAAACGCTGACACCCACCAGTTGAACGAGCAGCGCATGTACGGCAGCATCGCCATGCAAAAGACGCACCAGCTCGAGCTGCGCCCCAAGACCCACTACCCCACGATCACCAAGATGCCCACGGGTGAAAAGATGGTGGAGCCGCCCCCCGTCGAGGGCTTCCTGCTGCGCCTCACCTCCAGCACGGGCCGCCACGAGCGCCTGGGAAAGCTCTTCTTCAAGCGCCTCTACTTCTACACCCACGACAGCCTCCTCTGCTTCTGCAAGCCTGCGCGCGCGCTGCCGCCGCCGCCGCCGAAGCTGCCCGTGCATAGGGGCACCATCCCGAAGACGAGCGAGATCATTGACGAGATACCGCTCATCTATGCCGTCGCGCCGTATAGTCCGGGCCCCGACGGCGAGATCCCGTGGCTGGCTAAGTCGGCGGAGGAGATCGATAGGAGGGATAAGGACGCCTATGATGAGGCGGAGAGGAAGGTGAATACGCTACTGAGGGCGGATGGGTTTGTAGACCTGGTGAAGGCGGTGGAGGTACGGCTTGTGAAGCGGCAACCGCAGGGGAAGGATGCGGGCGTAGGGCAGGGCGAGTCGGCGGATTTTCATCAGTCGGTGCCGGATTCGAACCACGAGGATGGAGCGGTGAGCGAGTTTAATGACGAGAGGGCGTTTGAGATCGTATTGGATAATGGGCTGGTTCTGAGGCTGCAGGTAAGGACCGCTGTGGACATCCGGGGGGGGCTGTGGAGAGGGGATGCTAATTGAGTGTTTGTGGTGTAGTGTTTCTGCCAGAGGACGAGGGACGAGTGGGTGGCGAGACTGCGCGATCTGATAACGTACTGGAAGGCGAGGGATAAGGACGATCTGGCGATCCTGAGGAAGACCAGGAATGAGAACCTGCGGGAGCTCAATATCGATGAGGAGATGGAGTCCATCATCGGGCAGTTTGCGCGCAAGTGGGAGGTCTCGAGGTCCATTGCGTCGGCCGAGATATTCAATGTCTGCGGCATGTCCTCCTGCAGAGCCATCACCGTAAGTTGCATCATATAATCTACTATTTTCCCCTACTGATTGTTTATCAAAGATCTCCGGCGTCCTCTACCGCAAACCGCGCAAGCACGCCACCTTCAAACGCTACAACGTCGTGCTCTGCCACGGCGAAATGCTCATCTTCCACCACACGTACCGCAGCCGCACGGGCGTCGAGCTGCCGTACGTGCACCAGGAACGCTACCTCTCGCTGCCGCTGCGCGACTGCTACATCTACTCGGGGCTCATCACGGAGAACGACCTGCTGTACCAGAACCAGACGTTCGACTCCAACATGCCGGGCCGGCACTCGCTGCCAAGGGTGTATCAAGATGGGATGACGAGCCATGACGAGGATACGATGATGTGCTTTGTGCTGTGGCATGGCATGCGCAGGTCGCTGTTTAAGACGACGGATGATGAGGGGCGCACGGTCAGGCATAGGGTGACGCAGCTGGGGGCCGCGGGGAAGTGTATTGTGTTTAAGGCGAGGAGTAGGGTGGAGAGGGATGCGTGGGTTATGAGTATTGGTATGGAGATTGAGAGGTTGAATATTAATACGTCGGAGGATATTAGGATCACGGCCGAGGCGCCGGGGATCTTTGGGTAATGGGCGTTTTTTTTTTTTTTTTCTCCCTTTGTTTTTTTATTGATATCATTGACCCTTTTTTTTTTTTGTTTTAACTTATTACTTGTAGCGTGCACGGCATAGGGCCCCGGGGGGAGGGGGGGTTCTCTATCTTCTATTCTGCTGTTGGAGTCTCTCTTATCTGTTATTGCAACTGTATTTGGCGCGTATAGCGATATGTTTTTTTCTATCCTTTTTTCTTTTTCTTTCCCCCTTCTTGCATGCGGTATTAAGTAGTAGGCGGCCCACTGTAATTAATCTAAGCCACGACTAAGAAGAAATGAGGAGGAGGAGCAGTATATACAATTTCTGGAAGGGAGAGTAGTAGCAGTAGTAGGAGGAGGATGAGGAAAAGGAAGAGGAGAAGGGGGGGATATATAATACATAATTCTCAATACCTACAATTGAAACCAACCCTCCACCATATATATACAATCCAACCCGGAAGTCCACGTTAAAAAAGCTCTATTCAGAAGCCTCGTGTATCAGGGCACCTCTCCAGCTCCACCCTGAAAGCCCAATTCAGAAGCTTTATGTATCAGGGCGCCCCTGCGGCCCTTAAAGTCCTCCGCCACACGGCCCGCCCTGCTCAGCGGGAACAGCACGTGCGTGACCTTTGCTGTTATCAATGCCGACGGAATCTACACCCCCCATCATAATCAGTTAACAGAAGAACCCCCAAAGAGAGAAAAGAGAACTCACAGGCCCATAGTTATTGCTATCCACCGAATGAAACGCCTCATCCCCCTCAACCCACACCTGCCCCTGCGGCACCGTTATAATCGGCTCCGGACACGACTTCCTCGTCCTGATCACGTCGCCCTCCAGCCCCACCACGCGCTTGATCACGACCTTTTCCGGCTCCATCGGCGACCTGTCCTCCCGGCCCACATTCAAACCAATTAGCCACCACAATCCCCCCTCCTTCAAACCCCCCCCCCCCCCCCCCGCGCCAGGCAGGGGAACATACCGATACAGCACCACCTGGCCCCTGCGCAGGTTCTCGACGACGCGCCAGCGCTGCACGAGGATCAGGTCGTCTTTGAGCGTGGGGCTCATGCTGCGCCCGCGCACGGTCTCGAGCGAGGCGACGTGCTCGGTGACGAAGATGAGCCCGGGTAGGCAGAGCGCGAATTCGACGGTGTACTTGCGGAGGGCCCTGAGGGTGGGGTAACTCATCGTTGTGGGGTGTGTGAGTGAGCGGGCGGAGGTTTGGGAGAGAGGGGGGGGGGGGGGTTGGGCGGTTTGTCTGGTGGGCGGAGGTTTAATGGGTGAGACAGAGGCTCTGGGATAAGCTTTGGGGTGTGTGTGTGTGGGGCGCGGTGGGGCGGCGGGTTGACGTCTGCCAAGAGGGTCATGGGTGGTCACTCGGTGGTGGGTTTGGAGTTGTTTCTGGTGGCTGGCCCTTACCTGGGAGGAGACCTGGCTACATGCATGTATATAGAGTAGATAGATGGAACAGTCTCCTTCCCCCCAAGCTGCCCGAAAGATATCCAGCACCTTTGGGCGCAGGACATTAGACTAGATCGACAAGTCATGACCAAAGAGTACATGTAGCATCCGAGAGTAAATATGGCTTAGACTCAATTCAATTAATATCCTTACAATCTAGCACGAGGCTATAGCTAGCTAGCTATTGAGCTGTCGGTGTAGTAGGCTATTTGTAATAACTTGCTCTTAAGGTATTTTTTAGCAGTACGAAAAAAGAACAAAAGGTACTGCAGATATGGCCAGACCCATATCTACTACCCCCACCCCTGGGTTGAACCGTTGACCTTCTGTAATCGAAGGTGGCTCAACCGCACGGTGTCTACGTCCGGCGGCGAGTGTTAACCGTTAGGCCACACTCGCCATGTGTGTTTTTTGTCCCAGGTGCTATTTGAATGCCCAGGATAAGGGATATGCACTAGCCCAACTGGGCGCACTAGTACTACGAGATGCTCTAGGAAAGCTACTAGACGTAACGACATGTCAAGATAGCATTTGTTACCAGTCCGGTCACATTACATAGAATAGAGTCGCTTCAATGCTTCCATTCGGACACATCTTAAAAATATCGGCACATAAACCTAACCATGGTTCAAGGGTGGTACTGTAAAAACGATCAAAAGACTTAGGCAATATAACACCGCACTCAGCTGAATTCAATATCACACCCCGCTGGAATGTCAAAACGACACAACTCGAAACGTGTTATAATTAAGCATAAAAAATGACCTTATGACCTCAAAACGTTGACAATTATAGAACTGACCCCGCGACCCTTCTAAGCGTGTGGCATTAAATGTGCATTTGGTAGCCCTGTAGCGTGTTGTCCTGCTCGGGGCCGCTGCTGAGCTCCAGATGCAGTTCGAAATCCTTAGAATTCTAGTGAAAGTATATATCTGTGTTCCCTCCGGCTTAAATGAAGTAATCAATCAATCAATCAATTTCCCCCGGCTTACTGCTCTCATCAGGTGTCACAAAAGCTGGAGTACATGTATGTAGGTGTCTACTCGTGTGGCCTTGCATAGATAATAAGGTCTTGAGAACGTCTGAGCCGTGATGAGAACATTATTTTACGAAATTTTAAGCTTACAAAAGTCTCAATCTCCAGCATGATTGATGATTGATAGCTACAGGAGGAGGAATTTGCTCATTGGATATTCATCCTCTAATATCGACAACAGCGATGCATACCTTCCTACAGAATGGATTAGAGTAGTGCGGGCTTAAATACGCTTTATCCATTGAAGTTTGCGATAGTGTCGCGGGTTACTAGACCGGAACCGTTCCCATTGATCACCGAGTGATAATTCATGAAGAGAATACCGGGGATTGGTGCGCAAAAAGGGGTTTTCCAGTTGCACCAGATTGAAGAGTAGATCCTTTTGCTGTCTACTTTTACGAAATATACAGGCTATAACTCTCAGAGTAATGTAGGGCACGGGATAGATTTCAGGACTGGCGAATTGGGTTGGGCGAGCCGTCCTCCTCAATATTTTAAAGCTATTGAGCGGCCAAAACGTTTTGAGGGGTCATATATATATTGAAAACACAGAATTTTATTCACGTGTTTTGGAGGAACATTCTAATGTCTGACTCGAGGAGTTCTTGCACAACCTACTTTGATTGCAGGTTATGGATCGGATATCTTTCATGATCTGGCATCATTTCTGTATTTGACATCTTCAATCGTAGATTATAATCAGTCGTAGACTGTATTAAGTGCCATGAGTATCATGAACGAAGCCTTTTAAAGAGAAACCATGCACATTAACTCCGGTTGTCGAACCAAATGACAAACAAAAACCGTCCCTAAGTAACAGAAAGAGTGAAAAAAAAGTGAGCGGCTTGCTGAGCTCACATGGTATTCCAGAAATAATTGGCATAGAAGTATTGCGAGAACTTCTTCTCGATATTGACAACGTGTACGTCGCCCTTTGCCGAGTTCCCTATAAAACATACTATTAGTCACAACCACGCTCCTCAGAGAACCGGGGAACTTACGTATCACCGCCTTATTGTAGCCACCGGCGCCGTCTTCCTGGATATCGATTCCCAAGCTCCTATAAACCTTAAGTTTCAACCTGTTCCCAGAACCGTTAAAACTGACCAATATAACACCGTAAAGAACGACATACAATGTCCCATCCTCTGCCTCCATCATAGCGTTCGCCATCGCATCCTCTCCATCCACCTGTTCGAGCTCCTCCTTTAGTCTTGCCAGTTGGCTCTCTAGATGATGCGAGCTGCTCTCCAACTCATTGATATTCTTCGCGAGCGAGAACTTCTCGCGGTCGAGCTGGATCATCTTGGCGCCATGCTCCTTCTTCGAAGCGGCGGCAACAGACGCCTCCATTGACTGCTTTGCAATGTCCATTTTGCGGGCAAGCGCTCGTAGGGTATTTCGGGAGTCGTCGAGGATCTTGCCACGCATGTCGGCGACCTTGGAGAGATCCCCCTTGCACTTGGCGAGGGACTCCATGTCGCCAGAGATATTGAAGTTTTCGATACAGTGGCCGATGAGCTTGTCTGTAGGTGGGTTAGCTATGTACCTAGTCGATTTTGGGGCGTTGGCGGCGGGGATGAACGTACGGGGTTCCTCGTCAAGGAGAACCATCTTGATTGCTGTCGGAAATGTGTTTGTGGGTGGGAGTATGCGGTGTATAAGATAGACGTAATGCCGTTGTGTTATGTCTGTTGTGGAATCAAAAACGTGGGAAGTCGTGAAGTCGTGATGTTCCTTGTCACAACACCAAAAGCCGTTGTTTCTGAAGTGATCTTCACAGGGCTGCAATCTCCCTATCGGTTGCCACAGCAACTGCCATTAAGACCCATGCAGGTCACATGTAACCGGCACTGGCTGGATGAGCCACAGCCTGTTTTTCCCTACTTTTGCCACAGCTGACCCCATCCCACTACGTAAGGGACAAGCCATCAGCCATTCAGTTCCCAGGCTCATCTGACTGCCCTGACTCTCTGAAGAAAAGAAAGAAGAAAATATAAAGAGCAAAATAAAGAGTTGCTCTGTTCCTGTTCCCCGGATTCATACACGAAAACTACAGAACTACCAACGGAATTCCCCACCATAGAGCTTTCTTAAACAAGATGCCATCTGATAATCTTCCATGTAAGAGCTTTCTTTCCTTCTCTTATTAATATCAATTAAGTCTCCAATGAGTTGAAGCATAAAACTGCAAAATATACATGTATACTTACAAGTGCTCCCCCGCATTTTTATAGACGCCGCCGATGCCGAAAGGTATGTGCACATTGCAACCCCTTCTCCTCCTCCCAACCACCTTATGTAGACAACATGTTGACGGTTTTACTATTTACCCAGCCCTCTGAAGGAGGCAGAACTCGCCGTTCTCCGAAGACAGTACGAAGGCGAGGGCCAGTTCGTCGGCGTACAGACCAAATTCAACTATGCCTGGGGTCTGATCAAGAGCGACAAGCGGGTTGAGCAGCAGTTGGGTGTTAAGTTATTGACCGGTTAGTCTTTCTATCAAGCTCCATGGATACTGCGGACTATCGACTGGTAGTTGGCGGAGATACTTGACGGGGTGGTGTAGTTATTGGGGATAAGCGGTTATCGGGCAGTTGTTGATACGGACACGAACAGATATATTCCGGGACCACCCAGAACGCCGTCGCGAGTGTCTGTACTATCTCGCGCTCGGAAACTACAGACTCGGAAACTACGCCGAGGCAAGAAAGTACAATGAAGCGCTGCTCAACCACGAACCACAGAACTTGCAGAGTCAGAGCTTAAGAACACTGATCGACGACAAGGTTGCTAGAGGTGGGTTGAACCCTGTTACTTGAGAGACATTTCATAGAGAGTATCTGATGCTAATGCGAATTGTGTCTATACAGAGGGTCTCCTTGGCGTTGCGATTATCAGTGGTGTTGCTCTTGCGGCAGGCGTGGTTGGGAGTGCTCTATGGAGAGGTATGGCCAAGAGACGGTGAGGGTGATACACATACCCCCGGACTGGCATTGGAATTTGGTAAAGTTACATGGAGGAATGCACGTTTTTTTACGAATAACAGTAGTAGGAAATAATGAGCCTGAGTTTTAAAGCGGGAATGGGTTGTGTAGTTTAAATTTTACAGTATGATGGGATTCCTTTTTCTGTTTAGCTGGGTATCAATAAATTTCTCGTTGTTTACTCTATTGAAATGATGGATTCCACAGTCTCCTTGTATTATTGTTTGCATGGTATTGTTTTTAGAATAATTTGCATACCTGATACCGATTACATTGCTTCAACTAAATCGTGGATAAACAAGAAAGATACGTGTCGGATCATGGTATCGTGTGAATAGCAGGTGAGGATTCCGGGATCAGGACCTTCAAGCTATGGGGTTGGTTGGTTGGACCCAGGGTCCGGCATTTTGACATCATCACCGCGGGGAACAACGCCACACGTGGCGCTTCCTGCACGAACCCAAACAGTAGAACATTCCAGCGCTGTCACGCAAACGGACCAGGTGAGTGGTTGTTGGTTGACCTCGAAAGCTGGGCCTGAATGTTCGGCTACCAACAGGAGACCCCAGTACTCTATTTACTGTGTGCCATTCTACTGATGTAGGGTAAGGCGTGCAATTGAATTATTGTCGTCACTCTGCTTCCAATAAGTACTTATACATAACCAATCAGTACTTCACCGTTTAATCTTTCGGAGTCAGATATCTATTATTTGCTCTTCTATTCATCCAACAACATCATCAAATACTAGATACTTGAATCCAAGCACTTGAGCATCTTCACAGTATTTGTCTGTGCAGCTGCCCCACCTTGTGTGCATTATCCCTGTCCAGCCGACATCATCCCGCGATCTCTTCTTGACATAGATATAGCTCCACCCTTTCCCCCTCCAGGAAAATCTGCTTGTGTGGCGGCCGTTATTCAGCTCCACCACCAGGCGCTTTTATCTGGACTTATCCTGTCCTCATCACCACTTCTCCTCCACCACATCTATCCTCTAGTTACCCTTACCCCTCCTCCCACAAACAAAGGCAACAGATATAACGATGTCTTCCATTACCAACAATCCCCCAGGCGAGCGAGAACTAGTCTTCTGTCATCCTTGCCGAGACGAATGGTATAGAGACGTACACGGCCTTGTTTGCCCAAACTGTGGTGGCGATTTTGTTGAAATTGTGAGTATTCCATGACCTTTGCCTTCCGAGTTTCTCCAAATAGTTTTACTACTGCCAGTCCCTTTGTTTGTTGGCCACTTTTTCTTTGAGTCTTCGCTATAAGGGCTTAGTGTGCATTTGCTAATCGGTCAAATTATTAGATTGAGAATGACCATGATCCACGTCTCCCTCCAGGCGGACCCTTAGATCTCCCCGATGATTTTGATATCGACGACGGCGACGAAACAGACCCACGTCGGGATCACTCACCCGCGACATTCGTCCGCGTAGAAGGCCCCAATTTCAGCTTTACATCTACACAGCGTACATTTGGGACCCGCCGCGGCGGTTTAGGTCGGACAGAATCGGGTGAATCAAGTGGAAATGAAGATCCAAACGATCTGATGATGGTGCAGCTATTCACCAATATGCTTCGGAACATTGTGGGGGATCATGGCATGCCGCCGGGAGCACGAGGCAGTCCCGGTGGAACACCGGGAAATGAGCAACAAAACCCAAGAGGAGAGGATGGGGAAGGGCATCCCCCGGGGGCAGGATCCGGGGGCGCCCACCCTCATTCTCCACCAATACCGTCGATTTTTGGTGGTCCACCAACAGTGTTTTCTGGAGGAACTTGGCATTATGATACGAATGCTAGATTGGGTCCTCGGGATGCCAACTCACCACAGCCAGCCGGAGGCGATGTACTTGATTTGCATACGTACGACCCCTCTTGATAGGATTGTTTCATCACACGAATTACTAATGTGTCTATAGTATTATTTCTAATATCGTCGGCGGAGATACCAACGGTATTTTCGCTCGTGTCCTTGGGATACCAGGAGGAGGGGGTGACTATGTGTACAGTCAAGTTGAACTCGACCGAGTCATTTCAGGACTCATGGAACAGCACCAGGGAAACGCGCCACCACCAGCACGGAGAGAAGTGATTGAATCATTACCGAAAATCAAAGTCGATCGAGCAATGGTTGATGACGGGGCCGACTGTGCAGTTTGTAAAGAGGATTTGGTTGTTGACGAGGAGGTTGCCAATTTACCATGCAAGCATAAGTATCATTTCGAATGTGTGAAAAAATGGCTAGAAGCCCACGACGTAAGTTACCTTTAGCAAGGGAAAAATCTGATTGATAGACCGAAAAACCTGCTAACCTGATAATATAGACATGCCCAATCTGCCGACACCCTGTCACGCCTGAAAACCAGAGGCCTCAGCCTCAATCTCCTAGGCCCCATATTATCACAAATCCTTGGAACTTCCCGCCGGCACCACCACAATCACAACCCTCTGGGCCACCTCCGGCTCCAGATAATGGCAGCGGCCACGCTAGTGGAAGCAGAAGCTCCGGTGGCGGATGGGCTAATATCTTTAGGCGAAGTGGGGGCTCTGGTCAATAATTGTGCCTAGTTAGCAAATAATGATAACTTTCCGTTTGTTGGTTTGGATTGATACTAGAATTTGGGGGATTGAATGGGAGGGGGAACTTTGCCCTTATTGTTATGATTACTATGGCTACTGCTTGGGTCTAGGGGCGAATATTGTTACTGTTACTGTTGGAGTCGGTTTTTTCTTTCTCATTATTCCTCTTTGGCGTGTGCCTTTATTTTACTTTGCATTTCTGTTTTCATTCTTCTTTCTTTTCTTTATCGTTATGTGTAGGTGCCGGTCTCTTGGAGCACCAAATAAGGTGGCAATGCTTTGTAAAAACACAAATAATTGCGTGGAGTCCATTTATACTGTACTTCCTCGTAACTATCTACCGCATGTACCCTCGAGTTGTTGTTTTCAGATGCGCGGTATCAAGGCGTTTCAAGATAGTTGAAACATTTCACAGGAATCATTGTCTAAAGGTTTATTATACGCCGCGAAATGTATTATTACTAATAGGGTAGACTCATAATAGGGTCGAACAAGATTCGACAAGAGGTGATGTTAACGGCTCAGTGACCGTAATTGAAGAATTAGTACGTAGTTGGTACCAGACTCGGTGAGCACTATTTAAGTTTTGGCAATAGAATTTATTGCGCGCTCTGGGCGGTAGGTGACGTCTACCGACGGATATTGTTCAATAGGACACCAAATATTAGTCCATTCTCGATTCCTCCTTTCCATGGCTTTGCTCGAGTGATAGGCCGTGATGCAAAATTACCAGTCCCCGACAGCCACACCGTTTATTCGTCTGGGGCACAAATCCACATTGGGTGTAGTTACAAGAGGCTAGAACTAACAGTCAAGTGTTTAAAGAACCTTTCAACCAGCTGTCAAAAACTAAGTATTTATAGCTTAACGTGATGATAAAGAATTTAAAAAATGCACAAAGAAATCCTTTTAATTTCTTCACTGATAGCATAAAGTATAGTTTTTGAGTTTGTTGGTCTACATTCAAGCTTGGATATAGGTACCTCAGTACGGATTCCCAAATACTCACATACCATGTAGAAAGAGGTTATCATGACATCCGTGATGATTTTACAACTGTACCATATCAAACAATCTCGACAGGATCAAAGACTTTTGGTACACACACATGATAAGGAATTTCCAAGCAGTAAAGAATTATAAATTTGAAGCCCCTATTCGTCAATGATCTGTACTCTTGCGCGATCGACGGTATAAAATTTTCTGGCCCCCATACCTACATGTACCTATCGTGCCACTATCCGGATTCCTGCTGTTAAGATAGGGACTGGTTTTCCCATGAAGGCTAGTGAAGTCGATAAGCGAGGGCTTCAGCATCAGATTTGATATCTGACTTTAGGCTTCCCTCTACATACATACCCCCGTAGCACCTGGCCCCTTCCGAATTAGTAATGCAGCATAATGCTTTGATGATTCCCTGATAAACCCGGGGCTCTGATTAGTAAAAACAAAATCTTCCGTGACGTGTTCCGCAGAGGTTTAGCCATTGCGCCGTTCCGTAAACATGCGACGCATCGAATTGGGTATTATTAAGAATTCGTCGAGGTGTTCTTTTTTTTTTTTTTTTTTTTGAAGGTATCACAAGTTCTGGCTTACTGTACGGTAATTACTTGCAAGGGTGTAGTAGCTGCAGGGGTTAGGTTAGAATACAATTCCTATCTGACCTTACCTTGGGTACGGAACAGATGAGACAGGATCAGAACAGTCCTCTTCATAATATCAAGAGTATGTATCCTATCTCCTCCAATGGATGCGTAAATCTGCATAGGTAAATTAAACTGGTAGGTTTTCCCCCTCGGGAGTTGGGAGTTCTAAAGGATCTACCGACGATACACTCCTTATAGTTAAATGCACGTATGGATAAGTAAATCCAAAACATCTTTACCGCGCTTTCCCCCCCGGATTTCCTTACCTATCACCGACTGGTTGGCTGTCTTCTCGGCTGTGGCTTGATTCAGTGGGTTTAGTGATGGCTTGTGCGGTGCATGTTGCGCATTTCCCGCCTGAGCCGCCGGTTCCGCCAAGCAAATACCATCCTTCTATGTATTCCTTAGGGCCCTTTGTGCAGCTTCTGTGCTCACGTACCAAAAGTTCGGAGCTTTTTTAATTTTTTTTTGCTTTTTCCCCTTCTTCTTTTGCATGACTCTCACCTTTTCTTCTCCCCAACTCTCTTCTTGCCACTGCACTCCTGACTGGCTTCAGGGCGCTACTTAAGGAAATACTCTACGATACAACCCTCCATCATCGAAACATACCGTCATCTAACGAAGTTGAACCAAACTTTCATACGCCGAGACAAGTGTGCTTGGTCTCTCGTTCAGTACACTAGCTCCACACAGACGAATATTAAAGCCAAATAGGATATAGATCTATCAACTATGGAGGCCCACTATGGAGCTAGCAGTTCATCTTCAAAACGACCAAGACTCGAGTCTGCACCGCAACTCAGTGGCCACCCGGCTATCAGTACTCAGGTTCCCGTATTCCCACCACTGGGTACCTTGGTTGACTCCCAAGCCCACATGCAAACAGCCACCGAAGCACATCCGTCTCCGATATACAGTCTGCTAGGACAGGCAAACTTATTTGAACGCCTTAATGGAGCGCAGAGATTGACGTCATCATCATCATCACGTCCCGAAGGCTTTGGCAGAGGAGGAGTTTCGGTTGGAAACCGTACTACGGGCGCCGTTGGAGGTTCCAGCTTTTCGCGACAACATCAATCGTTTGGGCGGGGAGTCGATGCTCCTGCGCCCACAAAGCCAGGTCCAGGAACAGGAAGCGACTTCATTGATCTAACAGCGGATGACGATGAAGTTTTTGAAGTGGAGCCAAAGGAAGTTTGCTTCGGGGTGATCCGTGAGTCGAAGGTATCTGCGCACACCGTTCCAACGCCTTTACCTGGTTCCGATAAATATCAACATGCATGGCCACCAATTCCAATTGCTCTAAAGCGTGGAGGGAATGCTTCGATGTTGACTATCTGTGCGTTCGATACTAAGGGAAAGGAATTCGGTTGTGTTGATATCAACACTGCGAGGGCGCTCGTTCCGCTGTTAGATATGAAGATTGTACGGACTGTAGCGAGGACTTGCGGCAGAGCAAAAAACGGAGAGATGGTCGGAGGGCCTATCACGTCCTCGGACCCAGGTATTTCGGTATTTATCCATCTTTACGGGCAAGAAGACAAAGCAACCACGGTTGGGAACACCCTCACGCAGAAAGGTGTCGTTTTACACGAGCCAACAGAACAACTGGAGAAAGGGATTGAATACAAGAACCCGCAACTTCGTAATGGCATCAGACAGGTTTGGGGGGGAGGCAAAACTCGGGGACCGAATGTCGGATATTTTGCAAGGACGGCGGATGAGATTCGCACGGATGTGAATAAAATTTTTGATCGCCTTGAGGAGTCAGATAATGTGCCTGAGATGGAGGCCGATCCGCGGATAAAGACGCCCCTGCTCAAGCATCAGAAGCAGGGGCTGTATTTCATGACCAACAAAGAGAAAGAACAGACGTTCAGCGAAGATAGTAAGGTGAATTCTTCTATATGGCGCATACAGACACGCCCGGGAGGACAGAAAGTCTATCTTAACATCATTACCGAGGTCGAATCGAAGGAAAAACCTACTCAAGTGCTCGGAGGGATCTTGGCAGATATGATGGGGCTAGGGAAAACCCTCCAGGTTATCTCGTTGACCGTCGGCTCACTTGAAGAGGCTAAGATGTTCGCAAAGAAAAAGATCCCAACTCCAAAAGGTAAAGAGAAGGGAAGCGAGAATTTATCAGTGATAAACTCTAGGTCAACTCTGCTTATTTGTCCGCTTAGCACTATCGGCAACTGGGAGGAACAAATGAAAGCGCATCTAGATGAAAATACTCTCAATACTTATGTGTACCACGGCAGTAAGCGCGAGACGGACCTGAATAAGCTTGCTGAGTACGACTTAATCATTACGACTTACCAAGTAATCGCAAATGAATACCAAAAGTATCAGAAGGACAATGAAAAGATTAGCCCACTGCAGAAAATGTGTCTTTTTAGGATTGTCTTAGATGGTTTGCGTCCAAACTTGTCATTGGTCCTAGTGGGAGATTGTTGACTAACGTATATGAATTTAGAGGCGCACATGATTCGTGAACAAAGTACTTTGCAATCAAAGGCGGTCATAGCATTGAATGCTCAGAGACGTTGGGCCGTGACTGGAACGCCTATTCAGAGTTAGATCTCCATCCCATGGTTTAAAGTTGTTGGTTTTATCCAACGTCTAATTCTTTAATCATTGGCTTATTATCTGTGTGCGGTTAGATAAACTCGATGACCTGGCTGCCTTAATCAAATTTCTACGCGTTAAGCCTTTCGACGATAAAGCTACATTTAACCTACATATCGCAACGCCATTCAAGGTAATTCTTTTTGACGATGGGTATGAGTTTAGAGCTAATAGACGTCATAGAACGCCGATCCCGATTGTGTCCCTAAGCTCCGCCTCCTAGTTAACAGTGTAACTTTGCGAAGACTTAAAGATAAACTTAACCTCCCCCCTCGCAACGATCAAATCGTAAGTTATCCTAGTCCGTATGCACGAGGCTATAGTTAATCCTGTAGATATATCTCGAATTTAGCCCGGAAGAACGTGAGATCTATGATGCCACAGCACGACAATCCACGGCTAGAATGGATCTTGTTGTAAAGACTGGCCATGTTGGTGGTCGTGCATACGTCCACGTTCTGCAGTCTATTCTCCGCCTCCGTCTCATCTGCGCTCACGGGAGAGAGCTTCTTGGTAGTGATGATACTGCTGGGCTAACTTCCTCCGACGCAATTGACGTGGATGAGCTTGAAGAAAAAACTGGGTCTTCGTGGTCTGTGAAGCAGGCATATGAGATTTTTAAGCTCATGAAAGAGGCGAATGAAGATGTCTGCTGTATTTGTCGGAAGAAGGTCAACACTCCCATCAACAACGAAGCTGAAACGAAGGCGGAGGGGAAAGCTTCTGGCTCTAGTAAACAACTAATAGGGCATCTTACGCCATGCGCACATCTTATTTGCGTTGGATGTGTTGGGACATATAAAGGTGCTATATCAGAAAACTTCCGGGAAGGACAACAAGCTTCCTGCCCAGTTTGTGGCATATTCACCAGGATGCACCTTTTTGAGCTGTTGCAAGAAGATTTGGCCGCAGAGGAGGACATTGTCGAATCTGTTAAACCTTCAAAGAAGAAGGTCCCATATAGAGGTCCGAGTACAAAGGTTAAAGCTCTTACGAAAATGTTGCTCGAGAACAAGAAGGAAAGCACACCGGAGAATCCGATAAAGAGTGTTGTTTTTTCCTGCTGGACTAGTCATATGGACCTTATTGAGCTTGCTTTCAACGCCAACAAAATTAAATTTGTTCGCCTGGATGGCCGCCTTTCTAGGGCGCAGCGAGACCGAGCTATGGCGGATTTTCGTAGGGAACCGGATATCGAGGTTATTCTAATTTCAATAATGGCTGGTGGTTTAGGGTGAGCGACTCCCAAAGTATAGACGTAAGTAATACATACTGACATCCTGTAGCCTGAACTTGACGGATGCTTGTAAAGTGTACGTCATGGAGCCACAGTTCAACCCTGCCGCTGAAGCGCAAGCAATCGACCGTATCCATCGCCTTGGCCAGACAAGACCAGTCACGACCGTTAGATTCATTATGTCGAACTCATTTGAGGGGAAGATATTGCAGCTGCAAAGGAAGAAAATGGATTTGGCGAAGCTCTCAATGCAGAAATTGTCAAGAAGCGAGTTGACGAAGCAGAGGTTGGAAGTAGGTTTACCTTTTGCTTCTGTCTAAATACGTTGAATGGAAACTGATAAATGGAATTAGGATCTTAGATCGTTGTTCAAATGATTTCGATTGTTTTCTTTCTCTCCTTCCTTTATGCCGATTCTATATACCATACATAATTATTATAGGGGAGGATATCTTTTTTTGGTCGGTATTTTTTGTATTGGAAACCGTTTGTCATTTTATATCTGTATTATTATCATTGGGTTTTGGATTTTTCTTGGTTGGGACAAGGCGAAACCGGCAAAACACTACTATGCATCGTTTGGGTGGGTCACAAGGCGTTCTACTTTGATCATATATATTTTCGGTGTTATATTCCATTATGGTCAAAAGATGAGGGAAGAGTATACGTGTTTGCATGAGTATTAGCGTGTACGGTAGAGATCAACAGCATAGTCTTCATCATAGTCACTAGGAAGCACTTCAATCGTTTTAGTTTACAAGAGATGAAGTAAATAAACTTTCCCGAGTTCAGGAATAGACTCATAGCCTTTGAAAAAACAATAGCTATAGTCGACAGGTCATATCAAAGAAGGTCAATGATCAAGAACGGAATGACTGCCCTGAAACTAGTTAAACAGTATAGTCTTCATCGGCGTGGTCAGTAACATTTATGATTGGTTGAATAGTCTGCATATATACCACAAAGAACTGCCCCCGATACCCGGGAAGGGAAGGGAGTTGATATAGAAAGGGTAAATAGTAGGTAGTCCTATATATATCAACCTTGAACTATCTCGAGGAGAGCAAAACTACATATATCTTCTTGTGAGCTACATATTAATACATATTTAAAGCCCTTTATTGAGAAGAAAGAACTGATATATATACACAAGTATCATAGACAATTGACTTCGTAGATAGATTGGACAGTATTAATTCACTCTCGGGCTTTAGCAAATCTAGGTGGGCAACTTGAGACTGACATCGTATTAGAATTATAGTGAACTCTCGAATCCTATTTACTCACTACATGCATATTGCGGCCAGAGGTCGCACTACAATTGTAGCATATATACGTCCTAACTCACCGGCGTAACCTTCCCTTCCATGAACAGGATGCGCCATTCATGATCAGACATAACATTAGTCATTATCACACAGATTGAGTATTAGAATGAATGGGCCTCAAGACCAGAAGAGGGGCTAGCAACGATGACGTTTTGGGGCCTGATTACCACAAAGTTCACCAGCAAAATTAATTTCAGCATAGTGCGTGCAGATAGAACTTATAGTTACTTTTATTGTCTGATATAGGAACACGGTCAGTTGGTGAGCGAGGCGTTCCCCAGTTTACCCATGACGTGACTCAAACTACGCATACATACTAAACCAGTCAGGCATGAAGAATCCGCGCCGCAAAGTCACCTACGGAAAAGGGTGCTAAGATTCTAAAATATCTAAAGGAATGACTAAGTTATCCAAATCGGAGGGGAGCAGCCTCTAGTTCTGTTTGTAAATTAAACAACCTTGGCGGAAATGCTTTGTTTCAACGTCCAATCAGCTGTAGCTGAGCATCATATCTTGAGATTTAATATTGGCGCTGCTCATAAGGGGGAGAAAAGAACTCGAGTTATTTCACTCTTGAAAGAACTAGCGGATATCACTCTTATAGTTCCATCTAAAAATGCAAAAGATATGCGTGCGTCATAGTTGAGCACTCGATGCCAAGGCAAACCGGTGCGAAGCAAACTGCTCCTCGTTATACACCGAACACGGCTATCCCTTAGTGTGTCAATAAATACTAAACCTTTTTCGCAGGTTCCGAAATATCTGGCTTTCCTATCAAACCCTGCATTTACTGTGGTTTCCCGGCCCCCACGAAAGGGGATCAGCATTGACAGACTAAGGGATACTTGTAGTGCTATCAAAGAGGATACGTACCGCCATGCATGACGGGGAGCTAGTGATTGATTAATAATTCATTAATTGTATGCAATACTGGAGAGCTAGAATACAGATGAGGAATTAACTCAAGGTCTAGGTGCTTCACATTTATTTAAAAAGGTAGGCAAAATTGACTGGACCCCTCAGAATGAGCTTGACGAGAGTTTAGGTCATTTGTGACTCCTTCATGGGTTGCGAGTTGGCCAGTAGCATTGAAGTGTCTACTAAGTAACTTGTAATACGAGGATATCCTTTTTCTTTTTCGAATTCCCTCTATTCAAATCATCTCCACATTTTTTTGCGCTAGAAAAAGAAACTAACGGCCGAGGTAGTGAAATAAGTGTTCTCTTAAGATGTATGTTTATTCTAGGACTCTGTGTCTGGGCTTTTATCTATGGCGGCATGCTACCTGAAGACACGCGATTTGCGAAAATACTTTGGGTGATATCGGCTCCTAGTAACCTGAGATTGTAGCTGTATATGCGCTGCGTTGGCTCATCCTTAGGCATTGAACTCCACAAGACCGTTTTGGGTGAGAGGGAGCTTTCTTTGTCGTCTAGGAGGTTATACGGCACTAAAGGACAGAACCGTCACACGCTAATACTAGAGGGCTTCATTTATCTATAATCTCACTGGTAGAGGCCGTATCTTGAACTTAGATGAAGTACGGAGATGAAAAATGAAAAGGGAAAGGCTATGGGTAGCAATTCTTCATACTTTTGGATGCTTGTTCAAGCCATCTTACAGAAGTTCAAGACGTATCAGTCATGCTTCGAGGCTCATGTGGATATCCATGTTCTACTCGTTACTTTCGCCGTGTACTCCATGGCCATGGTAGTACAACCCCTTTGGGATCAAATTTTCAATACCTACCTGGATTCCAAAAGAAATAGCACAGTTGCAAGGAGGGCTTGTAAATAATCCGGAGTGCCTCGTTCGCCCGATTGAGTCGGGTACAATCCTCGAGTATCCATGAATGGTTTGGGAATATCCTGCTACAGCTAGCCACTCTCGATACTCAAAGTCCTTTATAAATTTATCTCTATTTGAGTGGCGTGTTTCTTTAATAGTGGCTTTCACACAGCCGCCTAAAATTATCAATTCGTTACAGGCTTAAGCTTGGAAAGAATTTCTGGCGGATATCTTGTGCTGTTGTTTACCTGGGACCCCTGATTCAGATAGTGCTATTGGGGCTGTTGCGCAATTGCGTCCCAATAGAAACACTTGAGGATGATAAAATTAGACTGCTGTAGCACCCACGTACGAGAGGTCTGTGTATCAGCCATGGACTATAATGTCTTCCTTGTTTCTATGGTATGGGCTGCGCCACGTTGCCTATGATTTTGGACTTTGTCACAGAAGTATAGAGCCTGTTGTGTGTATGCGTAGTGTTTCTATGTGCTGGGTGGCTGGACTTTGGCGGCACATAATATAACTGGACAATCCTTAGCCAGGACTGAGTCAATATGAATAAGTTCATTCTTGACCATTGATAAGACATCTAGCCGGCCTCATAGCCCAAATACTCCAGGCTTATCGAATCTAGAGATCAGGTCGTCCTATTGCGGACACAGGCAAAGCCTTATCAATAGGTGTGTGTTGAATCCTGGCACACATATGCCACTCAACTGTATTAACCTTAAATAAGAAAGATATTAGAATACCTCTTAACTTCGTGTCGTCGTTCATGATCGAGGATCAGACATGCCTCCCGTATTGTTTAGAGAGATTCCGGGAATAAAGTTTCGACCTGCGGTGCTTACCCAGTCAGTAGCACCCCTAGGTCAATGAAGTGAAAGCAGAAGATTATAACATTCCCCGATTTTTAGCTGTTCTGTTCTAGCTCCTTTTTCTCAACAAGGATGGGATGCGTAGTTTCTTTTCTTCTCGAGGAATTTGGGGTGGGGTATAATTGGACAATCCTCAAAGTTGGAGGTATCCTAGAACCTTCTAGTATTAAACTCCAGCAGCGAATAGGAGGGATGTAGATATTCTCGTAAAGGGAGTCGGAAGGAAGATCGCTAACAAAACTTCCCCTTACCAAAGCGAAAAAAACTAGAGAAAAGGAAAAAAGAAATTCATTGTAATGTCGGTGCCATGAATCGAACATGGGTCCTCTCGGAATCATTATCTAGTTGCCTAGAAACCACAACGAGAAGTACTAACCACTATACTACACCGACTTGTTTTTAGTTAGTCAAATTGAATTTTTCAACATCAAATTTGTGGCTTTCCCAATCAGGTATGGTGAGTCAAGCTACGCGGTGACCCATCTGCCGAGAAGTCAGTCCAGATCGGAATTTAGCAACCCAAACAGGTAATTCATTGAAGAACCTCTTGACACATAGTCTCATCTTCGGGGTTTCTGATATCACAGCTTCCTTGTATTACTTTCGAGCTAAGTTGACCATCCAAGGAATAATACATGTGGCCGCTGTTGTTGCTCCACTTCACACTTTACAGTTCACAACGGCATACATTAATTTATCTTTAAAATCGCCAAAGGAACATTTTTCGACGGCCAGACAGGTAGGGTGATGAATGTCAATGACTCATCACATTGAGCGAGCAAGCTTAAGCCAAGGAACGAGTGACTCCTTGTGATTCCGTATAATTTGTGGATAAAGGATATAGGTCTTGAGCGTGTATTTGTATGTATCTATCACATGCTGTTAGCTTGACTCACTAAGAATATTAAGTAAACTATTAACAAACGAGAAGTTAGCGCATCGAAGAAGTCAGTGAATAGGAACAAAAGCCTTGAGCCCCCAAGGCCTTTTCGTAATTACTGCGAGGTTTTGAAATCACGCAGTTCCTTTACCGCTGCATGGAACGCTCTCATGGATAGGCTAGTGAACCTGCAGGACTTTAATCATAAATGAGACCCTATTTTTATCTGATAAATCTATTGATTATGATAATTCTCTCAACAGTTTAAGCTGAGCCTATCTATTCATGCAGTACTTGCGAACTGTCTCAAGCCAGAGGTGAAGATAAATATGATTTTGCTGACAACAATATTGGAGACAACCCTTATCGAGGGACATCCTTGGGAAAGCTAAGTCAGAGGTGACTAGGCTTTTCGTACCACAAGAAGGGCAAGCGGTTAAGGTGACGAGCCTATTTCTTAGAAGATTCTAAAGTAACTGAGAAGAGGCTATCATATTTTCAACTTATTTCTGTTATTAAGGCTTGAAACCAAACAATTTTAATACCACAGACGAATACGTACATTGTATACCTTACAAGTCCCAAACATCCATGGCTGGGTAGGTGAGGAGCATTATATCCTAGCGTGGAACAACCCTTAGACGCTGTCTGGACGACTAGACTCGAAATCTATGAATTTTGATAGGGATGAGAATTATATCTAAGCGGCTTCCCACGAATGGTGAATACTTTTCAGAGGCATCTTCCGGTAACCCCGTGGCTAACTGATAACCATGTTCGCCAGGATGGCTAAAAGAATGCCCGGTCGACCGGCTTGCAGGCCCCTCCAAAATTATACGAGTCGAGATGTTCACTCGACTAAAATTCGAGTTATGGTATGGCCGGCCGCGTTGACGAAAAGAATCTATCTGTATGTTAACCTAGAAAATGGTCGTGATCCTTATTGCTTCGATGATGACACCCGTTAGGTTGCTGGACTAGCTGTTCATATGTGAGGATGGGGGTGAGGTTTTCGTAGGGGATGTTCGACAAGGAGTATTGAGCTTGAGTCTATCCTAGGTGAGTCGAGGAGCCAAAACAGCGAGTTGTGGTACGTCCGTTCTCGAGCGACGCTTCTAGGGATGTAACAGTTGAAGTCTTGGAGAAACAGGCCCTTCAAAAATAACTTACTGGGTCCAGTCTGGACTACTTCGAATCTCCACATTTTGGGGGCTGTAGGTCCTATATTATAATACTGCTGGTACAATGGTGGTAGCTTTCTCCCTGCCAAACACATACGTACTCTGCCAATTAGCTTTGCACGCATGCGCATCAAAAGATATCGCCCGCAAGTGGGTGGCCAGTGTGTCATGATGTACGTCGTGGTGGATTGTGATTGCAGGGTTAGGTGTCCCCCTAGCTCACTTTGCCCTCCCTCCCTTAGATATTACTTCCGGCGCACTAAAAAATTGTGTGGGCGAGTGTAGTCTAGGGGTAGACAGCTCGTCTTGCATGAACACCGAGTGGGTTGAGTCCCCATGACCATCAGTAGGTCATGGGCTCAATCCCGGGGGTGGGAGTGTCTGTGGGGTGTATATTATATACCGGGAAATGTAGCCCATTATATTACAGTACTGTATTGGGTAGATAGCCCCGCGAAGGGTATATGGCCACAGCATCACTTTTTGTGAATTATTGCCCATTTTTGTTTTTTGTTTTTGAGCTTATTGGGTGGCCTGAGGGCCTAGTGATATCGATCAGAGCTCTCTCTGACCGGCCTACACTACAAATTGAACTATCTTAGCTTCTCGCTCATTATTTGGCCAATTGGTCTCCCCCATGGTCAGGGCCAGATATAGGATTAGGCCGGTTTATAATTAGCGAAACTTTTTCAGACCATATTCTTTTATAGTATAGTAGATACATGTAGCTCAGTACATGTAGTCAACCGAGAGAAACATACAGCCATCTAGTACCTACAGTTCTACATGTTGTTTCAAAATCCGGGTCTTTACCGCAGAAACTAGAGGCATCCCTTTCGTTCAGCGAGAGGCACGTAGCTCATCGGTACCATCTTCTTCTCCTCACCCGAACTATACCCAATTCTCATGATTTCCTCTCGCGGGAGACAAGGGATACTAATACATTATGCAGCTTTGTTCTAACACAGAAAAATCTTCCAGAGCGTCCCGACGCTGGATGAACAACCGATTGCTTTAATTATTTGATCGATCAAGACTGAGTGAATCTTCTTGGTTAATGGAATGAGAAATGTGGCATCTGCTTATAACGTCGCAGTTGCGGTGGGTCTTGTAGAGTTCTTTTGACTAGTATTTCACTGCTTGGCTCTCTTAAATCTACTCGTTAATTGGCTACGTTTAATTATAAGTGGACGTCTTGGACCACGAAGCAGAATTGCTCCCATCTACACATCATACGCGCAGCCTTGATTCTGCTTCTCTTCTATACCACCACCCAACCCCACCCCTCATTCCTCCATCCTCTAACGCTTCTTTATTCTTATATAAGTTTAATAGTGCTATATATATATATATATTAGCTTCTTACATGGCTTTTCACGACCTCAGATGTCAATAGACACTCAAGAGTGTAACCTCTATGGATAGTTTCTTTCATTTATAAGTTACTAAGGTATGTATGGCTCTGTATAAGTAATTCTTATGGAAAAATCTGCTTTAAAGGCTAATCATAAAGCTACACGCACTTAACATATCTTCCCTCAAGATCCCTCACCACAAACCTGCACTCGCCATGAATGACTGGCGGAAACCCTAGAAGATAAGAGCAAACTACCTTTCGGAAGAAGGGTTTCAGGAGACACAGAAGTCTAATTTACATACGTTCATGAACATAGGACAACTGGGTATGATTAATTCGTAAGCCTACGTATTAGTGAGAACGATGACTGGCGCCTAAATAATGAACGTCGTTGAGACGGCCAATGATAAGTAGCCTTGGCAACTGTTTTCTAATTAGAGTCTTTTAGGCCGCCAACCGTAGAGTCTTTTAGGCCGCCAACCGTAGAGTCTTTTAGGCCGCCAACCGTAAAGTCTTCCAAGCCCCAGGCCTTCTTCATGTATGACATGTCACTTCCTCCTTTCCAGTGTCAGAACTAGGAGTACGCATCGGAATATTTTGGGTCCCGAGACTTAGGATTTCACTCTATGAGTACTTTCTAGCACTAGGCCTACACAATGGTCTTCGTTCCTTGGGACTTTGATTTCTAAGTCTTATCTACTCTACCCTATTCTAAAATATGTGGTTAAACACTCTAGGTTAGATGGTTAGTTGATAGGCCTCATATGATAATCATCGACCCCGGATCCTGATTTGACAACGTCCATCGAATCAGGGTTGCAATCCAAGCGCGCTCCAGCTGCATCCTCGTAAGGAATTAGCGGGGTAATGGCTGTGCCACGCATAGTTTTTCCAATATAAGGCCGAAGAGAGAGAGGCCTTGGACATCTCCTGGCGTATCTTCTGCATGAAGTTATGGACGCAACAGGCTTCGCCATTGCAGCTCTTCGTGAGGTTTACAACATCGCCGTATTCATAAAAACCATATATACGGACAGTAAAAACTATGATTCGGACAAAGACGAGATATCTTTCAAACTATCCCACGAGTTGGAGGTCCTGCGTCTTTTCGATCGAATCTTCTTCGACCCGGCCACCGGAGTTGTGGTGGACGAACGTATGGCCGGTCACCTGGATTTCGGGAAGGAACATATCACAAGTATAATTGTACGCTTGCGAGACACGCTTGAGATATATCGGAATGTGGGGAAAGAACATTTCGATGTCGACGTCCAGGACGACGATTCTACGTTGGGGAAACGTGAGGCGTTCAAGAAGAGGCTGGCGGATTTGAAGAAGAAATCATGGAGTTGGTCTTTGTTCGATAAGGGGAGGCTGCTTGAGGTCGTAGCCAGTTTTAAGGAGAGCACAGTCAAACTGAAAGAGATATACTTTCTCATCATGCTCGATTCAAGTCGTGGGCGTGGGACCGATAACCAGAATCTCCAGCAAATTCGGTCTATTGACCCTAGTCTTGCGTCTGGTCTCATGCGTCAAGAAATAGCGTGGAAAGTAGAGACGAAGCAAGAAATCAACGTCATAGAACCACTGAAGGGTGATATCGAGCCGGTATCTGGCCAGGTCATCGGCGACTGGGCAGCACAAAGAGTTTGGAAGTATTGTGAAGGCAGTAAAGAGAGCCTTGTGACGGTCGAATACAAACGCTACCGCCCAGCTGATATTCTTGCAAATGACAAGCTCTTCCCAGATCAGAAAGCCTATATGCGGCTTGTCCGAGACCGAATCCAAGCACTCGCCACGATTCTTCAGGATCCTTTTGGTGGTGGAGAGGCGGGAAATGCCACTGCCACAGACGACCATATACTTCATACATTTAAAGCACTAGGCTACATCGACCGGGTGGAAGAAGGCCGTTTTGCCCTCCTATTCGAGATTCCAAAAAATGCTCTCAAGGATCCAGGACCAGTAACCTTAGCTCAGTTCCTGGGCCGAAATGGAAGCATCCAGCTCGAGGAGCGTTTCTTCTTGGCTCATTGCCTAGGGACTACCCTTTTTACCCTCCACAGCTCAGGTTGGCTGCATAAAAACCTCAGCAGCTCCCAGGTCGTTCTAGTCCGGAGTTCCATGAAAGAATACCGCATAGCGCCTTATCTTACCGGCTTTGAATATTCACGCCCAGCAGACGAGAGAACGGACGGGGAAAACGACTATGACGTCCGGAGAAACCTCTACCGGCACCCTCACAGACAGGGGTACCCGCGAGAAGACTTCCGGCCGATCCACGACCTTTTCTCGTTCGGCGTACTCCTACTAGAGATTGGGCTGAGAAGGACCATGGTTACCCATTTTGAAAAATACATACAAGACCTCGAGAAGAGGGGAGAACTGGCAGAGCCTGACTGGTTCGGCAAAGAAATGATAAAGCTGGCCGAGAAGAAGCTGGCCGAGGCGATGGGCCGGAGATATCGAGATGCAGTTCTGGCTTGCTTGAAGAGCAACTTTGGTATCGAGTCTAAGGATATGAGTAGGTCAAGGTTGGCGATCGCCTTCAGAGATCAGGTCTTGGTGCCGCTGAAGGCGGGCATGGCGTTGTGAAGATTATGTTTGTATAGTTGTTGATATATAGAGATGCGGTTTTAGGCTGCTGTTTTGGATACGGATGTTAGATAGCTTTTTTTTTTTGATTATACGCAACAAATCGAAGTTATCGTTGTCTCATTTTCCCACGAGGGCCTTTTTCTCTGGCTACTTCTAAGTATATAGCAAACATTTCTAGAAGCCTTATCAGGATATCTCGGCCTCCTGCTAGCCACATTACAATGCCTAGGTAACTGACTCGGGGTAATCCCTCTTGAAGACCTGGCGCGCTATGAGGGGCCTGCATGTTTTCAACAGCCCAGCATAAAACTGGGTTTGCTAGGTGTTCGAGCTCAACTGAGCCCACGGCGTACAGGTGGAGACCCTTTAGGATGGGAGAAGAAGGGGGGGGGGGGGGAGTGTCGATACTGTAGAGTAGTTCAACGTCGAAGCTCCCAGAAAACGTCACCTATCCTATGGCATGGCCGTTCTTCTCAATCTGTTCATCTCCCTGGACACTGGGGAAAACAGGAAGAGTATGGTGTGGTGGCCATGGGAGAGTGTGTATGGTTCGCAAAAAGCAACTGGGAAAGAGAGAGAGATGGCGCTATTTATGTACTTGCTTACCAGCAAAAGAACCAGGGATTATTTGTATGAGAGAACGGCGCCACTCCATACAAATTGTTCTTGCCCTAAGCAACTGCATTTTCTGGTTCTTTTGCTGGTAAGCAAGCGGGAAGATAAGGTTGGGTAGTACTAGCGTAGTCTCGTACCCATCCCCTACATGTATGTACATACATGTATAGACTTGGCAGCAAGCTGCCCTCGAAGCAGGGGGGGTTGGGGACGAGCCTAGTACTAGCGTCATACTGCGGTAGCCTGATCGCTCTTCCCGCATTTGTTCACGAAATATCACTCGGAGATATAGTACGGAGTTTGTTAAATACTAAGTCTAATCATAACTGAATTTCACGGCTCCATAGTCCTTCTTGTCTGTTTTCAAGAACATGCAGGCAATCATCTCATCTCCACACAAAAAGAAAGAAAAGCATTACAGATCACATCACACGCCCATGCTAAACACTACAATACACAAAAAAAGAAAGCAAGAACCAGAAAAGAGCACACAAGTCCTACCCCCCCCCCCCCCCTCTCTCTCTCTAAAACCCCCTCCTCCTCAAACTCGGCGTCATCGGCCTCTTGACCACCCCCACCGCCGTCCCCGGCCTCCTAACCACGGCACTCGTCGCCGGCCGCCTCTGCGCCACCCCCCTCCCCGCCATAGCCTCCTCCCGCGCGCGCGCGTTCGCCAGGTCCTCCTCCTGCTGCGCCTTGTCCTCGGCCATCTTGGCCTCGATCTCCATCTTCTTGTTGATCTCGTTCTCTGTTGTGCGGCGCTCGCGCGCCGAGTAGCCCTTCTCCTTGACGCTGTAGAAGACGCCGCCGAGCTCCGCGAGCCAGTGCGGGTCGACCGCGGTGACCGTGGACATGTATTCTTTGGAGGTGAGGATGAGTTCGTGGTAGACTGTAGGGGGGGGTGTTAGTTTTTCGCTTCAGTGGATTATGGGGGGGGGGGGAGGGAGGGAAGAACTGACCGACATAGTCCGGCAGATACCCCAACCCATACAGCGCACTCGTCGGATGCAACTGCACCGTCACACTCGTCCTCAGATTCGTATACTCGCCTATCCCCTTCACCTTCGCGGCCTGGTGATAATACCCACTGCAAATGCACTTCCGTATCAGGTCCCAGTCCGTCCCGCAGCTGCTCAGCGCCATCTTCTGGAACTTCATGATGTCCATCAGCTGGTTGCGGATCTCCTTCGCGCGCCGCAGCGCCTTGGGCTGCAGAAAGTGCTGCACGCACCACCGGTCCGAGTACCCGTTGCTCTTCCACTGCGTGTACACATGCAGCAGCGTCAGATGGTCGCTCTCGGCGACAAAGAAGCGCTCGCGCGCAGCGTCGCTCTCCTCCTGGCGCTCCTTGGGGCGGTAGAACACGCTCGGCACCGAGAGCATGGACACGATGGTCAGCATCTCCTCGGAGCAGCCGTAGTCGACGCTCATGATGATGAGCTTCGAGAGGCTGGGCTCCATGGGGAAGTTTGCCATGGTCTTGCCGAGCCCCGTGAGGTCGCCGATGTTGGAGAGGGCGCCGAGCGCCCACAGGTCGAACAGCGACGTGGTCATGGTGTCCTGCGGCGGCGGGTCCATGAAGTCGAACTCGAGCAGGTCGCGCACGCCGAGCGACTTGAGCAGCAGCACGGTGTTGGACAGGTTGGTGCGCTGGATCTCGGGGATGGTCTGCAGGTACATCTCGTTGCGGAACGCCTGCTCCGTGTACAGGCGGTATGCCTTTCCCGGGCCTGTTCGGCCGGCGCGCCCGGAGCGCTGCGAGGCGTTGGCCTGCGAGATGGGCGTGATCTGGAGGGCGTCCATGCCCATGCGCGGGTTGTAGACTTTGAGCTTCGAGAAGCCGGCGTCGACGACGTACATGATGCCCTCGACGGTCAGCGAGGTCTCCGCGATGTTCGTGGCCACAATGACCTTGCGCGCGCCGCCCTCGCCGCGCTCAAAGATCTTTGCCTGCAGGTCTGCCGGCATCTGCGAGTATATCGGCAGGATGTTCAGCTTCGGCGGGTTATTGAGCTGCTTGAGGCGCTCCGCGATGACGTCGCACGTGATCTCGATATCCTCCTGGCCCGTCATGAAGACGAGGATGTCGCCGGAGCCCTGGCCGACGTGGATCTGCAGCACCTGCTTGACGGCGGCGTCGACGTAGTCCTCGCACGGCGACTTGGACCACAGCACGTCGACGGGGAAGGTGCGGCCGGGGATGATGTACTCGGGGGCGCCGCCGTAGAAGCGCGAGAAGCGCTCGGCGTTCATGGTGGCCGAGGTGACGATGAGCTTGAGGTCGCGGCGGCGCGCGAGGATCTTCTTGATGAGGCCCATGAGCACGTCGGTGTTGAGGGCGCGCTCGTGGGCTTCGTCCATGATGATGCAGGAGTACTTGTCGAGGTTGGGGTCGACGAGGGATTCGCGGAGGAGGACGCCGTCGGTCATGTCTGTCAGCGCAAGAGGAGTAGTAGTTAGCATATATGCATATATAGATAGACAGAGCAGCAGTAGACCAATGATATCAAGATCATGAAAAAAGAAGCACTCACACTTGATCACCGTCTCATCACTCGTGCAGTCCTCAAACCGGATCGCATACCCCACCAGCCCGCCCAGCCTGACCTCCATCTCCTCACTGACCCTCTTCGCAACACTCATGGCCGCCACCCTCCTAGGCTGCGTGCAGCCAATCATGCCATTCTTGCCATATCCATCCTCATACAGAAACTGCGTCAACTGCGTCGTCTTCCCGCTGCCCGTCTCGCCCACCACAACCACAACCTGGTTATCCCTAATGACCCTCAGCACCTCCTCGCGCACCGCAAACGCCGGCAGGAACTCCCGCTGCTCCCGCAGCGTCCGCCCCTTCGTCAACTCGCTGCCCCCGCCCTCCTGCGGCTTCTGCTTCGCCATGTGCTCCGAGAACTTGTTACTGCCGCTCCCCTCGCCCTCCGCGCTGTCCGCCGCGAGCACGGCGGCAGAGTCCGTATCGTCGTCGTCCTTCACCCCCAACACATTCCCCAGCGCCGTACCCGCGATGTTCGTCGCCTCCTGCGCCTGCTTGGTGCGCTCGCGCTGCATGCGCTTCTCCTTCACGAGCGTGCTCCCCTTGCGACTAAACACGGCCATATCGCTCTGCGGGTCCCTCACCGCCGGGATCGGATCGAGCTGCTTCGTAAACACCCTCCTCCCGTCGAGGAACGGCGGCCTGAGATCATGCACCAGCAGATGCACGCGCACCTCCTCCTCGTCATCCAGCTCGTCATCGCCATAGTCCGCGCGCTGCGCCACGCCGCTGGTCAGCATCCTGTTGGTCTCCCACGCGTCGACATCCTTCATCTTCTGCTGCGCGCGCGCGCTCATGCGCTTGCCCTGCTTCTTCTCGAGCAGCGCCTGCTCGCGCTGCTGGTCGGCCCACGTGTTGTCGGCGCTGCCAAACGGGTTGTGCGTCTCGTCGCCGAACGCGTGCCCCAGCTCGTCGCCGGCGTACCAGTCGCGGTCGAGCGCGCTGTCGTCCGCACCACCACCGCCACCACCAATGGCCGGCCCGTCCTCGAGGTCGCGGTCGAACGTGGACGGCATGCGCGGCGTGGCGTTGCCGAAGCGCGAGGAGCGCGCGGTGGAGGGGCGGGCATTAGCGTAGCGGCCGGCGTCGCGGAGCGGCGTGGGGTCGTGCCGCCGCAGGTTCTGCGGCGTGTATTTGGAGTCGCGGTAGGCGTAGTCGGCCCGCCTGTCGCCGCCGCCGCCGCGGTCGTCTCTGCCGCGGTCCCTATCCCTATCTCTGTCGTCACCAGCACCCAGCCGGCGGGCGCGGTGGGCATTCAGCTTCTCGCGCGCGGCCTGCGAGAGCCCGCCGCCGTGCGAGGGCGTGTCCATCCTCCGCTCCCTGATATGCCTCCCGACCGGCAGCGCCGGCTTCTTAAACTCCACAACCTCCTTCACCTCCTCCCCCTTCCCCGCCGCCTCCTCCGCATCTCTCCCGCCCTCCAAGTCCAGCTTAATCCTCTTTGCCAGCCTATCCAGCCCCAGCCTACTCTCCTTCTTCCCCGCCTCGCTGTCCCTGCCGCCATTACGCGGGACCAGCAGCCCCCCGGGCATCTCGCCGCCGCCGCTGCCGCCATGTGCGCGTTCGGGCGGCGCCGCAAAGGCGGTGTGGCGCGAGCGCTGCTTGACCTCGTCGTAGACGCCCGCCAGGAACTCGTCAGAGTACTTTCCGAGCGTCTGCACGGCCGCGATGAACGTCTTGGGGCCCGGCTGGTCGCGCGCGATCTTGATGATGTTGGCGGCGAGGTAGGTGTTGGGCGTGGGCGTGGAGAGGTGGGACTGCAGCTGCTGGGCGAGGTGCGCTGTGTATTGCTCTGTGAGCCCCGGGGGGAGGTCGGGCGTCATGGCTGTGGTTGTGGTTGTGGTTGTGTGTGGTGGGGGGAGGGGAGGGGGGGATTGTTGGTGGTGGAGAGGTTCGGGGGGGGGATTGTTGGTGGTGGAGAGGTTCGGGGGGGGGATTGTTGGTGGTGGAGAGGTTCGGGGGTGAGATGGATGGAGAGCTGGAGAGGATGGAGGCAGGGGGGTGCCACAGTCCAGCCACAGTCCAGCCACAGAGGTGGGCTGTGTGCGTTCTTGTTTCGAGGGATGAATGGGAATTGGGGGTGATTGGGTGCAGTCTCTCTCTGTCCAAGTGCGAATCGCGGGATAGCAGACTAAGCCAGTGAGTGAGTTGAGTTGGCCAAGAGTGAGTGAGTAATGAACATCGACAGCCCGGGCTGGCTTCCCGACACACCCATTCATGCATAAAGCCACCCAAGCAAGCAACACAACACAGCACGCATTGAAACCTCGAGTTCAATCACCACAGACCGGCAGCCAGAACAGCAGCCCAGGCCGACGTGACCAGAGATGTGGCACGCAAAGGCCCGAGACATGCGCAGGTGGCGTAGATACAATCTGCCTAAAGAAAGCCACAGAGCACCACCGTCTGTCTTATCTTCGCTTCCACCTACATGTAGGCACTCTCCACCTGCTCTGCTCTAGCTACTCCAGCTACTCTCGAAATAGCAGCTAGCCGGGTCTCTGGAATGCAAACAGAAGTCTCTGCGCCGAGGTGGGCGCACTGTGCTGTACTTTCCCGTAATCAAACCGCTCGGCTCGTGGATAGCTGCGTAGAGTAGGTAAATACATGTAGAGTAGGGCAAGCAAACAAACGCACAAGATTAAAGGGCCCCCCCCTTCCAACAGCGATCGCTTCTCGGGCATCTCCACCGCGCCCATCACTCACTGCCCGCCATACATACCAGATATATCTATCTGTGTATCAGATCTCCAGGACCGGCCGACAGAGCATCATCAAACAGCGCGCGCACCCTCATCTGCACCCGTGGATTCGCCCTTCCCGAGATATCGATCTCCACGTCGCACAGGCACCACCCAGGCACCACCCAGGCATTCCCCGTTCCCTCCCTGCCAGCCAATCTACGCGAAACACCGGCTGACGACACTTCTTGCGATCCCTCTTTAATTTTGCCACATTAAGCCGCAAAACAACCACTGCCTAACCAACTACACATGCATCCATCCCCCCCCCCCCACCCCACAAACACTCCCCCCCCCCCCATCCCCACAAAAAGGAAACAAGTCTGAGATTCCATATATAACAACTGTGCCCCTCCTCAAGCCTCTCTCTAAATACAATATATGCGCCTACCAGAAGAAGCCCATCATCATCCCCAGACTACGACTACTACTACTACCCACCACCACCACAAGGAACCATGGCGTCCCTCAACCCGTTCCGCGACATCAACGTCACCGCCTCGGAAACACACTACACCTTCCGCTCGCCGTCGACGCCCGACGCGCCCGCGCTCGTCGTCGCCCGCCCGTCCGGCGACATCAAGCTGACCGACTCGCCAAAGCCGGGCGGGAAGCGTGTCACCAGCATCGCCGGCATCCTGGGCATCATCAAGCTGCGACTTGGTGAGTTCTCTTCTGTCCATCCCCCGCTCTCTGGAGCTCTGTAAAGGCTTACAAGGGCGGTTCTAGATAAATACATCATCATCATCACAAAGGCCCAGCTGGTTGGGCGCATCCGCGGCCACATGGTGTACAAAGTCCTGGCGACCGAGTTCCTGCCCATGCGCGAGCGCCAGCTGCACGATGCGGACGAGGACATGTATCTAGCGCTACTACGCACGCATCTGCGGACGGGGCCAATGTACTTCTCGTACACGTTCGACCTCACAAACAGTTTCCAGCGGCAGTCGGCCGCGGATCTGGCGGCGCCGCTGTGGCAGAGGGCGGATGATAGGTTCTTCTGGAACCGGTATATTTCGTCGGATCTCATTGACCTGCGGAGCTCCAACCCTGCTGTAAGAATGACCGTTTTGCTTCATGGAAGCTGTACTGGTAGCTGATTTGTCTGGATATATATATATATAGGTCGATCCGTACATCCTGCCTACGTTCTTTGGCTTCCTCACAATAGCTACGACCGCAATCAACTCCACGCCTTGCGCCTTCATCCTCATCACTCGGCGCTCCCGGCACCGCGCCGGAACCCGCTACTTCACTCGCGGCCTAGATGTCACTGGCAATGCAGGCAATTTCAACGAAACCGAGCAGATCATTGTCCTTGGGGACACCGCCGGGGGTCTCGGGGGTCTCGGCTTCTCCGCCCAGAACTTGTCTCCCGCCAACACCAAGAGCAGCCTCGACAGCGAGCAAGCGCAAGTGTTCTCGCACGTCCAGACCCGCGGTTCCATCCCCGTCTACTGGTCTGAGCTCAACACCTTGAAATTCACGCCCACACTGCAAATCAAAGGCATCGACCATGCGCTCCCTGCCGCGCGGAAGCATCTCAGCGAGCACATCCGTCTCTACGGCGAAACCCACCTCGTCAACCTGATCAACCAGAACGGCCGCGAGTCGCACATCAAGGCCGCCTACGAGTCGGCCGTCAAGTCGCTCACCCCCGCGCCCATAGAGCACCAAGAGCCCTCCTTTGTGACCCCCGAGCGCTTCCGCGAGATTGCGCCCACAGGAGCAACCGGCGGCCTGCTCGACAGGCTGTACTACGTCTACTTTGACTTCCACCACGAGTGCCGCAACATGCAGTGGCACCGCGCCCAGCTGCTCCTCGACAAGCTCCCCCTCGGCGAGCACCGCTACTTCCACTCCATCGGCAGCGGCCAAATGGCCTCCGTCAAGTCGTGGCAGACGGGCGTCGTCCGCACAAACTGCATGGACTGCCTCGACCGCACAAACGTCGTCCAGAGCATCATCGCGCGCACAGTCCTCGCCCAGCAAATGATCGATGCCGGCGTCATCCCGCCCGGCACCAACACCGCCGCCTACACAAGCTTCGAGACCCTCTTCCGCAACGCCTGGGCCGACAACGCCGACGTCGTCAGCCGCGCCTACTCGGGCACCGGCGCCCTCAAGACAGACTACACGCGCACCGGCGTGCGCACAAAGGCCGGCGCCCTCGCCGACGCCTCAAACTCGATCACGCGCTACATCCGCAACAACTTTGCCGACGGCCCGCGCCAGGACGCATTCGACCTCTTCCTCGGCGTGCACCTGCCCTCGCCCTCCACGGGCCCCCTCCGGCTCTTCACCGACCGCAGGCCGGTCCTCATCCAGGCGGTGCCATATCTCCTCGCGGCAGCAGCCTTCTTTCTGCTCGCTGCGCTGCTCCTGCCCCGTGATGCGGCGGCGGCGCCGCTGCCGATGGGCGTGTTTGCGCTGTGCTGGCTGTGCGTGGGCGTGTGGGCTGCGGGCTTCGTCGTGCGCTTCGGCGTGCTGTATGTCAAGTGGCCGGCTCTCAATCCGCCGCAGTTCTGTGTTGAGGCGACGCTGAAGGCGGGGAGGGAGGCGGAGAGGGATATGGTGGTGGGGAGATGGGTGGTGGGTGGGGAGGGGGCGCAGAAGGGACATAGAGTGAGGAAGAGCGTGTTTGGGATTGAGAAGTTGGAGGAGGGGAAGAAGAGGATTGAGTAGAGTTTTTCTTTTTGGGATGGGGCGTTTGTGGTGTTTTTTCGTTCTTTGTTCGGTGGGAAGGTTTGGGGGGGGGGGGGGGGGGGGAGGAGGGTAATGGATATGGACATGGACCTAGGTATATTAGATATAGGATAGAAATAAACTGGCCATTTCTTTGCTATTGATCTGTTTTTATGAATTAGTGTTTCGTGTATTCAGTGCAGTGTGTGTAATCTGGGGTTTGGCTTATGAGCCGGAAGAATTTCTATGCAGGCCGGCACCTCCGATCCTAGATATTCCACAGTAACCGTCAAGTATAAGTACAATAGTCCGTTGTTGGTGGCCGGTGGGTGTCTAGGCAGGTGTAGATAGGTTCAGCCCAAATCGTGGTTGGCTATAGCGTTTATTGCAGGCTCTGGGGGTCTCATAGAACTACCAAGCCCCGGAGGGAGAGATCCATATACCCGTCCCACCACTAAATCCTATTCTTCCCAGTACCAGTAGCTCGATCTAACTCTTCCCTCGGATTAAAGGCGTGATTGGCAATTGCAAGGCTGCTATCACTGGGTTGTATGTCCGAGTGATAGTCTGTGAATGACGGTTCATCGAAGAGATGAAGTGATGAAGTGATGAAGTGATGAGGAGCTAACTTGATGTTAATTTATGGATTTCTTGATAGGTATCGTGTCCTCAAACTAAGACGCATTGCATTATACGTACAGTATCAGAAACGGGGGTAAAACTGATACCGCATCAGTACGGCATTGTGAGAATGTGCCGCTTTATCTCCGTGTTTTAACGGAGTATACGGTAGTATTACCGCAGTAGTTACGGCATTGCTAAAGTCTGCGGTAGTGGTTTTATCCATGTTTCTGACATCACTGTGTGTGGAGGTTACCGTTGAAGGTCCGATTGAAGGACGCTCGTCCAAAATAAAGTGTGGGTTATAGGGCAGTTCGGCGGACCGGCAGCGGTCAGAGGTGACCCAACCCACCGCCCGCCAAAACCTAGCCCTGTCCGCCGGGGAACCCTGTGGCTGTGCTTTCACCATTGCACATGTTCTTTCTTCTCCATGCGGAACCATGCGAGAACACAACGACCCATCACGCATAGTAGCTACATGTACATCTACATCCTATCATGCCCCCTTTCCTCTAAAGCCCAGTGATTATCAGATAGCTATTGCACATACGACCCCTCTTTTAATTTATTCGGGGGATTGAGGGGGTGCGTGTAGTTCGATCTTGATGGTGAGTTTCTCTCTAAACCTTGTTTGTGTAGGCACAATATAGCTAATCTTATGCTGTGTGGTATGCCTTGCTCCGACTATTAACATAATTTGGGGATGCATCGGTGGCCGAGTGGGATGGCTATCTGCATCCTATGGTATTTTTGATCTAGGATTTCTTTCCTCTATCACTCCCCCCCCCCCAAAAAAAAAAAAAAAAAAAAAATCATATCTGGGCCCTTCATCCGCCCTTCTTTTTCGGCAGTTAACACCACCTCCATCATTCCCAGAAAACTCACCAGCAGCAGTCAAAGAAATACGCGATCAAAGAAGCACAAAACCACACAAATATCCCAGAAGAAGAAATCTTCTCCGCGCACCAGCCAACTTTTCATTTCCCGCCAAATGGGGCACAAGGTGTCACTCGCCTGTGCTGCGTGCCAACCCCTTCCAGGATCCTAGCAACAGAAGAAGAATAGCCGGCATGGAGGGGGGCATACAGCCAACCCTATAAACGAGTGACGGACTGTGATCCGGGTCCCTAGATCTCTATCGACGCCTATAACAGCACGAGTTATTTTTTCCAATGGCTACCCTTAGAGATGGAAGTGCGTCCTAGGGGAAGCGACGCCAAGAACCAGTAGCTCTGAATTCAGTCGACCCGAGAATGTTGGCATGTTCGATTTGCAAGCCACGGGGAGGACCGGGACGTATCATTTTGTTACCGTCGCGGTTCAGTTAGAAAAGTACCCGGAAGTGCAAAATCCCTTCAATACATGTAGTAGTACGGGTTATTCGGTTATAATTTTTTTTAGCGCCAATACTACAGTCCGAACGAATAAGATACACCTTCCATAGTAAAGTATATGCAATACTACACTACGGAATCCCGATCGCGAGTTAAGCCATTACCATACGTAGGATATTACTTCCGTGGCTACGAGGCTATTATTACTACCTGACTTGGGAATATTCATAGCCAGTGGATCTATCCCGTCTTTCTTATGCAAAGGATTGCGTTTTAATGCTTTCAATGCTCGCTCCATGTTGTGTCTCTTTCCGGACCCCCGGGATATGATATTTATATACAATTCATAAAGAATAGGTACATGCAGTGAAGGAGAAAAAATAACAGTTCAGTTTTTACCCCCACCTCCCGACCTCCCACCCCCACCCTTTTCGTCTGCCCCCCACCCTCTGTTCTACATGCACTACAACCGTAGGGGGGGAAAAAAAGATATAAACACCCCGCCACCAAAATAACTACTCAAACAATATATACTATATCATATCGCCCTCAACTGCTTTCCCAGATATAATCCGCGCCATGTAAAATGATCTAACCGTTTACTCACCAGCAAATATAAAAACGCATTTACAGCAAGAAGAGAACATGTAGGTGAGATTCATAAAAGCCGATAGAGAAGAAAATGATGGAAAGAAAAAACAAAGAAAGAAAATCCACAACTCGCCGCTGCTACCATGCTTCTATGTCCGCTTCGAGTGAGGACCCCAAGGAACCATCCTTCCATCCCTCGTAACCTCCGTCCCGATTCTGAAAGCAACCTCTTTTGCAATTCTCGGTTCCTTGTCGATCAAGTTCTGGCAAGCTTCCAGAGTCCTCGGATAATTTCGGTCGTAATCCTTCATTAATCCATCTGCAACCCTATTTCCTTCCCTTATCGAGTTCTCAACCTGTCGCAGCTCGGTTGTCATTGTTTCGAGAGTCCGGATGAAGGGGTAGAAGGTTGGCATTTGGGGCTTCATATCTGAAGCCTGGGTGTAATAGTACCCTTTTCGTCCGGGCCACCCTGGCATTAACTTTTTCTCACAGACCGCGAAAGCTCGGTGTAGGTCCCCCCCTATGGTGAATGCTTGAACATAGTCGTTCCAAACATTATTGTCGAACTCGTACCCCATATTCACGAGAATCTGCATCTCTATATCTATGGATGTGAGATCGCCAGCCTGTGACATGGCTTTGATGAAAATGCTGAACGGAGAACAAAGGGTGTGGCGCTTAAAAAAGATCGCAGTGTTCGTAGTGGATTGTTGGACAGGTTTAGCCAACCTTCCGGCAAGTCTTTTGCAACTCTCCCACGTTGACCTCACACCGTCGGTGTTGTTTGCCTTCATATGTGCATTCATCAATGCTATATACATCTTAAGTGTGGGTCTGGTTCCACCGGGCCTCTGCGCATGGGCTAGATTAAGGAAGTCTTCGAATTTCTCCAGAGCTTTCGCGTACATGCGTTCTTTACCGTAAATAGAGACCAATGGTGTGAAAAGCCAAGGAGGAGTTGCCGATTTGACTAGGTCCATTGATAGAAGATCCAACACTTCGACCTTTTTGGTGACCTCTACTAGGATCTCATTTGCAGACTCCAATACCAGTGCTCCACCCCGTAATCGCCACTTGGAGTGTTCCAAGAATGCCGACGCCTGGATAAGAAGTGCTAGCGAAGTAGACTGAGGCGTGATTTCCTGCTTTCGCATTTCCCGAAACGTATCCCAAACCCTTCCAGTATCCCTTCTACTCATGTGTCCCACCATGAGAATAGAGTAATGAATCTCGCTCGGTTGAAATCCTTCTTCCTGTAAGACCTGTAGGATGTTGTAGGCGGCCTCTACTTTGTTGATAAGGCATAGCGAATGCATGAGAATTCCGTAAGTGTATTCATCGAAAGGCACTCTCAAATTTCGCATACGGTGATATGCCGTGTTCAGCTTATCCGTTTGCTTCCTAGAAGCATATCCCGCGAGCAAGTTATTCCACAGCTGTGTTGTTTTGATTGTAGATTCCGGTTTCTCGGCCCTGTTGTCTTCCACCTTTTCCAGAATTGTCTCTGCAGCCTCAATATCGTCTACAGCCACATGTGCAGCGATTAAGGCCGCATACATCATGTTGTTTGGTTCAAAACCATTCTCCACTGCCTCATCAAACAACCTCTTGGTGTTTTCAACGTCACCACGTTCCGAAGCCATGGTTATCAATGTAGTGAAAGTATATGCATCGGGTTTTAAGTTGGCAGCATACATATCCTGGACCCGGTTTAAAGCCCCATCCACGTCATTCGCCTTTGCATGAGCATTGATGAGGATATTGTGGGATACTCTATCAGGTGTCAATCCAATCCCCTTGATTGTGTTGAAAACCTTGATCACCTCTTCCAATTCCCCACGGATAGTATGCGCCTGCATCAGGTGATTATACGGGAATACGGTTTGCAACTCAAAGCGCTCAAAAAACTGGCCTACCAACTCCTTCACTATACCCGACTCGCCCCGGCGTGCCATTTCCTTCATGAGAATGTAATAGGCTTGTTGATCAGGTTGGGATCCGAAAGCGAACCAATCATCGAAAACCAGTTGCATGCCCTTCCAATCAAGCTGCTCCCTGAAAGCGCGGAGGGCAGCATTCAACACGCTATCGCTCGGCTTGATACCAGCAAATTCTCGGTATTCAAGATATATATCTGTGGCTTGAACGAAATCCTGGTGGCGGTAAAGGTGAAAAAGGACGTGTTCGTAGTCTGCACTTCTTTTTTCCATGTTTAATGATTGCATAAGGTCCCATATATGCTTGTATTCCAGAGAATCATTCGGGGAAACCTGTGGAGATGTCAATGATTCCAATGCTCCCCTCAACAGCTCCTCAACAAATCGCTGTATCGAACTTCCTCTTTGCATTGTTTCTGCCATATGAATGAACTTTTCCTTGAAATTGGGCACCAATATGGCAACCAAGGTGGTATTGAGTGAATGGGGGTGTGTCGGTGGGCAACTTTCTAACAGCTCCCATGCCTTCACTGCCATTTCAAAGTCGTAGTCGATACAATGTGCAATGAACTGCTCAAAGCCTGCAAGCTTCGAGCTGTAGCCTCGCGAAACATTGGTCTTCAAAACCGAAAAGGCAGCATCAACCATACCGAGATCAAGTAGGGCAATGACTATCTTCGAATATTCCTCTGGTGTCCTTTTCTCGGCTGATATATGCTGGAACATGGTCACAATCCTTTCTTTATCGATCCGTCGGTCTGAGTACTGTAAATATGAGAGCATCCAGTGTCGTTGATCTTTCTTAGCTGAACGGTTTCCTCTATCTTTCTCGTTTAGATAATGATACCATGCCTGATCGTAATAAGCTTGTTCCCCAGACCCTTGCAGATGTTGAAGGCTTATAAACCGTTCATCCCACTCTGGCATGGCTTCGGCGTCAGGGAATCTAATTTCCGGTTCAAGTTCTGGCTCCTTTCTTACAGTTGTGTATAATCTTTTAGATCCATGAGAAAACACTGTTCCGGGCGGCGAGTACTCGTGATCCTCTCTCCGTAGTGGCGTCGAAAAATATCGTAAAAATGCGAGTGTCTTTGCTGGGTATAGAAATTCCAATCGAACGACATCCTTCGTGGCACTTCGGCCCTTTAAACAATCCTTCTCACGACCCCCCTCTACATTCTCTTCATCGTAATTATCTGGTCCCTTTCCGCCACTACTCCCCAACCCAAACCCAAACAGGCTTGTTGAACTGAAATCCAATTCACCGGCTCCATGAACCCAGAATGCAGAATGTAGCATCCTCTTCTTCAATTGTCCACGTAGAAGACGGCGACCGCAAGTCTCCAATCGAATGGAAACCCGTTCGAGCATACCCCGTGAACACCCCAGCTGGTAACCGTAACCGTACAGGCGAATCGAATGTGATGTCTGTAGAAATGGAGGAATGATCAGGTACTCAATTCTTGAAACAAAAATCACACAAACATGTAAAAAAAGAAATTGACTACAAACCTTCAGACATGCCCTCCACGCGCGAAACGTGATATTTGCAGCCGCGGGAGGCTTTGCAACTAATTTCAGAGGAATTGAAGCCCAAATGTTCAATGTGGCGGCTCCGATGGCGGGGTTCCGTCACGACTTGAAGCAACAGAGGTGGGACGAGAAACGCCTGAACAAAAAAAAAAAAATGCGGCTCGGTGACTAAGACACGCCTCAACATGTGGCGTTGAGGAAAGGAAAAAGCGACCCACGACGTCAACACTTTGAACACACATCCCCCGCAACTTATAAAACAACGAGATATGGCGAAGGAACAGTTCAAGGAAAAGCCTGAGAGAAGAAAGGGCTTTAATGTTGGCCCCGCCAACCTACCTGACGGAACCTACAGGCGCAAAGGTTCAGACTACTCACCTATTGAAGCACTGTTGAATTCACCCACTAATATCATCATTCACGCTCTAGTTGTTAAGATTAAAAAGTCTCTCATCCACAAAGCAAAAGTTAAGAAAACATTTTCGAAGGTCGTCTCCAAAGATGAATCATCTACCGACCTATACGCAGCCCAGGCGCAAAAATATCTCGAAGAAGCCGCAATGCTGAAGGAGCAAGAGGAGAAAGAACGTGCTAGGATACGGAAGGCAGCAGAAGACTCGGGGGAGGTAGAGAAAGATGCTCCAGAGCCCAAAGTCCAAAAGATGCACCCAGAGCGACAAGCCGCATTGGAGACTCCAGCACCAGTTGAAGAAAAGGATCAAGAAGAAAAAGGATATCGCTCACGGAGACCCCCGAAGAAACCCAAAACATCATCTTTCAAGCGCGAAGAGGAATATGCAGCAAAGGTTCAGGCGGAACGCGAGGCAGAATTAAAGGAGATTGAGCAAAAGAGGAAGAATCACGAACATAAAGAAAGGGAGAGGCAGAGACGGAAGAACGTTATGGGTGCACGGACAGCAAAAGGTCAACAGAAGCTGGGGAAGCAGGGCTCAATGCTACTGGATAAAGTTAAGGCCATGATGGGCTCATCTTGAAGAAAGATTAAACCTATCTCTTTGTTTCATTTTAAGTGTTTCTGGCGTTTCGTGTCTTTACTATACTACATACAGTGACATGCATTTACTAGCAATACATGAATCGTAATTCTTACACAAACTTAATGAATACATCATACAAATCCCAAAAAGTCACATTTAAGTTGCGAGTATCTGATTGTGCCATGTTTCTGGACCCTACCTACTACACACCAACCGCATTGAATCATAGGTCATCACTCACCGATCTGACATAATTCTCCGTGCCCTAGGTCTCATTTAATATTTACCTGCTTGTGCATTTAGGTGTTATTTATAAATTTCATGAAACCGAATCCTCTCATTTGAAAGGCAACCTGCTAGAATTGCATACTCGCAATTTCACAGCGTTTCCGGACGCAACTGCTATTGCATACACAGAAAAAACCCGCCAAGGCTATCTTTTATATGGCATGCAATAGTGGTCGCGTCCGGAAACGTCAAAAAACTACGAGTATATGGATTTCATCTACGTACACAAATCCCAAAATTGCGGAATTTCTGTCTTGCTGCAGCTCATCTTGCGCGATAGGTACATTGCCGATATTGCCTATTAGTCTATGGCCGGTAGAGCAATCTGTATCCGATGTCTAGATGTATCTTTCGCCACGTCTCAATTAATTATTGATACGGACGCGCGATACGCCCCCAAAACGCTAGTGACATTTCCGTTTTGTTGAGTAGGTATTTACATATCTTACTGTACCGTTGTTAATGATAAGATAGGGTAAAAGAGCCCTGCACCTTTTTCTTTTTTAGAAGCCTGAGTGAGCAGGCAGAAAGTGGGCAGAAAGGAGGGGGAGGGCGGGCGTACGAGTTGAGTAATTGTTAAATTAGGTACCTAGGCACTGGTATTGCAATTGTATGTAGCTCATGAGTTCAATCGAAGGGAGGGGTTTGCAGAATAATTAGTTTCGGTACCAAGCAACTCCCGGACGCCGATGTAGGTACTCTGGGTTCTGCTTATTCGTAAATTAATGACGTTTCTGAACACAGCTGGGTTTGCATATAAGCCAAATCTTGCATAAGGCAGCTAGTTCAGACCTAGAGTACCTACTTAATACCTACAGTATGTATCATGTACTGTAGAATAGAGTACATACCGCAAAATCTCAGGAATAACGAATCGAACTGGACTGGGAATATTGGGCTTCGGATTAGTCAAATGCTTGTTGAGCCTCAATCCGACAAACCCAAAGCATAACTTTTGGTCGTCTTGACCAATGGGTAAGTGGTATTCCAGCCCAGTCCGATTCGTTATTCCTGAGATTCTGCGGTACTCTAGAGTACTAGGTATGTACTCTCTGTACTAGAGTAGAGTACTCGTAGGGAGCTGACGTTTTTAAACCGGGCCATTATTGCATACACCCAAAATCATGAGCTTGGCGTATTTTTTGTATGGCATGCAATATCAGTCGCGTCCACAAACGTTAGCTCACTACGAGTAGAGTAGAATAGCTGCTGCATGCACTGATCGCCTTCCACCTTTCTGTTTGGCTCTCATGCACATACAGCGGGGTTGACCATACATATCTGGTCGGGTGCGTTGTGAAACGTCCGACAATTGCGAGAGAGTTCGAATTCTGTACCTAAACTTGGAATATCTAGAACACCTACTTAACATCCTCGTTCTGAATTTCAACCAGAAAGCATAGCCATAAGTACTTCGATCAATCACCGGAGAGTAATAGATGAGTTGGACAAGAAAAGAAAGCAGAGGAGAGCAGAAAAAAGAAATTTGAATTTGGTACCTTTCTTTTGGACTAAGTTTAAGCTTAAGCTCTTGTCGGAAACATGACCCATGAAGATTGGCGCTTATAATTACTTTAAGCGAGCCATAGAGGTTCGAAAACAACCATTTTTTGTGGGTCAATCTCGAATCATTGGACAAAAATGTTTGACGGGTTTGGGTATAATTCAGTGATAATGAAAGAAATAAAGGGTGTACTTTCTGAGAAAGGAATCGTAGTTACATGTACCTAGCTACCTACATGTACCTAGCTACCTACATGTACCTATATGTACCTACATGTACATGTATGTAGGTAGGTACTAACCCGGCTGGTAACCACCAGTTTATTTTTCGCTAACTGCGCTAATTTCGTTCATCATATGCGCATACCATAATATATCCAAGTACCGTAGTTTGAAGAAGCATGGCCTCACGAGGATAAACATTTCTTGTGTAGATACAGTATAATATTAATGTAGGTAGGTAAGGGTATTGTAGGCACATGTAGGTAGGTCGGTATATCGCGAAACTGGACTGTATGGGCAGGTACATGTGTCTGCATATACTTTAGTGGGCTATAGCAGTTGGAGAAGTGAATGGGAGTATATAAATACAGACCCACAAAGAGAACTTCGAGTAGATTTTTGGTGAAGCTATCTCGTCACCAGGAGGCAGCAGACGTACCAAGTTCCAGCAAGGGGAGTAGAGGTTGTGCACTAGAGTATGTACCTAAATGTAGGTACATACATGTACATAGATCTAGAGTACATGTAGGTACTCTAGAGTGGTATCGGGCGAAAGGTGGAGTGCAGGGCTCGCATGCATCCTTCTCGTCGTGTGAGGTATCATAGCTGCTGTTAGTCTACGTAGCTCTCAAAGCAGGCGCCGATGAGGGGCATTTTGTAGGAGGAATCAGAGTATCATGCAATCAAGCTGTACCATGTAAAAGTAAGAGCGAACAATCAAAGCATGAGAATAAGTGGAGCCAGCAGGTAGTACAGTAGATCAGATATGTATCCTGACTGGAAGAAAATTGTAGGCGTTAGAGATAGATAGCCTTTGAATAGTAAATAATCAGTTCAGATCGATGAGTTTTGTCAGAGCATGGAGAGCTGTTTCTCCACGGTTGCTCATGTAATTTCCCCCCACCCGGATGGTCCCTTCCTCCTCTCTTCCTTGGTTCTACCCTTATTCTCGTCCTTGTCCTCGCTCCTCTTCTCCTTCTCTTCGGTTTATATTCACTCACTCATGGAGCTCTCTATAGCAAACTCCCATTCCACGTCAAAGTTACTGCCACAAGTGTTTCTCCATGCCCCTCGTCTACCACCATCATCGCAATCCTTCTCCTCCACTACCACCACAACCACCAGAGGTGGTCGGCGAATCTTCCCAAGTGCAGTTGAAAATGCATTCCCATGACCCCAGCCCAACTGACTCGCCACCTACTTTCCCCTCCACAACTCCGTCATCTTTGCCAGAAATCATCACGTCGTCACGAGTCACCGACAGGGCAGAGCTGATTGAAAGAATTAAAGCTGGTCAAACTTCTACCTGGGTTCCCAATCGCTCGGTAATTCCTCTTTAGCCACCCACCCACCAACTTTCCTACCCCACAACTTCTGCTGCTTCTGCTGCTGCTTCCCTGTTGCTTCCACATGTTCCACATATTGCTTATCCCATGCCGCTTCCTTCATCCGAACTTTGTCAACTCGCTAACTTAGTGCGACACAGCTATCCAACTACAACTACCACACAACACACTCACCAGAACAACATTTCATCGATGAACATCCTGACCGTCCGCATTCTGCTCTTCATCAAGGAGTATTTGTAAATGAATCTCGAAATAGCCAGATTTATCCGCAATCTCCCATCCTTCGGCAAACTTCCCCATTGAGCTTGGAGTTCAAATCTCTCTTCTCGACAAACCCATCGTCTGTGTCATCTGGAAGTGTTGCTTTTGGTGCAGACAATGTCTCTGAAATTCACCAAGCCCGAACCCGGCAGAGGGCTCCATCTTTCTCAAATTTTGTTTTGAAGGCACCGACATCACCACTAGTACACTCATCCAACCCCGATAATGACAATAATGAAAATAACCCTTTACAAACTTCGACAGAACCAATAGCTATCTCTACATCCAAATCAGAAAAACGTTTCCCTGTCCCAGCATCTTCACTTTCTTCACTTCAACTCTCGCCATCAGCACCTCTTACTTCTCGACAGTCTTTTGGATCAGGGACTGGCAGTCGGCGTATTTCGGAAAATTGGCAAGAGCTCCCGTCTCCTTCAATATCTTCTCGCCAAACTCGTCGCCTTTCCGGCTTTGCAAATTCTACATCTGATTTGCCTTTTGGATCGTTCGTCGGCTCTTACGAAGAATCTATACTCAATGGCCGCATGTCTACCACCCCGTCTAAACCGCTCAGTTTCGTCGCTCAAATTGGCGTTCTGGGTATTGGGAAATGCAAAGCTTCGCTTCGTTGCCCGGCCCATGTGACCTTACCGTTCCCCGCTTATTTTTACTCTGTGGGAGACTACGATAGTCCTTCTCCATATGTGGGTCAAATTGATCTCGATACTGCCCTTAGTGCTGAGAAAAATAAGCCTTCGAAAGTTCCTCCAGGCATTGGGGGCGCCTATCGCATTCCTCAGCGTGGGCAACTCCAAATTGTGATCAAGAACCCAAATAAGACGGCTGTAAAGCTTTTCTTAGTTCCATATGATCTCAAAGATATGGATGCAGGTACGAAAACATTCATCAGACAGAAAAGCTATTCAGCGGGCAACGCGTTGCTTTCGGATCTTCCCCAAAGTTCCACGGTTTCTATGAAAAGGGAAAAGGAAAAGGATGCATTGCGTTATTTAATCCACTTGCACATTGTTTGCCCTAGTCGAGGACGTTACTATCTTCACAAATCAATTAGGATTGTTTTTGCCAACAGAGTCCCTGATGGTAAGGAGAAATTGAGAAATGAGGTCTTATGGCCTGAACCGAAGTTTAGTCCATGGAAGGCAGAAAACAGCACTTCCACACTTACTTCCTTGGCTAGCTACAGGAAAAGAAGGGCCAGTTATTCGGAGATGGTTGGGGTAAAAGGAAGGCTTCCCTCAAAGGATGAAGAAAAGGCAATGCTGTTCACGCCTTCGGACATTGAGATGGACCATGGAAAAATGATGGATCTGGATTCGGTCAGCGATGTTAACGGTGATGCTGGCGAGTTTGAGAAAATGAGCGTTAAAACCTCTTTAGTTAGTGGTGAATCACATGGGTTATTGGCTAGGAAGCTGAAGAGCTTGGGGGTTGAAGGAGGTATCATTGCCGATGGTCCTCTTGATAGATCATGGCATGAGTAATGATTTTGCGTGTTGAGGCCGTAAATATTACGTCTAGACTTTTACTTTGTCTAGCACGTTATCTTGTATATTTGTACCACTTCTTTTTTCATTTTATCAGTTGGGATGGAGTTATTGGGAATTATCATGTTTGGAGTTTCTTCTTTTGATATTCATGAAGCATTTGGAAACTTTTTGTTTGGATGTCGATTCCTGTTTTTCATAGAGAAGTAACGATGCATACTTTGAACCTTCAAGCCATATCTATTCGACATATATGTACTTTGTTTTCCTTGGTTTAGCCTGTAGCTTTTCCATTTCTGTAAAGCATCTTTAGTTATACCCTCTTATATTGCACTCCTCACTCTCAGTATAAATTTGAATTAATCAGGGAGAAAACTCGGTTGAACAGCTAGTATAAGGGGCCGTTAAGAAATACACCGCCACTAATCTATCCACTGAAAAATTAAAGTCTCACGACTTTAATAATCTTTTAAAGGAAATGCCAAGCCACAAAGCTATCCAAGATAAGAGATAAGAGATAAGAGATAAGCTATTTCAGGGCATTGGTCCGGATGAAAAAGCTTGTTTTCGAGCCGCAGATGACGTATGATCTTAAATCGGACTTCGAGCTCCATGAGGATTGAATTTTGCTTTTCCTGACCCGATCACTTTTTTTCCTGTTCCTGGTATTAAGAGCCAGTCTCTTCTCGTTTTATCGAAGTAGAGTACAATTTGTATGGATAGTCAGGAGTGAGCCGAGTGTAAGGGTGATCCATCGCTTCCCTGGCCATCAGCTGAGTGCGTTTTGATTCATTTGTTGCCGCGAGCTTTTTTTTCCCTTCCCTTGTTACCGCAGGGAATCGGAAAAAGAAAAGAAAAATGAGAGGAGAAAAAATGAATTGTTGGTCCCAACAGCGCTGCGTAGAGCAGGCCTTTCCTGGACATGCCAGATATGAGGAAAGTATGCAATTCGCCAATCTGAAGAGGGCGTTTTTCTTTTGCTAAGTTTTCTTTAGGGCATCTATGATTGTTATTGATCCGGACTAACTCTACGGACGTATGGCTCGAGAAGCTATGGTGGGTAGGTGTGTAAACTTCGGCGTTTGCAGCCAATCAATCTATAGAAATTGGGAGATCTACTCACACAATGGTACTAGCGCCTAGCCTAACGGTGGAATTTTCTCTAATTCCCATACAAAAAAGGTTCCTCTGAAGTTGACACACCCACCCCCTATGCCTTCTCGCGCCATATGTTGCCGGGAGAGCAAATTTAACGACCTGGACACGGCGGCTGGTGACATTTTCTCGGCAAGCCATTTTCAAATTACCGTGCTCTCTACATCGTATGTAGGTTCAAGACGTAAGTACTCATTAGGCTCGTACCTACTACCCAGCCCTTCTACCGGAGGGGTACTTATGTATGTACATACTTGTATATACATGATATACATACAATTAAACGCGTCTCAAACTGAATGAAGATGTAGTCTAAGGCCCCTTTGTTCGAGGTATAGAAGACATGGCTAAAAGTAAAAGGACCTTATTTGTTAGTTTTCGGTTACAACCTTACCTAGGGAACAATACTACTGAAGTTATACAATTATCACTGAACATACTAGATCTATAGATTTTTTACTTCCTCGTACGATTTTGATTATCATGTATTGCCTTCTGCGGGTAATCTACCAAGTTTTCTTTGCCGCTATGTACAGCGCCGGACAGTCAAAATCAACCCTCATGTTCTTTTCAAGCCAGAAACTAGTCCTAATCGGGAAATAATGATCATCTAATCATCCCAATAGGGTAAGAATTATCCCAATTAATCTGGCCGCCTTGGCATAAAGTTATTAAAGTTATTATTTCACAGCTATGTTTTTTTCGGGCAGATTGCACCAAATGTTTGAGAGGTCATAGTGCAGCCAGTTCTTAATTATTTTAAATCCCCTTTCATGGGGATGTTTACAACCATGATTAGACCCATTTTACAAAAGAACATTATTTCTGGACAAGTGTTGCGTTGTTGAAAGTCGATGGGGTGAAGGGGAGTCGGGGGTTGCTCTGGCCGGCTGGTTCTGGCTGTCCGACACCGTACCGTGTCTTAGGCGGGGCCCTGCAGGATATCTCAAACAGTAAGTCGTAGTCGAGGCAAGGGTAACCTAGATCCAGTAAAAAAAATCATTATGAAATACTGCCAGTATCGGATCCAATACATGTATTTCTAATCGTGAAAACGACATGGATACTAACCCATGAGTTGCTGATGTGAGTAGGTACATAGTCCAGGTTAATTGTCGCTTTGAACCAGATACAACATGGTGATATTGCTATTAATCGACAAAGTTTCTGTCAGGTACGTATATGTAGGGAAATATGTAAATACATCTTGGTAGGTATAATATATACATGGAGGTACGTACAGCCACTCTGCAAAAGTGTTCGTGATTCCGATTTCAGAGTGAGACATTTCTCTATATGTAACCGTGGCGGACCATCAAGAACCCCCAAGAGAAAACTTTCCCAGTGACCAATGGAGCCCGGAATCAATGAAGAATAAGATCAATAACATATCTTCTTTTATATGTAGTCACAAACTACATTACATATTTTTCTTTAGCTTGAATCTCTCCATTAATAACATCAACGTCACGGGTGCGCCACACTGCGCACTGACATTAAAACTAAATCACGAACACTTTTGCTGAGTGGCTGTACATGTGCCTACATGTACTTTGCAGTTGCTGGCCGGATCTTGGACAGGCCGGATCTTGGACAGGCCAGGACCAGCTAAAGGTGTGAACTCCTGCATGAAGCACTTAGCGAATTACTACATGTAGGTACCGTAAAATCTGAGAAATTGACGTTGTCTCGCAACGAATATTCTCAGATTTTGCGGTATCTGTCGTAGGTACATGTATGTACATAGGTACTTTACAAGGTATATTCGAATCCATATTTTGTTTTTTATAATAGTGTCTATAGATTAGTTTATTTGGCGGAGAATCGTGAACAAATCGATGCAATTGTTTGGCTGTTGACTCTTTTACTGCCATAACGCAGCCTTTAAAAAGAATCATGTGACTTGTTAACTTGTCAAATGATCATTCCAGACCACCCAGTTTATTCAATATATATTTATACATGTACCACTACATGTATTCTCCCCATATATAGCGTTAAGTGCGGCAAGAAAAAAGAAACTGGCGATCTATCGAATCCGATACCCGTTGTCCACGATACATATTTATATCTGACCATTAGACCCTGAGACGTGCTTCCAGGGAAAGCCGGTAACACACTTATAGAATCACCGGGCAAGTGGCTGTGTTACCTGTATCATTTGTTTCTATCACCGGCATTCGGAATCATTTGGGTAATTCTCCCCGGTCTATAGAGTCGTTCACGGGGTGCGGACGAACACTGGGTGAAGACGAACAAGGGTTCTCAATATGGCAAGCTAGCTGCCAAAGCGATCTTTCCCATCGTTTCTTATTTGTCCAAAAATCCCTGTTCGTCCACCCAGTGTTCGTCGGCCTCACCCCGTGAACGACTGTACCGCAGGATGTTGAAACTCGGCAGGAAGTCCTAGCTTCGAGGGTAAAAGTCGCAGAATGTGACTTGTTTATTTCTCCAAAGCTCCAATGAGACAACCTGTTGAATGTAGTTGGGCATTCTCAATGTGGGGGGCGCATAGTGCCTCCCTCAATATCGCACACTTCATATCAAAGCCTATGGACAATACATCCCATCGTTCAAATATGGTAAGTTAGGGTGCTTACATATTAAATGAAGATATAAATGCTCAAGATCTGCGTACTGCTATAGTTAGCTAACATTGCAAGAGATATAGATATATATTTGGGATGTGGTTATACCAGTGCAAGTCTCTACGAGTTATGTACATGTAGCTTTACTACATGTCGCGTGTCCCCCGTACAGTGAGCTGATAGTATTACATAAATGAACTTTACTATGTGAGACGGAATATAGTAAATGCATATATATATTTACATGTATATATGATACTAAAACCCCCTCTTCGGCGGTGCTCGAAGGAGTTCTCAGGCAGGCGTGCATGATCTTCCATCACGTTCCAGGCGGCAGAAATATTCCAGAAATCATGCAGTGCAGAAAGCTAGAGAGCAAGTATATGTAGGTACTCTACTCCTAGTCTCCTGGCGTTTTTGGACTGGGCCACTATTGCATACACCCAAAATCAGGATCTTAGCGTATTTTTGTATAGTATGCAATATCAGTCGCGTTCAAAAACGTCAGGAAGTTACGAGTATGTATGTATGTAGTAGAACGCATTATGTAGAGTTAGGGACATAAAGTACATGCACTTATGTAGGTACATGCATGAATAATATACTCTACTACTCTACATGTAGAGTACTTAAGTAATTGAAGGACTATTGAGTTTTTCGAACTAAGTACAGATAGCTTACAGTCACTATACATACTCAGAATAAAGCCGGGCGACCTATTTGAACGACGTGCGTAAATCTTCAAGCCAATAATTAAAACTACCTAATGTAAGTTTAAGTTAAGCCTCACACTTAAGCCAACGAGTGTAGATGCCCTTTCCACTTTCCGTTAGTAGGGACTTTTTGAATACATGCATATACAAAAACAGAGAGAGGAGAAAATATATATAAAAAGACAAAACTGAACGCCTATAAATACAACCTTTTGTCCTTTCTCTATAAGAAATCTAGTCCCTAATAAGTTTTCTATACATCTTGCTGCCTTCTGAACCCCATGTTACATCTGGAGTACAGGGCGCAAATGTTCTCAACGTGACAGCCCAATAGTTGCGAAAAAACGCCTTAAGGTTGCGGATCCGGTGAGGATAGTGGAAATTGCATCCAAATCCAAGTTGACACCACTCTTCCGCATATACCAGCTCAATCCGACAGCCGAGAGTCCAATAACGATGGTTAGGGTAAAGGCGGTTGTAGGTCCCTTGTGTTTTGCAAGTCTTTTGAATATCTCCTCTTTCTTCTTTGCCCATTCTAACTCTCGGCATTGTGCGTGAAATAATCCTTCAGCCTGTGTCAAAGTATATGATCTCCCACTCGATGTAGGTGATATCCGAGATGTCTTGAGGACGCTTTTTGGTGATATTTTACTCCATGTTGACAGTGATTCGGGGGGATAAGTGTCGAGTAGAAGATTCGCACGGGAAATCAGTCCCTCCAAATCCAATGGCTTAGGAAGTTTGGAAAGAATGGAGTGAAGCATTTCAGGCTCGTCATCAGGGATCTCAAATAATTCTTCTTTCCTATGTAAAACGATCTGATTTCAGTGAGCAAGAAGTGCAGTATATGCGTTTTTTTTTCCCTCTCGAAACAGTGAAGTGACACACCTCTGCAAAGAGATACACAGGGAAAACCGGGTCCATTGCCAATAGTACATCAAATAACCTTGCTATATCACTATACTCTTGGATATCATGAGCATAAAGGGTTAAGGTAGCAGCTAAAGCAAAGAACGGCTGTGTCCGGGAAATATGAGCACAAAGCTTTTTGTCTGCGGCATATAGGAGTGGGTACAGTAGGTGAAGATGATCCAAAGCGGGCGACATTGATGGAAGCATGAAATCTCTTATACGTAGTAGTGAGATATGCTCAACCGCCGGAACGGCCCGTCTGGACCCAAGTACCAATAAAAAGACTTGACAAATGTCATGAAACCCCTATTTTGGCTCGTTTTAGGGATAAATAAATAGTTATTCGCGGGAGATTTCGGGCTTACCTGGAAGTAACAAAGCATTGGGTGACGTCGCAGTACCTCCACAATTAAGTCTGAAAGCTCTTGCTTCCGGGCTTTTGACTCCCGCGGTGACATATCTATCCTTGATAATTCAGTTCCATTCAGCTAAGACCAGTCAGATGGAGATCAGATGAGGCTCCCGCTTACTGGTGGGATAGTAAATGAACGACCGGTTGACGTCCAGCTGTACTTGATTCTCATCTCCATGAGGAGGGAGGTCTTTCCACGATGACGAATTCGGCTGATCCTCGAGATGTCCATCTTTATCGCCGTGTTGAGACTGGGTTACTGCATCTGCATCGTCGTATCCTAGCAAGATGGGCCCTATAATTTATAGAGGATCAGCAATCCAGCTTCTTGGGCAAAAGTAAAGCTGTCAGAGAAGTACATACATGCTTTTCTGCGAATTTTGTCATTGAGTAGACCGTCCTTGGATATTGCTAGTTTAGCAATAGCTTCACGATCCCCCACTAGGCAAGCCTCTTTAGCAGCATTTGCTTTTCCAAGGTCTCGTTCTGCCCCCGAGACAGGCCTAGAAATGTATTCTATCCCAGGGCTTTCAGCTTCTGCAAAATCACTACCATGATCCAGAGCCGGTATTTTTTCGTCGTTCATCACGAACGAGGCTTCAGTGGGATGTGGAAGCTGGAAGATTCGGGAATAAAGAGATGGATGGTGGCTGGAAACGAACAGACGCGCTATTAGGTATGTAGGTACTGACTGTGGTATGTATGTATGTATGTAGGGCCCAAGTCGAAAGGAGAGTCAAATGCAGCCAAAAATGCGACACATCAGATGTTTTTAAATTAACCAGCAAAAGGGGAGCTTGACCGGCAAGGGAGAGAAGCAAGTCGCGTCGCGTGGCTCCAGACAAATAGTTGCTTCCCTGTTGGGTAAAAACCTGCCCTTTGAGGCAATTTAATGCCAAGTCAAACATTCAACGTCCCGACCCTTAGAGTTTTAACGTCTCTAAACATAAAAATTTCCTATGTATTTACCCCTCCGCGGGGCCAATCTTTTTCCTTCTCTTCCCAATCACTAAAGAAAGTGTGGAAGGGACTATCAATGCCCGTTGTGAGATATGTACAACACTCGAGAATCTGATGTGCATTAAGCAATGTTAAGTGGATAGCTTCGATATTGATTCCCAGATGAAGATGTATTAGGAGCTCCGATATTTTGGAGAAAATCACCAGGAATACCCCTCCACCAAGGAACTGTTGCCGTACGTGAGCGTCTTTTTATTGCCGTCATCGCCGCTATCAATTAATTTCCTAGTCCTAGATTGCCTTGCGTAAAGGTATGTACGAGTACTCTACAATACGCCGGGGCCTATATCATTGTTCCTAGAAAGTAAGAGAAATAAACATGTGTGACATGTAGAACGATAAATGTTAAGGTCTCCCTCTTATGAGTCTTCTCCGAGTCTCACGAAGCACAGTAGCTTTCAGGGCTTCGGACCTCTCTGCGACGACATCAACTTACACCACCGTCGCTCGTAACCGCTCCTATATATAATGCTCTCCGTGCCCACTCAATTCGCAAGATAAAACTAAAGTAAAAAGAAACGGTTTACCCACGATACCGGCTACATCTGCCTGCGGGCTGCATCTACTACAGGCAAAAACGCCGCCTCAGTGCGCGTAGGTTACCTTTACCGATCCAAGGACCACGGGCGCAGAGACACAGCAACTTGTGGGATCTTGCAGGGCAGTAGGTAAAGCAACGGCTGGTAGAGAATCAGGTCTGTAGGGAGAGACTTCTTGGTGCGTCATTTCACCAGTACATACGTCTTGCATCATAAAATACGGACACACTCCAAAGCAGGCGATCTTCGATCACCCACCATTTCACCTCCTGCAGCTGTCAGCCCTCAGTAGTTGCGGAGTGCTTTTTCGGCGATACTCAAGCTCCAATATTTTGCTTTCCACCAAATAGGTAATCCAACCAACATCTGGCGTTGCGCTCAAGGCTTAATTGATATAAGACTCTTGACCCGCGGCTTTCAACGGGACAAAAGTGTCTTGGTGGAGCGGGAAAGTTTGGATGGAGAATTCGAACTCACACGTATGGGTAAACAGGCCGTGGACGAACCAGAACATCGCCCGTGAACAGCTCATGGCACATAATAACCACCATGATTCCTCTGAGGAACCCCCGGTTTATGGGTTAATGACTCGAACTCTGGTGCAATCACCGGTCATTCGCCAGATCATCCCGGCTCGCATCAGGAGTAAGGATTTGAACGATGTTGTATTCATTGGGGTTGGTTCTGCCCTTGCGGTTAAACATATGGCTTTAATGCTGCTATGTCTTAGTGCCAAAACGGTAGAAATATATTGATTGCTGAGTAACTTCTAGGAAGCATTTATAGAATTACACATTCTCACGGAAGATGGTAAACTCCGTCAGGTTGGATCAAAGACAGATTTTCAAGCCGACATTCGGCATGCCAGAGTTTTTGGCTCGCCGAGAAAACACTTTTATTCGGCTCAAGATGCAATCTTTAGGCAAGGGCTAGCAAGCCAGTTACAAGACGATACGGATATGCGAGGAGACGGGGAAGATGCTAGTAAACAGATGTTACCACCCCATATACTCGCTCTAACTCTAGATTCGGGTCATCTTGCTTTCATCTACGCAAAAGATTCTGAGGTACAGGGAGAAGTGGATTTCGTGGTTTCAACAAAGAGAATAGATTCAAAAGGAGTCCACCCAGCAACTTTGGGAAAATCCATAGCTATAGATCCCCGGTATGACAGAATATCCAACCACAAAGGTCATTAGGCTCATGAAGACTAATATCTGGATCAGATCCAGGGCATTGGCGGTAGCTGCTTACCAGGATCATTTCCGGATGTATGCGCTTCACTCCACAGAAGAATTGGAGCAGCAAGTACGCATGGGGAAAACTCTGAACCCAATCAAAGAGGAAAAGAATTTCGAAGTCAAAGGCTTGATCCTACATATGGAATTCCTTCACCCATCTCCTGATGACCAGGATCACGTGATTTTATTATTATTTGTGATCGAGTCCGTCCTCTGTCTTCAGATGTTCACTTTAAATTAAAAATAAGCTAAACCTTTATGTAGTACGAACCAAAAATCACGCTTACACTTATATGAGTGGTGGACCTCAAAATCGTTACGGACGGCAACTAAACATGGAAACCATGGATTCCGTCTACCCAATGGTACTTCTATTTCCACCAGTTCATCCCCATTGATAAATCTAACTTTATTAGATATATCCATGCCTTTACATGTGATACCACTCGTTATCAGTTCCGCGTTTCTACTAGTCACAGAGTTTTCAACGCATGTTGTGAAGGCCTCAGACATCATGTCAGGGAGCCCTTCATTCGCAAATATTGCATTTCCGCCTGCCCCTCCGAATGGTCAGCGACGTAAGTCAATCACGGAAATGATAAACTTTCAAAAATTCTAATATGCTTATTAGGAGTTCTTGTAACTTCATGGGCCCGACCTTTAAGGACTCCAAATTATGCATATAACCACGATGATATGTATCTTGCTATGGAAGATGGCGATATCTTTTTTTTGGAAGTAGATACGCAGGGACCAAATCTAATACAGTTGGCCAACAAAGCATGCCATCTCGATTGCTCGATAGGGACGGCGTTCGCATCGTTGGATTTTGGGTTGACTAAAAATGATATGCTTGTTGCAGGCGGGGAGATGAGCAGTGGTGGAGTATATCTAGTAAGTTCGGTTATTAACTTATTTAAAGTCATTACACTTATTTCTACTCCTCTGCGACTGGGCTGAGACTCTTCGATCAGTTAAAGATAGGACCACATCCTGTGGAGACTGAACCAAAGCTTGAAGAATCCGTCGCCAATTGGTCACCAGTTTTCGATTTTGATCTTGTGAAAATACCTGCCCAAGGTCATGCCAGTGGGAAGGCAGAAAGGGACCGTGTATTCGCTTGCACAGGTCGCGGAGACCATGGCGCAATCACTGAACTGCGATACGGGATTCAAGCAAGAATCCAAGGCTCGGCAGAATATCATTCTGGCGTTAGGCGACTTTGGGTGCTTCCCGATTCTTCTGGTGAAGGCTATTTCCTGCTTTCTTCGTTGCCAGATAAGTCAAATTTGTGTTTCCTAACACCATCTGGGGACTGGGAGGAGGCAAGCGAGTTTGGTCTTTTGGAGATGGATGAAACCACGCTGGCTGCAGGTGCTGTGGGAGCACTTTCTGTGCAAGTTACACCCAGTGCAATCATCATTGCCCAATTAAAGGAGGGGAATCTCGCTCTTCGTAGAGATGGTGATCGAGATGTTGATCGAGATGTTCCTATGGCAGATATTGGGATGGATATGGAAAGTCCTCTCATCATGAAGGATGAGTGTAATGTGGGAGAAATCATTGTAGCAGCGGCACTAAAGGACAAATTTTTAGTAGTTGCAATTCGAAAGGGTGTTGTAGTGGAGTTGATACTAGCTACTATACAAGTCGGTGAGAATACGTAAGTCTCCATATACTTCTTGAAAATACGACAAAGGCTGATGGTAACGTAGCAGTGGGAAATTTCTTAATCCTGTTGGTTTACCTACCACCCTGTCTGAAGACCCAACCTTCATAACTATCTTAGAAATGCAAGTTATATCCGGACCCACACAAACTTGGTAAATACCTAATTATAACTATGTTTATAGAAATCAACGCATGCTGGTAGTTGTTGGAACGCAGAAAGCCACGATTCAAATGTTCCTTTTTGATCTGTCGAACGGGTTAATACCATTGTTAGATAAACCAAGTACGAGTCCCTCTGAAGATTAATGAAGTATAACTAATATCTCTAGTGTATGAGGGGAACACTGAAGGTCAACTGGCTTTGTTCACCTGCGAGTCTGTAGCACTCCTCACCGCTAATAACTCCTCGACGTTACTGTGTGGGTTGAGAGGCGGCACTGTGCTTGCACTAAATGTGGAATGGGAAAGAGGTATGACTTCATTTGCCGACTTAAAATACAATTATCTGATTGGAAACGAGATCGCTAATTGTTAAAGGCCTTACTCTCGAGAGAATCGAGGAGATAAAATTCGGGCCAACCCCAGTTCAGCTCCATCCTGATGTGCGACGGCGTGACTCAGCCTTTGTTTTGGCAGGACCTGAGCTCTTTCGATTTGATTCTCCAAATGGGAAATTCAGAGCTTCCCAGGTTGTATTTGAGGAGTCTGATGTTGAAGTGAGTGCCACATACCTATAGTATCTTAGGAAACTAACGAATCATATAGCCATCATTAGTCGCCTTTGCGCAAATCAACTCACTAGATTCAGAAAATATCGTGATTGGTATGACCAAGGACCAAATATTTTATGCTGACGTTGGGGAAAGTGAGAAGGTTTGTGTTCGTAGGCTTCGCCTAAATGAGACACCGAGAAAGCTCTTGTTTTACAAGCCTCTTAATGTCCTTATTGTTGCCTGCTCGCGGACTGCATCCGATGATCCCCGAGTTGAGAGCGAGAGACACATTCCTGGAAGAAGAAGATCGTTTTGTTCTCTGAGATTCCTAGATCCCAGAACGTCCGTGACTCCTCCCATTTTGGTTTTAAACTCCCAAAAAACCAACAGCTAACGAAGATGTAGTGGAGAGTCCAAGGCCGACCGAGATATCCGTGACAGTTCAAAAAAGGAGCTTATATTTGGAAAAGCGAATGAGCAGATCTACTGCCTTGCAGGTTTGATAATTATCTTTTATCAATATATTTTCCTCTTGTTAACCACAATCTAGAATGGAACATTGAAATCGAGAATAAACCCTACCGTTACATCGTATTAGGAACAGATTATATCAACGTCACAACCCAAGATGTACACAAGGGCAGGGTTATTGTGCTTTCTGTTATCCTTGGACCTTCTGGAAACATCGAGGTTCGACGACGATTCCAGATACAATGCGATGAACCCGTTTATTCTTTAGCACCCTATAGCACTAAGTAAATTACCATACATGCCTTCATCCCAATTACTCGGTATCTGACCTCTATGTCTTTCTAGTTCCCTGGTATATTGCTCAGGAGACATGATCTACATGAAGACCTTTAATACATCATCAAAGAAGTACGTTATCAGATCTAATCTTTGAAATATTGATACTAATTAATTATAAAGGTTTGATGATGTCGCCAAGGCGAAAGTTCGATCGCCTGCTGTGCAAATATCGGTGACGGGACCGTTAATTCACCTATCTTGTAGCGCCGATTCAATGCTCATTTTCAGATTCGAATATGGAGAGTTCAAGGAGCTTGTCAGGTAATTAAATTTCCTTTTGAATCTTGTAGACATCATTCTAATTTTTAAGCGATGATACCGCTCGCAATGGGTTTCATCATTTCCAGCTTTTCAAAAATTTCTTCCTAGCTACTGATAAGCAGTATGGCATTGCTGGACTATGGCGACCCCCAAGTAAGTTGGTTTCTCTTAAAAGCGCAAATTCATTGCTGATACTCTTTCAGATCCCCGTAATGTGGAGAGTTTGGTGACAGTGGTAGAGGCGGAATTAACCAGTTCCATATCCCGGATAAGGAAGGGAAATGTGAGGCCACCGTGGCAGCTCAATAAACCACGTCCTGGTGTCGTTTTTCAGGACCAAGATCTCATTGCTGCTGGCGTGAATGGCTCAATTTTCCAACTCACACTCTTGGAGGAAGGCCCCTTACGACTATTGAAATATATCCAGGATCTTTATAGATCCAAAGCTGGTATGAGCCGGCGCAACCTATCAGCATTGGGAGACCATGATCCACAACTAGGTCAAGTGGATGGAGATATCTTGGTGACAATTTTGAAGCTTGGAAATGAATGGTTGAGAGATTTGGTGGTAAAGTCGGACAGAGGTGATCCTAATATGCCCAAATTAAGGGAACTCGCTGGTAGAGTTTTGGATGTGTTTGGGGAAACAGAATTGATCGAAGAAGTTATGGGATACATGGATACTTTGGTGAACAGTGTCGTCTTGTAGAATTTAGATTGTGTTTTCTTTCTTTCCTTCTTTTAGGCTCTTCCAATGAATGTTTTATTTGGTGGGTGTAAAATAGAAGTTGGGTTTCATTTGGGTGGCTGTGTTCTAAAAATTAAATCGCAATTTTTGCATAAACAAGAAGTTATGTATCAGCCAATCCTGTCTGAGTAATCTATAACCTATGGCTAGTGCTGTCATATGCGCACAGAAAAGCCAAAAAAACTAAAACTTCTAATGCCTACTCATCACCAAATCGAGGGCTATGCCAAGCATATAGGATCGATTTAATTCATTCAGTAACGGGCCGGCCATGCCACGGATAGATCTAGAGTAGAACACCATTTCAATCATGTCTGACCCCTCTTTCGAACAGTCGGGCTATGCCGAAAATCACATATCATCACTCGATATATGATAATTAAAGTAGAGTACATTCCTACCTACATGTACAGAGTTACGAACAAAAAGATCGACACGTACATGTATATACCTGCCCCCGGGTGAGAGCTCCGCGTGAAATCCGACCCGCTAATAGGTATCAGTTTCATATTCCAGTACGTAATCCGTTCATTCCGTTGCCGTTGCCGTTGTGTTGAACGTTTCACAACAGGTGCACATACGCCGCCACCTTTAACCTGCCCTATCACCAGATTTATGGTAGGTCTAAGTGAGCACCGATAGATAATGAACCGTGCGCCGCCCACCGTTCCCTATAAAACCGGCTCACATACGTAATATCATATTAATTTCACCAGATCATTAATCCAGTCTTGGCTTACCTACTTTGATTCACAAGGCACAGCATTGAATCCAAGACGGACTCAAATTGCGAACCAAAGTGATATGGTTCGCATTGCCACACAGCGTATCATGTTTTGTTTTGTTTTGTTTTGTTTTTACAGCATAGCATCGTGAAGAATAATTGTACCCTGCATAGATCTTTGTCGCCGAAAGCATGCCCGGGTGTGCACAACCATGACTTCAGCTGTTTTGATTCGACCGTCTAAAATGCGAGGTAGATCAGTTCTTTATCCAGAAATAACTAGACCAGTCAGCACACACTCGGTGTTTCGCTGATCAAAATCACACGTATATATACCTCTACCGTCCTATATGTAGCTAATCCAGCACAACGCACAATCGCCGGTTCCCCGGTGATTGCCAAGGTCATTTCCTTGGAATATATTCTGCTAAAAAGCAACGTCAATCTTCTGCACAACTGATTTTCAAACCATGGAGCCCCCTGAAGATTTCATTTTGATCAGAGCCTAGTTTGAAATCTAGTGATCAGCAAGTATGTATGTACCTACCTAGAGTGTATACTTTACAGTCCAGAGCTTTCAACGGGGCCATTCCTATTTACATACTCGGGTAGTACGGGCCAAGTTGTGTAACCTGTTAATGGTCGATGCGGGCATTATGAGAACTACCAATGGGTATAGCTACCAATTATTGACACCAGAAGGATTATGTAGAGGAATAAGGGAGACTTTTCCCGAGGGAGACCCAATTGCAAGTCTAGCTTGATGATACAAGCTGCGCCTAAAATCCTCAAGTCTTTGTATATAACGTGTATGGACCGCTTCAAACCTTGAACACCACATAATATACATATGTTACATACTTTATGGCCCGAAGGGGTATTTTTATAAGGGTTCTATAACGCTTAAATAAGACTTATTTAACCGTTTTTGCTCGCATATTGCTTATTCCGTTTTTACGTCTCCAGTAATAAACTCGGACCAATAATCATTATATCAAGTAAGGATTATTTCGAATTATAAGGCTTATTTCGGATTATAATTATATAACGCTTATATAACGCTTATTGAATTTTAAGGCTTATTTCTAAATAAGGATATGTACTTGTGGGTGACAAAAAGAAAAGGGCGGGGGGTTGAACCCAGAGCCTTGCAGGCAGCATATACCTCATGCCACCCACTGAGCCATAGGAGAACTGAAATTCCGCTGCTGGAAGTAATATATGGCCAATATAATGCGAATTTATAAGCCTTATACAAATATCATCCACCGAAAAGCCTTAAAAAAGCCTTATGTGATGAATAAGGGAGATCTAGTATAAAGGTTTAAGCTATTTGATAATAATTATCTAAGTTTAATAGTTATTCATAGGATAAGCCATATATGTGCCTTATTTTGCATCAACCCTTACCCAGAAAAGAGCCTTATATCAAATTAACACTAATATCACCCTTTTTCGTCAAAAAGCGCTTAATTAAGCATTATTTGACAGTAAATCGTTACTGGAGGCTTATAAAAATACCCATTCGGGCGGTAATGTATCCATACGTACAACATCATTATTGCCATCGATCACTACTATCACCGCGTATATATAATGACCGATGACCGGCAAGAAGTAGTGAGTCGAGCTCCGGCCGTGGTTGTTATATTTCCCTCAAATAGATAAGTACATGAAGTCACATGTCAACATGATTGATCATGAGCGGATCCCATAAGTATTGCAGGGCGATTTGCAATGGTCCTCTTTTTTCTCCTGCTCGACCGAGTGATGCAAGCAGCTATAATGACGGTGGTAATATGGTTATCTAAACAGTACGATCTTCCTCGTTGTGGTCAGGAAGCATTATCATTGGTTAATTTAATCTTACCGGGCTGCTATGTACTCGCCTACCAGCATAAGAACCAGAAAATGCGAGTGACAAAGTCAAGGATTATTTGTATGGCATAACGGCGCCACTCCATACAAATAATCCTTGACTTTGTCACTCGCATTTTCTGGTTCTTATGCTGGTAGGCGAGTATACTGGACAAAGGACCATTCCCGAGTTCGGAAGGAACGAAACATATGTAGAATCTTAAGTTTGGAAAAATTAGAAGACTGGTTATCAAACTTTCCACTTTGAGATATCATGGATGACATTGCTAGGAGATGCATTAGAACCATAACTACATACAAATAGGTTCTGGAATTTCGGATTAGTTCCATATTTGCGGCCGGCCGGAGGCTGCACTTCACTTGTAATTAAAGGTACATGTATATACTACATACCAAATTGATAAGAGGGACTTGTGGCTAGGTGGCCGAGTATACGTGTCCGAGTATAGCTATGTGTCTAGATCTAGATCTATAGAGCGACCATTTATCTATTCAAATTCGTTTGAATGGCAAATATATTAATGGGGTAATATGTATGCACATGTAGTGATTAAAGATTTGAACTAGTTGTATATAAATGGATTGCATGACTGTATTGATTGAATCTATTTTCTACATTTCTGTTTATTACTTTCCAATAGTAACAATATATTAATTACTACGGCTACAAAGGTGATTATGAACGTCTTTAAGGTTTGTTGCTTGATCAAGTACCTAATTAGATTTGTCTAATCATTAACACCTCTCAGCATACCTCATGACACATTGCGCGTACATCGGTGCCTATAGTTACATATTTGGGTCACTATGACTAGGTAGACCCTACTATATAGTAAGCTGGTGTTAGCGATCATAAAATATCACTCGCAGGACACAAGTTTTTTTTTTTTGTTTAATTCATTAAGCAGGGCACAGGTTGAGCTAGTTATAAGGTCCAGCTTTTTGTTTGTTTGTTTGTTAATTCATTCATGTACAGGGTCCGCGTTTTCGTTGGTTCATTGTCTTTGCGCCACTGCATGTACCATTACTATCTAATATTCTTCCAAGCATGTGCCAGCTACAAATACGTCCCTAATATCAACCCAACTTTTCTCTGTATCTCCCGGCCTTCCTGACACCTACCACCATTTTCCACAACGAACAAATTTCTTGGGCTAGAATCTTCTATTTGTTCCCACCCAAGTGAACATAGCCATCTATGATACCCTTGCTATGAACCCCCTCCTTCTGGGTAATACTTTTCGATTTCTTCCTTTTCGTATATCCAGCCGATCCCGGCAAGTCTTTGTAAGAGATATATAGCTCGCTTTAGTGAGGAAAGGAGACGATAAGGAACTGCAAGGAAGACAGTAATGAGAACGAGAGGAATAGAGAGGACCCAAAAGACCCAAAAGACACGTTTGGTCTCGGCCGTGAAGTTGTTTTCGAGTGATATTCCGTTCATTCCTAGAAAGAATGCCACACATGATAAAGGTACGAAAATCTTGGCCAGGTTAAATAAATAATTTCTTCAACTTCAAGTAAGTACCGGGGGAATGCTTACAAACGCTAAATGAGAATCTTCCAACTTTCTTCGCTAGTTCAATTCCCCTTATAGAGTGCTCGATGGCTTTCTTGCTCTCAACAATCGTTAATTTTGTTAACACAATACTGTGCGCTTTCTCCGCCCTCATAGAAACATAGTGCATATCTTCACACTGATGTAAATTCCTCTAATACACCGTCCAAATCACTCCCCGCTTTAGGGTCTTGACTTAGCGCCCTAATTGTCGGAATTGTTTTCCTTACTATCAGCTGTGCACATTTTGACAACTCGGCACTAACAGAACTTAAGCTTCCCCCGGTTAGATCATGGACTTCGTCTGAGGTTATTCTACCCTCCATTGCCCCAAGAAACGAATGTTCGATTCTGACTAATAAATGTCGCCACATGACAAGAGTGAGCCTTAATATATGAGTTATTAAATATGAGGAGTTTTCGAAAGCGCGAATAGCGTTGAAATCAGAGCTTTCGAAAAAGTCAGCTAGATCTTGTTGGAACGGAGTGCGTTGGCTGTCAAGGTCTACCATGGCGTTGTGTCTATTGATACCCAGGGACCTATTAAATGCCGCATCTCCTTCCTTGAATTCTAGGAATGAAGGAAGATTCAGCCGAGAGGTCAATGAAAATAGGCCGCGGAAGGCATGCTCATCGAACAAATATATATCTAAGCGCAGGCAACCCCTAGTAAGAATTGGTTCGTAGTCAAATATCAGATCTCCCTACCTGTAGTCAACCCCCCGCCAGGAGGGCTACACGTGAAACATGAGGATCATCGCTGATATATCGCGTCCCAATTCAATGGCCCATTAGGCTTCTCAAATACTCGACACACGTTTCTCGTGCCCCGATGTGTTCTCCGGGTTCGGCCTAGCTCCCTATACTCAAACTAGAATCTTCGACTTTCTGGTTTCTTCTCCTCTAGGATATGGAGATGACTGCCCCTTGTTGTCTTCGAAGTATAGCTTATATTCTCATCCGGTAATAAATGATCCGCAAACAACCCAAAATCCATCCCATACGTATCTCCCAAGGCTTCTAGCACAGTTTCTTGAATATCGGCCACCAAGACCACTCTTCTTCCCTGATTAGGCATACTAGCATATCCATTATGCAGAAACGGATTCTTGAGATGCATTTTCAAATCATCAAGGATTTCATAGTTGAAAAGCTTGGTTGACCCATCGGATGCTACTTCCAAGATGGAGACTGGGTTCACAGGATTATAGGTGGGTGGATCATATGGAAATCCAGCAAAAATGTGCATCTGATCATAAAGAAACCAATATGCTGGTGATCCACGAATGCGCCGAAGATACGCACGGTATGAACACGCCTCTGTAGCACCAGTAGTTCCCAACTCGCGCACCGAGGTCTGTATTAAAGTTGATTGTCGAGTCGCTGAGAGCCGGCTGCTCCGCAAGGTACGATTTGGCGATTCTGGGGTAGATATGTTTTGCCTAGGGGTATTGATATGACTTTCTGAGAGGTTATTGGGTTTTGATTTATATACACACGTTGAACAGTTGATCAAACTAGACAGGGAAGATCGTATGGTACCTTTCAGGGATAATTCTTGTGTAACACAACCGTGACTTCAGCTATCACTCGCTAGGTATTCTGGCAGAAAATGGATACATGACCTCTTAAATCGCGAACCTCAACACCTCAATCCCCCCCATGATTTCTACAAGTTATTCCAATAAATTCACTGCACACCATTAAGCAATTTCAATACTCTTCTTGACAAAAGCCCAGATTTATTTATTTACCCAGAAGCCCTAGAAGAGAAGAAGAAAAAAAGAAAAAAAAGTAAAATAAGATTCCCCGAAGCCTTTTTTTTGTTTCCCAAATGCACACACCTAAAGACGGCGACCACGACGACCACCCTTTCTGCGGGTGCTGTCAGAGGGTGTAGGAGTAACATCCTCGATACGTCCAATCCTCATACCGGCACGAGCAAGGGCACGGAGAGCTGACTGGGCGCCAGGTCCGGGAGTCTTGGTTCCGTTACCTATATCACTCGTAGTTAGTACTCCACCTTCATGGTACTGTCGTCGGGAGAGGGGGGCACAAACCTCCGGTAGCACGGATCTTGATGTGAAGAGCTGTGATGCCGACCTCCTTGCAGCGGGCAGCAACATCCTGAGCAGCCAACATAGCAGCGTAGGGTGAGGACTCATCACGATCGGCCTTGACTTTCATTCCACCGGTGACACGGACGATGGTTTCCCGACCACTGGAGAGAACGAAAGGATCAACGAAGCGTCAGCCTCTACCCTTTATGTATAACTCTCTCATGAATCATGAGAAAGTTTCCAAAAACCCAATCTTTCTCATTTTCATGATATTTCTATTGTTGGTTTGTTGGTTTGGATTATGCTTGGGGCGAAACACACCTGAGATCGGTCACATGGACGAAGGTATCGTTGAAAGACGCGAAAATGCGAGCAACACCGAAAACGAGTTCACCTAATTCAAACTCAATGTCAGTTCCTCCGCAATCCCTTTCTCTCCCACCATCCTATTCCACCGCTAATAAATCAGGTGCTGATAAGAACCGACCTTCACGGATCTGAGGACCGAGAGAGATGTTCTCCTCCTTGCGCTCAACCTTCTTTCCTTTTGGGGCCATTTTTGATTATTTAATTTGTCGATTGACGAGAGGTACGGGGATTATAGGTGGATTGGCCGTTCGTGGTGTTGCTTGACGTCTCTATCGTTGAGGATTCGGTAGTGAAGTTACAGAAATTCGCTGGATGTGTGTTCGTCGGGCTTGGCGGTGGGAGGAAACAGCAGTCACAATGGGCAAGGGTAGGCTGCCTTGTTACACAAGCGGTAAAAGAAGTAATAGATCTGCATGCATAAGTACCTACATGTACTCTGTAGTTAGAATTAGCTATCTCAGCAAGTCTTCACACTGGTGCAATCCTCTGAACTTTAAATTGATAGCATTCTTAGGCCTTAGTAAATCTGGGTTATCTAATCAATCAAATTTTTCGAATAATTGCCTGACGAAGTAATAGAGCGTATTTACTAAGTGTCATTTTTGACAATTAACATTTCAAAATTAACAGTTGCAAAACGCAAAGTTGACACTTCCCCTCCATAGGGATATGAAATACGAATACGCAAGCTGCAGGAATAGGATGATAACTACATGTACTATGGTGTCTTCTAAGTGTATTTGGCATCCTTTTAACGTATTTCACAGCCTGGCAAGCGACCCACCCAAAAAATGACACTTGTGGATGCCGCTTTGGAGAATGGCGAAGTGTCGATTGTTAGAATTGACGGTTAGTAAATACGCTCTAATGGCAATTCTCCATATATATGAGTCCAATAACTGGTCAGGCCGCCAAATTATACTACTTATTAATGTGGATGTAGCAGAAGTAAATTTAATAAATAGAGTACAGTAGATATATAAATAATGCAGCAGCTCATCTAAAACAAAAAAATAAAAAGAACCGACAAATGAACAAACAGCTAAGAAATGACAACAATTATTCGATAATACTTTTCAAATCAGAAAATCTCGCCCTTTCTTCACTGCCAAAGGCTCATAATAGTAACAATACACGGATCCTAATCACCTCTTTCCTTTCTCTTCTTCAATCTCATCTTGTACACCCTGTAGTACTCCTTCTCGCTCCCTCAGATGCTGCTCCACTGCATCGACTTGCATTCTAACCATTTCCAAATCCTCCCTTACGCTCTTTAAATCTGCGCCGCCTTTTGCCGAACCCCCACCATCTTCCAAATCCCGAAGAGTTCGTCGTTTATAATCCAGCATCTGCTCAAGTTCCCGTTTCACTAGTGCTGCTTTTGATCCGCTAGATCCATATTTATCTCTGTTTCTTCTCTTTTCCGCCGCAGCTTCCGCTTCCGCGATCTTGGTTTCGAGATCTGCGAGTTCACGTTTAAGACGGACTTCTTCCCAGTCTTTGTCCTTTGTAGACGAAAAGTCGGTTCCTATCTCAAAGTTAGTATCTGCTTTATATAGTTAGGTGTTGACGCTCTACCAGAATGCTTAAAGTTCCCTCTCCCACCAAACCCTAATCTCGTAAGATAGCTCTCTCCAAATGCCTCTTTTTTCCCCGAGATGGTGTTCATATCTCTCCTCCCGCTTCCGAGACCTCGTCCTGTATCTTTTACCTTATCAAGATCGTAGTTGATCTGGTTTTTCTGGAAGGTTGCTCTCAGAGACGCCGGGACAGTTCGTGGAATCCGGTAACCTTCATGGCGGCCATTGAGGATATGCAAGAACACTAACGCCTGATCTTTTCCTATAGATGGTGACGAAGAAGGGTTGACTAAGTTCCAAGCGAAGCGGATATCGGTATCCGGAACGTTTATAGAGTCATAGAGACCGTCCAATGCAGAAACTAAGGATGCAATTAGCAAAGTGTGTTACCAAGGTACATGTAGGAAGCTATATAGTTGTACACTGGATCTGCCCATGGTCGCCTGCATTGGCCAGGTAAATTCCCTCGTATTTCGACTTATCCCCAGGCGACATATACCAATCGAAGCCATCTTTGAGCCCTACAGTATCATCCTCGAGGTCTTCCATCCTTTCAAACTGAGGCGGATCATTGGAGAGTGCGTCCGAAGCAGTAACAAGGTGAGCTTTGGATTCTGGGACAAGAAACGCGGGTAGCTTTGTAGGCACTGCTTTCAATTCCTACACGCGCCATTAGCTCCCCCTATACCTCTCAAAGCTTCCTCGTAGCTCTGCCGGAAAGAGAGGGGGGGGGGGGGGAAGGAGAGAACACACCCCATTAACGAGATCGAAAATCAACCTCATCGCAACACAAAATTCCTCGAAGTCAAGATCTCCGTCTTTATCAACATCAGCGAGATCCCAGATTTTAGCAAGCTGGTCCTCGTTTAAGCCGGAATTCTTGAGCATGCCATAGGCTTGGTCGCCAGTGATTCGCTTTCCATCGCGGGAGTGTGCGCTGAAGATCTCCCAGTATTTTCCAATATCGGCTTCGGAGATAGGTTTGGAGGCCATCGTGTGTGTTGGTGCTGTGTAGCTGCGCGAGTGAGTGTTGTAGGGAGCTTTTGTGTACCTGGAGGAGGGGGCCAGTAGGTCTTGGAAACCTGGAAGGGCCAGGGTCTCGAGCCTTGACGGCGGAAAGGCGTCGTTGTCAGCAGTGAGCCTCCATCAGTTTGATCTTACGAATACACAACCCAATACTCCTTTCGAAATCGTAGATACACATGTATGTAGTTCAAATTCTCTTTTAATTGATTCAACATTTATAACTTCCGAGAAAATAAAAACCTTTTATCTACATACCTACAATCATCTAGACCTAACTTAGGTCCTAAGTACATACATGTATGTGTATTGTAAACACATGTATTTTTACAAAGCTGATTCATGCAACTGGTTCAGATTAACCCCACCACAAGTGAACCCCGCAATCTCTTATTTTTTTCCTTCCAAAAATCACAATTATCGAAAAATGACCAAACCAATCATTAGGCATGCTGTCGCTTCAGGTGAGTTACTCAAGCCGCACAAGAGATGTAGAAAATTCCTTAAGCCAACAAACATTAGATGTCCCTCTCATCCTTGAGTTCATCAATGAACTTGCAATCTACGAGAAAGAGCCTGATGCGGTACTTGCTACTGTTGAAACACTCACCGATACCTTAGGGCTCAGGGAAGGATCTAAAGCTTATGCAAAGACATTTTTAATCTTTGAAGGGGAGAAACCAGCTGGAATGGCTCTGTAAGCTTTTAATGTCCTATTTTAGTACCCTCCTCTAATAAATTAGTAGATACTTCAACAACTATAGCACATGGCGTGCCAAGCCCGGTATCTACCTCGAAGACCTATTCGTCCGCCCCGAGTTCCGTGGCCGTGGATACGGCACTGCGCTTCTTGCAGCCCTTGCGCAGGAAGTAATAGAGATTAATGGAGCGAGGCTAGAATGGAGTGTTTTGAAATGTTAGTACTCCCTGTACCATTTATGCCAAGCCTGGTTAACGCAAAAGCATGATAGGGAACACCCCATCAATTAAATTCTATGAGAGTATTGGTGCAGAGAACATGGGCAAAGAATGGCAGATTATGAGATTGACTGATGATACTCTGGCAGCTATGGCTAAGAGGGGCCCAGAGGTTGAGAGACGCTAGAGAGTGTATATGTTCACCAGATCTCACTCGAATCAGGAAAGCACCTAGTATTCTACCCAAAGCATGATATTTCACCCTTAACTGCCCTCGATTGAATTATATAAGTGCAAATCCCAATGACCTCATCCTCCCAGAGCGAATGAAGTGAAGATAAAACATCCCTTCCCCGATTGATTGAGGTGTCAATCTTATTGCTTTATAAACCAGAACCGGCGCGATTTCAATAATCTATGGGAGATATTGAGTAAAGAACATGTAGCTTTACTCATATTATCTCTAAAATATTTAATTATGTGTTTTCAATGCATTATCTTGATCATAAACACTCATCGTTAATTACCTATTATATCATTCATCATTTTCATCTCCATATCTTCAGCATGCATGAACACCACTCTCTGAAGAAAATTTCCCGGTCGTGTACACAAATATTGTAGCTACATGTATGTACAATAAGAAAACATGGCAATGGTATCCTACGTTCTCAGTGCCCCATCAATAGCTTCATTTCCATCCAATTTTCCCCACAAAATACAACTGATCCCGCCCTTAAAAGAACGCAGGCCAAGAAGAAGAAAAGAATGAATACCTTGATGTATACATGTACATAGAAAGAAATGGAAACATTAGTAACTTGTTCGAAACTCCCGTGATAAAAAAATTCCTGTAAAAATCAAGGGTTATTCAGCACAAAGGTATAAAGATGCAAAACAAAATGATCCGAAACAATGACATTGGACGCCTAATGCACCACACTCCTCCGAAAAAAAAAAGAAGAAATAACATTCGCGCACCTGGCCTAGTTTCCGTGAAGAGAAAACGATCAAGTAATCCTCTCAAAATACCAAGGTAAAAAAGGATTGGATGGACGGAAGATAGCTGTGATAAGTAATAATCAATGATGCCTGTGAAGGTTCTCAAATGACAATGATGTCCGGAACATTCTCCCATGAATAGCAGTCAAATAATGATCCAGTATTGTTTATACTTCGCAAGGATCAATCTCTTGACAAGGACAAGCTTTCATCAACCTTCCTTAGAAAGCTGCTAACCCTAGCTGTGTCTACTTCTCCTGGATCACTTTCTACAGCTTGTACGAGGCCTTCGAGTAGCGAGTCAACCCTGTCTTCATCCACCCCTGTACACAGAGAAATAACCCTTCGAAATTTATCCTCCAGTTCAGTGCTTCGATCATGCAGTTTGCTAGCAACATCCTTAAGCATATCTTCGTTTGTCCTGTAAGCTCGGGCCCGAGCCCGGAGGGCTGATGCCGACGGCAGAGACTGTAGGTATTCCCTTTGTTGCTGACTCATGTTCCTAACATCCGTAACAGGTGCCAAAAATTCAGGTAATATTTTAAAAGGGGCATCAGGATTCATCGACTCTCCATTCATGCTTCGGGAAGTGCCATTGACGGCTCCAAGTTTCTCCTTGAACCGGGAGTCTTCTTCATCGATTGCGCGTCGTAGATTCTGACAATGCTGTCGAAGTTCAGCATGTTGTCGACTTCGTTGGCGGAGTTGATTCATGTTTTCACGTTCTTTACCTAACTTTAAGGTGACTTCTCTCAACTGGTTCAGGGTTGCCATGACCTGCTCTTGCTTCGCCTCAATCTCGCCCTGAAAGTCCTTTTCGAGGCCAGCAATGGCATCTTTTATCACTAGAGGGGAAAGTCACCATGTTAGAGTGACCGCACGGAAAGACAGTGGGATTTAAGGAACTTACGATTCACTATGTCCTGCCGTTTTTGCACAACAACAGGCGGTGCAATCCAAGTTTGCTCCCTCCTGCTTGGCATAGGAGCAGGCTCTCCACCGACACCAAAATCGATAGGTCTTAGTCCTGCCCTATTTGGTATACTAGAATCCGCACCAATCTCTAGCAATTGCTGTATAATGCTCTTATTCCCTATCCGAGCAGCGATATTCAACGCCGTATCTCCGCTTTTATCTTGTGCATTCACAATCTCTCCAATAAACCTTGTCAGACTCATCACCTTTGGCCCACCTGTACGGCTCGTGGACGAGGCACCATGCTTGGCCACAAACTCTAGCAAACAATGGAGGTAATATCTGCTATCTGCACTCCTTCCCTTCATACCGGATTTTACAGCAATATGGTGCAAGATAGTCCGACCGTTATTATCGACAATAGGAATGGTGGGATATAGGAGGTTGAGAAGCTGGGGAAAGGAAAATTGATCGAAATTGTTGGTCACAAAACACCCGCGAACTAGCGCTGATTCGCCACTATGATTGACTCTATATATCGAAGCACCCTTTGCTATCAAGGCCCGAATAAGAGGAACACGTGCCAAAGATGCCGCCCAATGAATTGCAGCGCCTCCTGTTGAATCGAGGGGAATATCGATTTGTTCAGGGGTGAGCGTATCCAATTGGGCCAGCACAGACGAATCAGTCTCGGGGTTAATGAAAAGATTCATCAATGTCTGCCGGGCATGTTCGGCATCTGGCACATGATCTGCTATTACAGGTTGTACAGGCCTTTGAGGCGTATCAACTTGTGGTTGGAAAAAATGGGTAGATACTTCATTGAGTGGGGTGGAAGGCCGGGCTCGTTTTCGTGGAGGCTCTTGCGAATCTCGTTCAGGAAGAGTCAAAATTTGAGAACAATAAGTAGAATCAGGCTGAACCTGAGATACAAAACTTGTCTCTGTCGGCAAACTTGGTGGCCAAGATTCTTGACCTTGTGATTCCTGTTGGCGAACAATACCCTGAGATGCCTGCGATGACATAACAGAATTCTGAGAATTCGCTGTCCGAGTCTCTTGCGAATCCATTCGTGAGGTGGATTTACTGAGGGCACTAAAGGCATTGGAAACGGTGGACGATATAGGGGTGAATAAGGGGCCCGTGTGTCCATTTGTCTGGCTCAGACTGGTATTATACATTCGCTTCCGTTTTGCAGCCATGGCTTGCTCTTTTGTGGGGGTCGAATCGGCACCACTGGCAGCTATAACATCCAGGTCAAGTAAGGGGGCAAGTAACTCCTCTACTCCATATGAGCGGCAGAATTCTCGACCTCGTTCAAAATCAACCCTAATATATGAGTTAGCGAGTGCTATCGTGTGATTGGAATAAATTATTTTAATACCATGTCCCTTGATATTTCCCATACCCGCCTTGGACCTTCTCATGTTGACCGTTGAGAATTTCTTTTTCCAGAACCTTTGTTCGTTTCCCTTTTTCTACGCCAGCCACTTTGAGAATTTGGGTTGCGTTCAACCACGAGTCATGACGGCGTCGCATCACTGCAACATTATTTACTGGCATTTCAAATACCGCAACACCAGAATAGGTGGCCTATGGTTTAACCGAACTATTAGCCATATGTTCCTTGACATTATCTCATAAAATCGAGAGGCAGACTTACAGTGAAAATTGTAGGTTTTGAGTCATCCATATGGGCAGAAAGCGGGGGTGGAGGAGGGGTTCCTTGGGGGGTTGAAGCCACAGAAGTGGAACCGTTTGTAGCGAAAGAACCGACGGCGGACGGCTGGTACATAGAGGTAGTAGCGGTTAGAGATGATGAACCGCTTCGAGCAAAAGTTGGAGGTCTAGAGGAAGAGGCCATCACTCGGAAAGGGATGAGACTCAAGCAGCGTATAGAAGACCTGGGGGGATAAATTTACTAGCGCTAAAGGGGGGGGCTAAAAGCCAAGGGGGTGGAAGCGAAGCGTGTAAAGTGATAATAAAAACTTGGGGGAAAAAGCTTATGAGTAAAAGCTTGTGAGAAACGAGGTATGTACGTTTACAGAAGGGTGGTATCCCAGACTCTCCGAGGTGCGGAGATTGCAACAGCGGAGAGCAACGACGGCGCGGGATATACAGGCGACGAGAGAGTAATGATAAGGAATCCGCGTTGTTGTTTATGTTACCAGTGTTGCTATTGTTGACGGTCGTCTAAGGGATTGAGGCTGCAGGGGGGAGAGCAGACTTGAATGACTTGCTGACAGCGGGATCTGAGTCGTGGAAAAAAGATCTGAGGGAAGTCGCGATCTGCTGCTGCGGAGAAGAGCGCGCGTTTTGCTGGCGTTCCGAGACATGCGCGTGGCTCACCCCAACCTTTTTACTAGTTTAGGTAAATTTTGCTGACTATTACCACGGCACCAACGCAATAGAGGAAGTTCGATCAGCCGCGCCACTAGAGTAAAGCTTCATATCGATAAGGGTGCCAAGTGATCAGCTGACCGCGTATTTCATAGAACCTCAGTCGAACGCGGAGGGAAAAAAAGGGTACGCTACCCTACATAGTACCGAATCCACCAATGGAGACGAAGCAACTCCTTCGACATCTTCTCCGTCAGGCCAGTGTTCTCTATGATGACGTAGCACGGATATACATTACTCGTTATATCGTACAACGTTTCCGAGTAAATCTCACGGCAGACTCATGGCGTCGAACGAAGCTGCTCAAAGAGGGGCGGCGTGGACTCTCTGTGCTCATTCGTGCAAACGCTGGTGATCCTAAACCATTGACAAAAATCCTGGAGATGAGCTATGGGCGAACCGGAAGGAGAAAACATGAGCTTCTAGAGGTCTGTACCAACAGTCAATTTTACTTATACGTAATTAACCTGAAATACTAACTTCTTGCCTTATAATTCATTTTAAAAAAGCCCATTTTAAAACAAGACCCAGAAATTGAACCGGAGCCCCTCATACCCGATGAGCCCCGCAGCAAACCGCCAGCTATCTCAGCTGCACTACGAGTATTACTATCCTCCCAATATAACAGAAACATCTCCTCCAAAGTCGTACCCCAACTACCTGAAACGAATATCTGGGGCCGTCCACTACCCATACGTCGAAAGGTCAATATGCTCCATAGGCATCACTCAAACCTCCTTGCAAAGGTCCTCCCCCCCCTCAGCGAATACCACATGGAACGTCTCGAACGTCTTGTAAGTGGCTTGGAGAACCCAAAGCCCCCCAAAAGAAGAGCCTTTACAGCACTACCTTTGCCGGAAGGCACGAAAGTGCACAATCTGACGCCAAGGTTCCGGAAAAGGATGTGGAAGAAGATACTTGCACAAAGCTCAACATTAAGCCTAGACGGAGAGAAGAACAGATGGATTGTTAAATACTCGCCATTGACGGAGAAGCCTAAAGTAACTGTTGGAAAATTGGAAGACTTTGAAGGGTTGATTGTCGAGAAAAGTACCCAGCAACAAAGAGGGGGGAGGAATGGTAAATACGAAATGACTGGTGAGGAAGCGCTTCTTTGACTTATTCTCGGGAATATAATTCTTTGTCGTCCATCTTGCCTTTAGGAATTTATCCTTCAAATTGTAGTACCCAGCTAGCTGGACTCGTTTGCTCATGCAATAGTGGTTAAAAAGACTACATGTGCCTTCCCTTGCGTAAGGTGTGATAAATGTATGGAAATCACCATAGCTCATTGTCATTCAACAAAGCAAAAATTTATTCGGAATACTGCAGTACACAGTGCCCAAGTCACAAGTGTAACCATAAAGCGCCGCGAGTGATAAACCATGACGTCAACTTTAAAATATACATGTACCTATATGTATTGAGTTTTGAGAGTAGGATTATTAGACTAACATGCATTCACCTCATCACGTTGTTCTCCCTGCGGTATGCGGCCAACGCTCAAAGTGAACTCATATGCATGTGGTTTCTGTTTACCCTCGCGGCATGGAAAGTGCAGTATAATGTGAGCGCGCTAAGGGCAGGCATTCCCCCGCAGTTTGGCCTTGCTGTCAACAACAGACATCGCCGCACATCACATCTCTCCTCACATCGTACATAACATAACTCTTCATCCCAGGTTATTATTCTTTCTATGTTAGCAAATCAGAAGGTGCTTTCGTAACTTTTTTGCAGGGAGCTCACTAGATCTATCTTTACAGCCAAATATACAATGTCTTCACTTTGGGTTAGCAAGAAAAAGAAGGCAGAGCTTATCGAACTATGTGAACAGCTTGGGTTACAGTACGTTTTGTTTACCTTCCGTTTGTCGCGCTTGATACGCGTCGCGAGGAGCTGTGCAGTCGTGATTGACGAAGCGACGTAACAGAGCCGAGGGCCAGCTAAAGAACGACTACGAGAATATACTTACTGAATACCTTAACTCAAATCGGGCTGGGCTGGAGAGCGACCCTACCTTTGGAGCATATTACGACACCCTATATTCTAGGCGATCGCCGACAAAAACCTCTTTACAAACCTCCTCAACTGACGTACCTACGACACGGTCGAGGTGGAGGGCGAGTAAAGAGCGCTTTGCTCGAGAAAGCTCAACTGCTGACTCTACGTATGAACCCCAAGATCCTTAAGGGTATTTCTATTCTTTGTGGCTTAGTCTAACTATATATTATAAATAGCGGTGAGGAGTCCGGTATGAGCCCAGCGCCCTCACCTTCCATGCATGAACGGACTCTTAGGTCTTCCTCCCGTCAGCTCTCAAGCCGTACACCAAGAACTGTGAGAGCTATTCAGGAAGTTGTTGAATCACCTCTTCCACCTACCCCTGCAGCCCTTGCAGATGCCATTGAGAGTCGTGTAAACGCTATGATGGATAGTGCGAAGAAGACGATCGAAAAAGTTGACGTCCAAGAAAAGGCGACAGAGTTGCGCGATAAGCTATCGAACGTCGTTTCTGTGAACGCGGTGACATTGACCTACGAGGCAGTGTTTTTGCTGTATCAGTTGATTCCGTTAGTCTATCTGGTCACAATTCCTGCTGTTCCTTCCTTAGGAACGGGCGCCCGCAGCTTTCACCTACCGGACTTATTTGTCCTCCTCACCACCGAGTTCTGGGGCCCTTTCCTTACGTGGCTGACGACATCAGTCCTGATACCTCTTGGAAATGCGTACTTCTTCAACTTGACTGCAACTGCCGCAAATGTGGCAAGGTCTACTAAACCATATGATCCTACTGCATCTACAACCCCTGAAGAATATAGGACCGATCCTCTCACATTTGCTGTGACGAAGGCGCTTGTAGCATACCTGGTTCACTACAAGGGGTTCAACTTTATGGGATTGTTAGGAGATGAGAGTTTGAAGATCGTGGGAGCTGGAGTTGGAAGGGACACTCAGCTTATCGGATCTGGTATTGCTGGCTTAGCAGCAATCTGGGAGTCAATTTTGAGGAGATAAATGTCTTAACTTTGAATGCAGACATGGTAAGAAGATTGGCTTTCTGTTTATTCCTGGTGTCTTTCGAGTTTCTTAGTTGGGATTATTCAAATTGATATGAAGAACGTTCAAATGTACTTTACATTGAACTAGGACATTCTGTAGTTTACGGTTCCCAACATTATGTAGTTACTTTTGAAGTTTTGTTTTTTTATTGAATCTTAAATTTAACTACATATTCTCGTCCATTTATTGGTGATGATGAACACTGTCCTCAGCGTATGGCAGAGCATGCGCCAAGACGCATAGACCCCTGGGATAGTTCTAAGAACGTCAAAAACACCACAGTGTTCGCTTCTCTGAACTAAAGGGTCAATTACCTATCCGCCCGCTTCTTCCCCTCTACGCTCGCTCACCCAATATAGCTTTAGGGGAGCACATCGCCGCCATTGTTTCAGACGTTCCCGCCGGCTTCGTTATCCTCTCCCCCACTACTACGAGTTTGGACCCCTCAATCACCTGCAACTGCGACATTCCACGAGCCTCAACCCACCCAACCTCCCCCTCCTCTCACCTCATCCACTACACCTAAACATACTAACGACCTGACGATCCAGCGTCACACCCCGACATGTCCTCTTTTCTCGAGCATTCGTACTCTATTGTACACCTCGACAATGCCGCGGATCAGCCATCGATCCAGCAGCTCCAGCAGCAGCTGGAAAAGGGTACCGATGAATCTAAGCTTGACACTATGCGTCGGATCCTGATCATCATGTTGAATGGAGATCCGATGCCACAGCTTCTGATGCACATCATTCGTTTCGTCATGCCAAGTAAGAGCAAACCACTCAAGAAGTTACTGTACTTTTACTATGAGATCTGTCCAAAACATGATGCGAGTGGAAAGCTGAAACAAGAGATGATTTTGGTCTGGTAAGTAGTTTCTTCTTTCTGAAGGCTATGAGGAATAGCTATGGAGCTTAAATTTTTGAATTTTGGATGACATAGACTGACTTATAGTGCTCGTGTAGCAATGGCATCCGGAACGATCTCCTCCACGCAAACGAGTACATCCGTGGAGCAACCTTACGTTTTCTCTGCAAAGTTCGTGAACCCGAGCTCCTCGAGCCTCTACTATCATCGGCTCGTCAATGTCTCGAGCACCGCCATGCATATGTTCGTAAGAATTCGGTACTTGCTATCCAGTCTATCTACTCTCACTCGGAGCACTTGATTCCCGACGCCCCGGATCTTATATTGGCTTTTCTACAGGCGGAGAGTGACAATACTTGCAAAAGGAATGCATTCGCTGCCTTGAGCGCCATTTCTCATGCGAAGGCCTTGGAGTACTTGAACTCAGTGTTCGATCAGATTGCCAACTCGGATGAGCTTACACAGCTTGTTCTCATCGAATTCATCAGAAAAGATGCTGTGCTTAATTCCGGCAACAAGGTGTGTTTTTTTAGCTTCGACGTGTTCAGCAACGAGGACACTTTTCTCACTTATGGTGTGAATCATAGGCTAGATACCTCCGGTTAATCTTCGATCTTCTGGAGGCGACTTCAAACACTGTTGTTTACGAAGCTGCTACGTCGTTGACTACTTTAACTAGTAACCCAGTAGCTATCAAAGCTGCTGCTGGGAAATTTATCGAGCTGTGCATCAAGGTATCGGACAACAATGTCAAGCTTATCGTGCTCGACAAAGTCGACCAATTACGAAAAAAGAATCAGGGTGTGCTGGACGATTTGGTTATGGAGGTTCTGCGCGTTTTGTCGAGGTATTTTGAGCTTACTAATAACGATATGGACAAAATGGATGTTTTTAACACGCATACCTGCTTAGTCCCGATATCGATGTGCGAAGAAAAGTCCTGGATATTGCGATGGATATGATTTCGAGCAAGAACGTCGAAGAAGTTGTTATGCTCCTCAAGAAGGAGCTCTCCAAGACTGTGGACCAAGATTATGAGAAGGTATCAATGATTGAATTTGCGGTTTTGGCCTGAAGATCCTCTAATACTCCCGCAGAACAACGAGTACAGACAGCTATTGATCCATTCGATTCACAACTGTGCAATCAGGTTTTCCGAGGTTGCTGCAAGTGTTGTCGGATTGCTTATGGACTTTATCAGCGATTTTAACAATTCATCTGCAGTTGATGTCATTGCATTTGTGAAAGAGGTTGTCGAAAAGTTCTCAGCTCTGCGTTCATCCATTGTTGAGCGCCTTATGACGACTCTCAGCGAGGTCCGGACTGGAAAGGTATATAGGGGAGCTCTTTGGATTGTTGGGGAGTACTGTGTCGAGGAAAAGGATATTCGGGAAGCCTGGAAACGGATACGCCAGAGTCTAGGGGAGATTCCTATTCTTGCCTCGGAGCAGCGACTACTTGATGAACAACCAGGAGAGGATGATGATCAAGCAAATGGAGGCTCAAAACCTGCTGGGCCTGCTACTGGTTCTCGGAAAGTACTTGCTGATGGTACTTACGCCACTGAGAGTGCCCTCACGAGCGAATCTGCAAGTCTTGCAAAGCTTGAAGCTGTCAGAGCTTCACAAAAGCCACCACTTCGCACCCTTATTCTTGACGGAGATTATTACTTGGCATCCGTCCTTGCTGGAACACTTACAAAGCTTGTCATGCGCCATGCTGAGATTGGTGCGGATGTTTCTCGCACCAATGCTCTTAAGGCCGAGGCCATGCTTATCATGATTAGTGTTATTCGTGTTGGACAGAGTCAGTTCGTGAAGGCTAAGATTGATGAAGACAGTATGGATCGAATCATGTCTTGTGTCAGGTCTTTGGCCGAGTTTGAGCAGAAGAAAGAGATTGAGACGGTCTTCCTGGAAGACACTAGAAAGGCATTCAAGGCCATGGTTGTTGCTGAGGAAAAGAAGAGGGTAGCTAAGGAGGAGCTGGAGAAAGGAAAGAATATGATCCAGGTCGACGATGTACTAGGAATCAGACAATTGAGCAAAAAGTCCGCTGCCGACAGCGCCGACGTTATAGAAGTGGATATGGAGAAGGCTACCGGCGGCGATGCTAACGTCGAAGACTTGACTTCGAAACTGAGCCGCGTTGTTCAGCTCACTGGTTTTTCGGATTCTGTCTACGCTGAGGCATACGTTAAGGTTCATCAATTTGACATCATCCTAGATGTCCTGCTTGTCAACCAAACCACAGAAACCCTCCAGAACCTTTCTGTTGAATTTGCAACTCTCGGTGATCTTAAGGTTGTCGAGCGCCCCACCACCCAAAACCTCGGTCCTCATGCGTTCCACTCAGTACAAGCTACGATCAAAGTCTCATCTACTGATACGGCTGTAATTTTCGGTAATGTGGTATATGACGGCCCTGCATCGACTGAGACAAATGTAGTTATCCTCAACGATGTTCACGTTGATATCATGGACTATATTCAACCTGCCTACTGCAGCGAAACGCAGTTTAGGACTATGTGGACCGAGTTCGAGTGGGAGAATAAGGTTAATATCAATTCGAAGGCAAAGAGTTTGAGGGAGTTCCTAGATCAATTGATGAAGAGTACAAATATGGCTTGTTTGACCCCCGAAGCTAGCTTGAAGGGAGACTGTCAATTTTTGAGTGCAAATCTTTACGCTAGGAGTGTTTTCGGTAAGTTGTCCTTTGAGCTTAGGCTTATTCTCACGGCTAACATATTTATAGGGGAGGATGCGCTTGCAAATCTTAGCATTGAGAAGGATGGCGAGGACGGTCCAGTCACTGGTTTCGTACGCATTCGAAGTAGATCTCAGGGATTAGCGCTTTCCTTGGGCTCTTTGAAGGGGCTGCAGAAGTAGTGGACATGAGGATACGTTTGCTTTTTAAAATAGTAGGAATGTAATGATGCTTTTTCTCTTTTACTGTGCCAGCACGTGAAATGATCGGGTTCTTTTGTCATGTTAGATTGTGAGACAAAAATGGGTTCCTTTTCTTTCCTTATATTTCGTTTCTGGTTGTAGGTAATTTATCGTATCATTTGATTGTGTGCTAGGTATGTAAAGTTTTTTATTCGATGTATTTGTTTTTAGGTTTCATCTTCAGGACGAGAGTTGAGGATCCGGAATCGTTGGTTACGGGGAATGCATTTTTATCGCTTTAAATCATATTAAACCAAAGAAGTAGCTATATTCATATAAACAGCAAGATAAATGGTAATGACTAGATTAAGTTAAAAAATTTCACGCTGGTCAAGCTCAAGTAAAAGTCGAAGTACTAGGCTACATGTAGGTACATATGTACATACATGTTGATTGAATCGCCGAGTAAGAGGTGTGATAGGGGGAATCCTTGATCGGTGAATGGGTGTTTTAGTTGTTCGTCAGTCAGAGTAGTAGATACATGTAGATATTTACATAGACTAGCGTGACTAGTAATAATAGTTCAAATGAGATCTCACTGTTTCTGTAGTGAGTGCCACATTAACAATTATTGCAACCACCAATAGAGTATGTAGATTCGAGTAAATATTAAACTACTTATATTAGCCTTCATATCAGGTAAAGGTAGGTACTGTATCGTATCTGCGTTTAGTTGGTTGGTGGTTATTTAAAACTACAGAAATATGCCATCCCATCGTTGCATCCTGGCTTTTCCAATTTCTTCGTTAACCTCAGGGCACAGGGCTGGGGTTATTATCGCTTTCCAGTTCGCCCTTGGTTTTCAACCCCACCACTCCCCACTACATCTGCTGCACTAGCAGAGGCAACCTCAATTCTGCATGCTTACCCGCTACATCTACCATCGCCATATATTCCGGACCAACCGCCTGGCTCTCCTTCGCCTGCGCGAATTCCACGACTCACAATACCCGCCGCCACTACCAACCCTAGACTGGACACCCGGAGAACCCTCAGGGTCCAACCCCGAAGACCCCGAGACCCCGCCAGTCCCTATACGAGTCCATAGGTCTGTCCGCAGGGCCGCTGCTAAGAGTAAAAGCCTCGAGGTTGATCCAAACCCCACCCTCGATTGGTACTCGGGCCAGCGCAACTCGG